AGAAACATTTAGAGGGTCAGCACCATTTGCATCGACCAATGATGACAGAATTGCTTTCTTCCCCGAATGCTGGAGCATGTGAAATCGTTGAGACTCTTCTGAGATCCCAAAAACCTGATAGGCCTTCCCATGGGACGTGTCTCTTGATAAACAACTTGCTTCTACTAGCTACTTGGAGGGTTGCAGGCAAAAAAAGAATAATTACAGACTGCTGGCAACTTGACTTCTCAACCAAGTTTGGATACGCTAGCAGAAGGTGTTAAAGAGTTTTACCGCTGTATGCTGCCTGTCTCAAAAGGCACATTTCCGGTACACCTGCCATTCCTGAAACGTATAGAGGACCAGACAGTCCTTGAAAGTTTCTTTTGCAATCCCTGTGGTACGAACCACAATACTGGTATTGTAGTTTTCGAACGGATTGTGAAGACTTTTAACATACAAAAGACAGAAAAAAAGAAATCTAACGTTCTTCTAAAACCATACAATTACAAGACATCAGCAGATTCTGGGGTTTGCATTCTTCTTGTGCCGCCTGTCGAGTCTCATTATTCTTCTTTGCCATCTATCAATATCCATCATTTCGTCCAGTGTGGTGAGTACGCACGTTGGCTTCCTTGTGTGTGTGAACACGAGCCTTTTCCCTTCCCTGTAGCATCACATTTGGAGCCGTTGCTAGAAGCTCTTGCATCATGTATTGGGCAGCTCCGTCATCATACCCATCAGTATTGATAAACACCAACGCATAAACATTGGATTCTGGGAAGAAAACCACTTGCGTCTGACTGCCCAATTCCGAACCATCATGAGCAGCAGCGTGGTCCCAGTTCAAGTCCGTTACCGGTTCCAACCAATCATCTTCTTTTGCGAAAGAAGCCTTATCTAGAAGCAGCCAAGAGAATCCTTGGTTGCAATCCCGACCAGACTTGCCGGGCTCGGAACACTCAAGCGCAGTCTTCACCATCCCTTTTGGAAGCATACCATCGCCATAATCGATCATAACTTTCAAAAATCGTGACATATCTCTAGCCGTTGTTCTCAATTGGCCGCTGGCGTAGTCAATGAAACAATACTGCCCCATGTCTTCCCATTCGGTCGTATTCTCAGAATAGGAGATTGGCTGTGATTCGAGGACATCAGGAGGTAGATCCTCGCTGAACCAAGCAGTAGAATCCATGCCCACGGCATCGAAAATGTGTTCTTTGCAGTATGCATCGAAACTAGTACCAGTCACATGCTCCAGGAGCGCAGCAGCATATCCCGTCGCAAGATTGGAATATTCATTCTTTGTTGCTGGCTTCCAGTCTTCCCAAACAGCACCTTCGCCAAGGTCAAACCAGTTCAGATTGGTTCCATCAGTGCCTACAGATGTTTCTGTCTCCTTGTCAATCAAGAGATCTCGATAAAACCCAGTAACATCTGTCAGAGGACATTCCGGATTTCCAACCGCCCCGCCACCCCATCCACCAGTTGGTCCATAAGTTGGAGCATCTCCATTTTCGAGCCCTGGGATTTCTCTCCCAAACGATGAAGTATGTGTCATCAGCATTCGCCAAGTGATCTTTGTATCGTTGTACTTGGGATTGCGGCAAGCAGATTCATCGTAGTACTCATCGGGCAATGCATCACAAATGTCGTCATCCAGATCGATTAAATCCTGAGCAGCAAGCTTCAGGATTGCAGTGCCAGTGAAAACCTTGGAGACCGAAGCAATCATGAATGCAGTGTCCTCAGTAATCCTTGGAGCGTCTGCCTCAGCTGAGGCGTATCCATACGAGCGGAAGAGTGGTGCATCTGAAAGACCCTATGAAGTTGGAACGCAAAGTAAGCGTGATTAGTGAGTCTAACTTTCAAACCCGGAACTATGCAACTAATCGTGCAATCTTACCTTGTTGAAGTATGCGACAGCAGCACCGCGAACTATGGTAAAGAAACTGAATTAGAGAACGGAAAGGTTGCAGCACAGTAGGACCAATCACTTCACATACCCTTGGATTCCTCCATAACTGCTTCCAACGCATCATCGAGTTCATCCTTAGCCCTGGGATGGCGGGGAGGGCCCTCTTTATTCCGAATTGGACGGGTTTCTTCCTTTGTACGTTGGGCAGGTCGCTGCTTTGTTGTGCTATGACGGTCTGCAACGTAGATATCCCCCAAGGCTTTTCCCTGAGTGATAGCACTAGGGGCTGCCTTCAAGAGATCTTTCATGATATTCTGCGCCGCCTGATCGGTGTTTCCGCCAGTGTTGGTAAAGACCAAAGCATACACTCTTTCTTCGGGGAAGAAAACAACTTGTGTTTGACTCCCGGCTTCCTCACCGGCATGGCCTGCAGCGTGTTTCCATTTGAAGTCTTGTGCCGATTCATACAACCAATCGGGAGAATTATCGTAGGTCATGAGCTCCCAGCCAAATCCTTGATCACACGCACTGCCAGATTTGCCAGGTTCGCTACATTCCAGAGATTTCTCACCGAGCTCCTTTGACCACAACTTGACTCCATAATCCAACATTGCTTTCAAGTAGAGTGAGAAGTCTTTAGCATTTGTTCGGAGACCACCAGAGGCGTAGTCAACAAAACAGAACAAGTCTTCATCTTTGAACTGATTATTTTCAAATCGGACTGTTTCAGTTTCATGGGCGTCAGGTGGCAAGTCCTTCCTGTGCCACGCAGTGCTCGTCATACCAAGCTTTTTAAAGATCTTATCCCTACAGTATGTAGCAAAAGACGTATTTGTCTCGTGTTCCAAAAGTGCTGAAGCCAATCCAAAGGCCAAGTTCGAGTAATGATTTTTGGTACCGGGCTTGTCGTTGAGCCAAATCTTCCCCTCGCCAAGGTCGAACCAGTTAATATCGTTTTCATAAGTGCCTACAGATGTCTTGGTATCCTTGTCAATCATAAGATCTCGGTAGAATCCTTTGACATCTGTCAAGGGGCAAGTCGGATTTCCAACTGCAGAGCCACCGTATGCATTTGCTGGCCCATACGCAGCATTCCCACCATCGGCCATAGTTGGAATATCCTTGGCCATGGACGAAGTATGAGTCATTAGCATTCTCCATGTGATAGGGGTAGTTTTATAGGTAGGATGGGTACACGCAGTAACATCGTAATAATCGGGCAAGGAATTGCAAATGTTATCATCCAAGCCGATTACGTTGTCAGCAGCGAGTTTGTAGATCGCAGTGCTGGTCATGACCTTGGAGACGGATGCAATCATGATAACTGTATCAATATCCATGTAATCAGCATCGTCAGCAGCACTAGTTGTTCCGTAAGCACGGAGGATTGGTTCGGTTGAAAGATTCTGTGGGCAGCAATAGGGGAAAACATGAGCACTTGTTTCATCGACAAACAGGGTAACATCACTTGATGATTGATTCTTACTTCATTGTAATATGCCACAGATGCTCCACGAACTGGAGCATTATAAAATGCAAGTAAAAGGTTGAGACTGTAGTATCGGCATGGAAACATGATAAACAAGCTTGTCAGAACTCACCGTTATTGCTCTTCAATGCAGCCTTCATCGCGACATCGAGGGCATCATCCTGCTGGGCTGTCGAGACACCAAGGAGAATAGACGAGAAGATCCCTAGTAGGGTAAGAACTTTCAAGTTGAGCTTCATCCCTGAAACACTGATGCTTGATAAGGACTATGAGTCTATGAAGGTGATGAAGATGACTGTCCAAAGATTTCTCGGTCATCCAAGAGGTTTGGCTCTACGTTCCAGCAGTACTATGAAAGACCGAAATCTTTAAAAAAATCCAAAGATTTTTTGCATGATATTACGTGGTCACGAAATGATTATGACTCGTCGGGGATTTCACGAATGCCATGCAGTATGACCCCGTCCAAAATTCTACGAATCTATCCTTCACAGAATGTGTCCGCACATATATTGAATATATCTGCCAGTTAAAATGAGCACGCACATGGCGCAGTGAGAGCACATCTGCCAGTTTGGTAACAAACAAATAATTTTTTAATATGAAACAACAGCTTCGAGCTAAGCAATAATTACTTGGCAAAAGCCCACAATCTGAAATCGCAATGCCTCGTATGAGTTGATAATGGAGAAACATTTAGAGGGTAAGCACCATTTGCATCGACCACAGACCATGAAGTTACATTCCTCCTCCATTCTGAGAAAACGCAAACTACCCCGTTTAATGTGGCAGCGGCAACAGCAGCAGCAGCTTAGAAACGGTTGCCACTAATGTTGACATCCACCAAAGGCAAGCGACTGAGATCATCAGTACTTCCGCTTAGGTCGTTGTTTTGGAGATAGAGTCTTGTCAAGGATATCAATCCACGGAGAAGATGACGGGGCAAAGTTCCCTGGAAGTTGTTATCGGCCAAATTCAAAGTCTGGAGAGCTTTCATGTTCCCGACTTGGCCAGGAATAGAACCACTAATTCCATTATTTTGCAGTGTCAGCTCAGTCAGGCCATCCAAGAAACCAATCTCAGTAGGGAGAGAACCGGCAATCTTCTGGCTAGCTGACCCGACGATGTCAATGATTTCCATCCTGTCCGAGAGTACACCAAGTTCCGGCGGAATTGTTCCAGTTACTCCCTGCTGGTTGAGATTCAAGTTCGCAAACTGCCCGTCGCGATTGCAGGCAGGTGCGTTTCCATCAATGTACCATATGCATTCATCTGCATCGGTAAGCCAATTTGTCTTGCCAGTGTCAGTCCAGGTGCTTTCACCATTCGTGGTGTAGAAGAAAACAGCCAACGCCCATCGAGTAATCTTCTTTTCGTCACTGTAGAATCGAAGATTATCGTTGTCCTTTAGCCAATTGAGGGCCTTCACTTGGACGGAGGTTTCATCTGCCCATGTGTCGTATTCTGTTGTTTCGCTCGAAGCACGGATGATCAAGGTGGTGAGATCATCTGTTTTGAGATCAGTGGTTGGTCCTTGTGAGATAGAAGGGGATGCAGAGGGAAATTGAGAAACAATCGGTGCCATGGTGGGTTCACCTGTTGTGGGTGCTTCCGTTGCCGGGCCAAAGATACCAACACCAGCACCAACACCGATACCGATTCCGCACAAGATGACCAACAAGGCAATCAAACAGAAACCAAGCTGCCTGCGTTGCTTTCGCTTCTTGTAAGCAACAGGGTCAAGTTTCGGCTTCGTCTTTTTTGGTTTCTTTGCCTTGTTTCCTCTCTTCTCAAACGATGAAGAAGGTTCAGGATCTGCTCCTCTTTCAGGATCTTCGGGGTCTGTCTTGTAAAAATCTTGGAATTGAGGTTCGTCTTCAGCTGCCTTGTCAGCGGCCCCAAAACCAAACGATTTCTTGGAGTCAGCCGCAGATTCCTCCTCATCTCCGCTGGTTCCAGATTTTTCTCCTCCGGATTTGCTGTCTCCACTTTTGCTGTCTCCACTTTTGTCTCCACTCTTGGATGACAAAGCTGCGGCACCAGCAGCTCCAGCAACAACTCCAGCTGCAGCAGCTCCGGCTGCGATACCAGCTCCTGAACCACTACCCTCGGATCCATCATCCTCATCAGAGCCGGAAGCACTCTTACTTGCACTCTTACTTGCATTCTTGGATCCACTCTTGGAGCTACTCTTGGATCCACTCTTATCACTGTCACTTCCAGATCCAGAGCCGCTGCCAGATCCAGAACCGCTTCCGGAGCCATCAGAAGTCTCTCCTTCAGATGTTTCATCATCATCAGAGGTTTCATCCGAGTCGTCTCCATCAGATGTTTCATCCTCAGATGTCTCATCGTCATCAGAGGTTTCATCCGAGTCGTCTCCATCAGATGTTTCATCCTCAGATGTCTCATCGTCATCAGAGGTTTCCTCAGAGTCTTTACCAGACTCTCCGCTTTCATCAGAGTCTTCTTCGGACCCAGATGCATCAGAGGTTTCCTCGGAGTCTTCGTCAGAGTCTCCACTTTCATCAGAGTCTTCGTCAGATTCTCCACTTTCATCAGAGTCTTCTTCGGATTCATCGTCGTCCGATGTTTCTTCAGAGTCTTCTTCGGATTCTCCACTTTCATCAGAGTCTTCTTCGGATTCATCGTCGTCAGAGGTTTCCTCAGAATCATCTTCGGATTCATCATCAGAAGTCTCCTCAGATTCATCATCGCTGGTTTCCTCACTGCCACTGGAGGTCTCTTCGCTATCCGAGTCACTGGATTGGAAGCCCTCTTCTACTTCTTGTTTCAGTTTCATGGTGATGTCTCTAGAGTGATGCGAGAAAAATGCAAAAGCAATATGACTTTGACAGCAGTCTGTGGACTTGCACTCACGTTACGTGAAAAGTGTTTTGGCGACGGCTGGTATCAAATTTAAGCCTGGAGGCCAAATTTTCGGAAGCTGTTTGGAGGTTTTAGTTGTGCGAGTCTTGCCTCTTTGCCGAAATTTCATTTTTGGCGGTACTCCTAAAGTTTTTTAAAAATCTGTGAGTGACCGTGGGTTGTTGACCCGTATGACTGTTTCCCGTGACGGCCGACATGCGGGCGATTTGATCGAAATTTAAAATTCAAAACTACAAAACCGGTACCGGAAGTAGGGATTACTCCCAAGATGTGGACGATCGCGGAGAAGCTGAATTCTGGACCTTCCCACGCTGCTCGAATCAGTGTCGTTTCCGTTTTCACCGCTGTTTGGGACGATGCCTTTCCTAGCAACTATCGTGTGAAATCATAGTCATCGATTGGCAACAACATCAGTGCAGGTTGATTTAACGAGGCGAGGTTTTGTGACCGAAGTTGTGAAGTATGCTAAACTTTACAACAGAAGAAGTGCTGAAGAGAATCGAACCACAAGAGTACTCTCTCGCGCTGGAGGGTCCAGTTCCTGGTATCAACCTTTTGAAGGCATGGACTCCTCCACCGTACAAACGCATTTTCAAGGTAGATGAAATGTATCAACTATTCTCAAAAGAATGTATTGCTATGATTGGAGACTCTACGGATCGACGGGCTGCCGATACGCTTCATATACTTCTTTCCAACCGCAATAATGTCTCTGGAATTGAGAAATATTTGCATGATTATCAGGACGGTCACATTGATCAGACCCGTGACAATTTGGTGGATGGGGCCATCCGAAGAAAGAAATGTTACCCTGGTACGATCGACAATATTTTTCTACCAACGTACGATGATCTGCTTGGGTATAAGCATCACAAGCAAAAAAACTACACAATCATTGTTGCAGCCACAGGGCCGTGGAACCATATTGGTAAGCCAAAGTGGTATACTCCCAAAGAGACACGAGAATATGTGCAGCAAGTAATCCATCATCTTCACAACGAAATCCCAAAGGATATACTGTTCATCTGGAAAACCTCTGTTTGGTCTAGGTTTGGTGATTGGAATGAGCTGAAGGACAACGAAACCATCAATGTCAAGGGCAATAACTACTTGGTTCATTACGCCAATCAGGTTGCCAAAGATACTATTCGAGCGATCAATTCTACCAGACGAATTGTTTTGGACTTTTCTACAGAAATCGCTCCTTATTCGTTTGAGCAAAGGGCGCCTACCAATATGGCTGCCGAAAATGACGATGCTGTTCGGTGGCACTTGGGACCGAAGGGTCGTGTGTTGTTTGCACAAATGCTGGCATGGGAAGTTGCTCGTTACCGGAAAACCACGCTACTTTCCCCAGTAAGAATGGAGAATCATTCTCAAATTTCGAATGACATGCCCCATGGGTCGGCAGCAGAAGAACTAGATTCTGAAACACGAACCATTCTGTTCTTTATTGGAGTTTTCCTGATAGTACTGTATGGAATCAAGATGCGATGGAGCTCCTGGAGATCTAGGACTCCTCGCTAGAGGTAATATCAGCTCTTATGATACGACACAATATTCAAAATAGTAACGATATTTCTTTAGTTCCACTCTACTTCGATCATCGATCAGAACTGCACTACCTACACTCTTTTACCAAGCTTCGATTTATACAGGTAAAATAGACCCAAAAATATTTAAACGGCCGGCATACGGACGTCATTATTTTTCAATTACATCCACGATTATGCGATTGATGAATTCGAGATCTCCGTGAAAACGAGAAATGAAAACCGCAAACTTGAACAACGTCCACGATGTAGACGATCGTGGAGAAACTGGTCTCAAAAACATTATCACGCCGCAGGATGACTCGATATCCTTTTTTGTTTTCAGTTTGCTCACATTTGCAGTGGCAGCAACATTGCATAGCGATTTCTTGAATTTGAACCAAGAACTTTATCCACGATGGCTTTGAACAATAATCACAATGACGATGAGTCTTTGCACGAAGACGCTGCCTCCTTTACCCCCAATGTGGACATTGAATTAGTCGCACCAGAGAAGAATCTTCAAGAATGGGACAACGACGATGGCCTCGTCTATGTCCATCTCGGCGATGCTTTGGACGAAGTTTCTGAAGACTCAGTGTCAACCGATGTCGAATCAGGTGATGCCTCTTATTATTCAGACGACTATTCGACTGAAGAAACCAACAAATCATTCGAACGGTCCAATTCTATTGCAACTATTCTGTTTAATACCCTTCGCGACAACAACGAGTCCAGCGTGGATCCTCGTTTGGGACGTCGGGCTCGAGACTTTGCCTTTGCCCAGTCGGAGCGATCCTTGCGTGGCGAAAAAATATCTGTCGGGGGATTTCTCAGCCTGCTTGATGCAGTGGTCAATATCAGGGCAGATCTGCAGTGGGCTGAAGACGCTGCTTGGCGCCGTGAGAATGGCAAGCCCTATGTCAGCTGGGAAGACTACGAGCATCAGAGAAAGCAGAACAGCTGGAAACGTCCATATTTGACCTATGCGATTATGATTGTCCATTTCTGCGCTATGATCTACGTGTTTGCATTGAGTGATTGGAAACCCGAATCAATGAAGAGGAATACGTGGTTTGGCCCATCACGTGACATATTGGTCAAAGCTGGTGGTCTTGACGCTCTGGATATGGCCGAAAACGGAAACTATTACCGTCTTGTATCTGCAACCTTTCTTCACGGTGGGGTGATTCACTACTTGTTTAATGCACCTTGCATTTATTACTTTGCAAGTGCAATTGAAATGAATCACGGCATGGCTTGTCTGTCCCTTGTGTATTTCCTTCCGTCAGTTGCTGCCTTTGTCTGGTCAGCACTGCTAATCCCGGGCACCCCTACTCTCGGTGCTTCAGGAGGCATTTTTGGCCTTATTGGAGCATGTGTCGCCGATGTTATCATCAATTGGAACCTAATGTTCCTCGTCTTTAAAGATCATATCGGCATGTCGAAGTGTTGCTTGAAGCTCAAGGCTGCCGTTTGGTTATTCCTTGACATGGCCTTCCAATTGGTTCTCGGGTTATTGCCATACGTTGACAACTTTGCCCATTTGGGAGGCTTCATCTATGGCTTTCTTGCTGGTTTTGTTGTCATGGAGCGACTGCCCCTCTCTTTCTTTGGAAAGGAAAACGGATTCCGCAAGTGCCGGAGCTTCATTTTCCGTTTCCTGGCGGCTGCCTTCTTGGCCTTTGCAATTGCTTACTCGGGTGTGGAGCTCAGCCAGAGCGATGGAAGAACTGTTCCATTTCCAAGGATTACCAGCAATTTGAATTGCGTCGAACTCCCCTTTTGGGAAGAAGACAAGAAGTGGTGGCGCTGCGATCAATGCGACGGGTTCCAATTCCCACTTGATGTTTTCGAAATGGACGAAACCAACATTTTCGAAAGGACGATTGCAAAGGCTGAATTCGGTTGCCCTGATGGATCCAGTGTCATTGTAGACATTTCGGACTTTGAAGTGAGTACTTTTGACGACTTACCCTACAGACCGATGGTTGGAATTTGCCGCAAGTTTTGCTACTAGGGACAAGAAAACAATCCCACCACCAGCTTTTGCATACGAAACCCCGATGCATCGGCAGCTAGCTAAGAATATTTTTAATCTAAGGAATGAAACAATGATGTTTTGATTTGATTAGTAGACTTTGACGCCAGTTGTTGACCCCTCTCATTATCCCCCCCTTTTACGTTTCCGTTGGTTCGCCCTAAAAGTTTCGTCCGTCGTCCGTCCATCACCAGTTTCACAGAAAACTCACGTTGGTGTTGGTACTGAAGAAATTGTAGCTTCAGCGTTCTGTTGCATCATCGTGATCGTCATCGTCGCTGTTGTTGACGGTCTCCTTCCATAATATATTAAACCAAACAATGACTGTTACCATCAAAAAGGCTGGTGAGGCGGTCGCCAAGCAAGTGATTCAAAGTGGATCCAAAGCAGCAGCTGCCAAGGGAAGCCCCAGCATCAAGCTGACCGAACCCCGTGCTGTGACCAAGGAAGAGGCTCAAAATGTTGTCCCCAGCAAGGAGAGTGTAAAAACCACCATGATGCCCTGGAGAGGTTGGGTTGATCGAGTTATGAAGGATAAGTTGAGCGAAAAAACTTACAAGGGCATCCGTGACTTTGCTTACTTTATGCCCGATGGACCTTACGATGTTATGGAGCAAATGCCTTCCCCGGCAACCAAGGTTCCAATCTCTCAGGATGGCGAAGCAGCTTCCTTCCGCGAAGTCTCTCCCGGATCCCAAGGTTTCGTTGACATTCCTAAGTTCGACCTTGATGATGATCCATATGATTCTGCCTACTTTAAGACGGACACTCGTCGCCGTTACATAGATCCTGAAAACCCGCACCCCGAAATTGAGGATTTGAAGTTGGCCATGCAAGATCCTAACGACCCTGAAGTGCAAGATGCCAAGGCCAAGCTTGCTGCTGGACCAGGATCGTCGAAGGGAAACGGAGGTAACTTCCCTACCGGTCCTTCCGACTTTGATCCAAGTGGATTGAGAGCTGTCATGAGTGTCACTCAAGCCGCAATTGATGAGGAGTTGGACAAACACATGCCCGATCACGTAAGTCAAATATGCTATTCAGAAATTTTTCAAGATGCACAGAAATTTTCTTTTGTTGAACCCATACACATTGACTAACAATTCATTGTTTTGTTTGTTACTATCAATCTACCGATACAGCTTCCGGAATCAGTCTGGACTGCAAAGGACGAGGAACTGATTAAATGGTACAAGGACAACGACCTTCCAGTTCCAATCGGTGGAAACTGGAACTACATTAGCAAGCACCGCCGGGTGGCTCGATGGTAATTAGCTCTTTGAGCTTTTTGCTTCATCCATTCGGAGTAACGAGAGAGTGATGCGTGACAGCTACGGATAACCTTAGTTATTGAATTATATTTATTTTGTTAGCGTGATATAGACTTTAGTGTGCATCATTTACTGTGTTCACCACATCATGTGCCGTCATGCTCAGGGAAGGTTGAAACACTCCGTACAGCAGTTGCAATTTAGTTCCACTTCTCCCCGCTCAATGCAGTCGGCGGTGAAATGAGTCAAATGGAGCGAACACATCCCAGGATCAACGGTACCCGAGAGACGCGTGCCATGCAAATACAAATTTTCTATAAAAATGATTATGCAAAAAGTGTGGTGTGAGTGACTATACGCGTGGTTCACTTCATGATGCCTCGTCTCCACACACCACACACAAACAGCAAAAGAGAAAGTCTTACTCAGTGATTTCATATTCTGATACTCCCGTGGAACTGGACCGTGCATTCCACCGTTATAGGCGATGTCAAGGACAACTAGGTCATTTAGTTGCGCATATTCCGTTGGCAAGGTACCGATAAAGGAGGACACCCGTAGTTCCAACGAGGAGAGAGTTTCCAGAAGAGATAGCTCCGTTGGTAAAGTGCCGTTCATCGACAAGGATGAAAGATTAATTGCCTCCAGATTTGGAAGTAATCCAGCTTCCGATGGAATGGTCCCAATTATGCGCGATTGCCCTAAATTCAAAGTGGCTTCAATAATTGTCAGTATTAATATAATATAATCAAGCAAATACATAATAACCAGTCAGTGATTGCATGCCTAGCAAACAAAGTTAATATGCATGACAACACGTCGTTGAAACTCACCGAGGTTCGACCAGGTACTAATTTCGGAAGGAATCGTTCCAGTGATACGAGATCCCCAAGCATGAAGCTCCTGGAGTGCTTGGACCTCTGTTGAGGGAAGAAAGCCGGAAACGCTAGTGCTGGAAACGTCCAAGTATGAAAGCTTTGGCATGCTGGTCAAGAGTACCTCGATTCGTCCTTCCATTCCCGAGTTGTGCTGCAATTCCAGTCGTTCTATATATATATATATATATTGTTTGAACAGCAGCAGATTAGTAAATAGCGCAGACCAACAAGCAAGAAGATCCTCATGCAAAATCGTGAAACCATACCAATGTTGGAGTCGTCCAAGCTTGCTGGAATCGAACCAGAAAGCAGATTCCCACCAAGTAAGACTGCTTGGAGACTAGTGAAGTCGCCAAGAAAGTCTGGAATTGTAGAGCGAATCTCATTGTTGGAGAGATCCAAAATCATTAGATTGGTGAGAGTTCTCCAATCGGATGGAATGGACGCTTGAATTCCCTGGTCTGCCATGTAAAGACTCTGCAGGTTTGTCAAAAAGCCAATTTCCGTGGACAATTGGGAGCCTGTCAATTTGATGCCTTGTTCTGCAGAAAGACGCAGCCCAGTAATTTGGCGACTGGTGCCATTATTACTGCAGTCCACGCCCTTCCAATCGCACTCGTGTACTCCAACCCCACCACTGTTGATCCATCCACTTCCAGGGTCATCATTGATCGAATTCCAAGAAAAAGCACCTCCATGTGCGTAATAGAGGACCACAAGGGCATATCGTTGATTGAGTCGATCTTCGAGGTCTTTTCCGGAGAGCGGTTCATCTTGAAAGGCCAACCATGTAATTGCCTGATCTTGTGGGGTACTGGGAAATGGATCATACGTTTCCAACAAGTAGGTGTAGTATCCCTGTCGATCCACCACAGCCATATCGACTCCATCAGCAATGTCATTTTCTCCCGACCGAAGGAGTACAATGCAAATGATGGTAATAAATAAGCCTGTCAGTACGAGTGATCCAAGCCACACAATGCTTTTTGCCTTGAAGGACGGCGTAGTATTAATAGTAGTTGGAGGAACAACAGTAACTTCCATGCTGTCAACTGCTTCTCCGTTTGCCACGTGCATCCTTTCACTGAATTGCATTATTGGAATTGTTATGAAATGGCCGTAAATTTAAACTCCCGTAAGGTTGTGTGTTGTATGCATCGTGATGAAGATAGGCCATACCAATAAATCATTGGTGGGATTTCAAGAAACCCCGCGGGATTTTGTCATTCACATATCCATGACACCTTTCTATAATCAGAAGTCTGGGAAATAGGAGTCTTCGGATTGGATTGCTTTTGCAGCTCCTTCTCCTCTTGGAAAAGGAATCAATACAGCGAATCAAGTCCTTGGGGGTGCTTCATCGTTTCATACTTCAACTTCACATGCATGCAGGATGCAGGTGATATGTACGATTAATAAAATAAACTGAAAACGCAGTGTCTGCAGAATGACGGGACTGACACACGGGACTCGCTGCAGTCCAAGACCTACAGTATAGGTACTGTATAGGACAGTTGCGACTTTTGTGAAAGGCAATGGCTATTGTAGCAGGCAGTGTGTCGTACCGGTACGGGCTTCGCATAGAACGCTGCCTACTAGATTTTATTGCGCCGAGTCCTAGATTTCCCCCTCGATCGCATCTTTAGTCCAGCATACAAAATAATAAGGACAAGTCCAAAGTATCGAATGGTTGGCGTTCGTGGCATCTCTGGGATTTGGATATAATCCTGAAGCGAAACGACATCTATGACAACTGCTGGTTCCGTTGCTGCTGTCGATACAGTGTTTGAAGTAGCATACGTGTTGTCACTGGAGGGCCAGTGGACGCGTGGTTGCTCGAATGGTGGGTCGGTAGGTGGGGCAACTTGGGCAGTTGTAGTGGATTCATCTACTTCTTCGTTCGTATCTTCGTTGTCATCACTGGAATCCTCTTCATCTGCTTCATTCGTATCCTCATTATTGTCAGCACTGGACGGTTTTGTGACACTCGATCCAGAATTTGTTTCGTTTGCCGCCAACTCATGGGACATGTCATTCGGATTTTCCTTGTCCACTTCATTCGTATACTCGTCATTGTCATCTTTGGAAGCTTTTGTGACACTGGATCCAGAAAGTGTTTCGTTTGCCGCCAACTCATGGGACATGTCATTCGGATTTTCCTTGTCCACTTCATTCGTATCGTCGTTATTATCATCATTGGAAGCTTTTGTGACACTGGATCCAGAAATTGTTTCGTTTGCCGCCAATTCATGAGTCATTTCCCTTGAATTTTCTGAATGATTTTTGCCAGACGAGTCGACGATTCCCTGTCCAGCAGTATTATTGTTCGTTCCTATTACCCCAGAAATCAACGAGCTGTTTCGATAACGAGCAATTTCCCAGGCCAACATTTGTGCAAACAACACACGACCCTTCGGTCCCAAGTGCCACGGAACGTAATCTAAAAATTCAGCCTCCATGTTGGTAGGTCGCCTATACTCCCACGAATAAGGAGCAATTTCCGCAGCAAAGTCCAACACTATTCGTCTGGGAGAATTGATCTCACGTATAGTCTCTTTGGCAGCCTCGTTGGCCACATGAATCAAGTAATTGTTCCCCTTGGGCATTTCGACACTTTCGTCGTCCCCCAGGACTTCCCATTGGCCAAACCAAGACCAGAGAGAGGTTTTCCAGATGAACAGTACATCCTTTGGAATTTCTTTGTCAAGATGATGGATAATTCGTCGAATATAGTCCCGTGTCTCGTTGGGCGTAAACCACTTTGGCTTGCCAATATGGTTCCACGGCCCTGTGGCTGCAACAATGATGTCGTACTTCTTCTCCTTTTTCTGCTCATATTCAAGTAGACTTTGATAATTTGCTTTAAAGAGATTGTCGATCGTACCAGGAGCGCAGGCCTTTGTTCGAAAGACACCATCCACAAAATTGTGACGAGTGTGGTCTTGGTACCTATTCTTGTACTTGTGGAAAAATTTCGTAATGCCAGAGATATTATGGCGTTCCTGAAGGAGAATGTGAAGCGTATCAGCAGCCCGTCGATCGGTAGAGTCTCCAATCATAGTAACGCATTCTTTCGAGAATATTTCATACAATTCATGTACATTGAACACACGTTTGTATGGTGGAGGAGTCCATGCCTCCAAGACATTGATTCCAGGAACTGGACCCTTGTCCGCGAGAGAGTACTCTTGTGGTCCAATTATCTTCAGTACTTCTTCTGTTGTTATGTTTTTCATATTTCACAACTTTGGACACTCTCACGGCATCAATAGTTGAACCACTAATAGCTGGTAAACCAAAATTGAAAATGTAATATCTGGTGTCATAATGTACTGTACCTATTTGTCGACGTTGAGCGTTTTACGGTATGAGAATGACTTTGTATTGTTTGGGGCGGGGATGGGAAAAGGGGGTTGTGCGACTTTAGATTAGAGGGAGAGGGAAAAAAAGATGGGGAAATATCGTTGCTGCGGATTATACATACCGCAGCATTGAACACTAATATTGTACTCATCAAAACAGCTTGGATTCAGGCTTACTTTCTATATATTAAATAGACCTGAATAGTCACGTGCGGTATTTGATAAAGTTCAATTTAAAATTGTTCTCGTCATTTGGTCATTTGTTGTGATCCCTCATTGTTTTTCCGATCTGCCAATGAGCGTCATTATGGCATGATGCACACTATGAGAATGAATAGATGATGCGTTATTCTAATCCGATGGATGTAGTGGTGGTGATGATCTAGGAGTCTCCGGAGACTGCACTTTGCAAGACCACGGGAAATACCATGGATGGTGTCCCTTCCGATGAGATCCAATCATCCAGCCCACCGAAACGATGGATCGGGTCGCCCTCTGCGAACACTTCTCGAAACAGAACCTTTGGATTCAACAAGGATAGCAGAGAACTCTCTTCCGCTTCATCCGTGTTATTGGGTTACGACGGTGACATCAAGACATTTAGTTACGACTGTGAATTCAAAACACAAATTTATCAAGTCAAATTTACTTGACGAATAGATGAAGGAAACTGAATAAGCTCTAGTCTAGACCATTGATTATTATTATCTTTCCCCTCTCCTTTTTCTTACTGCTATCATTGAATTAGCGACTGCGAATATCCTCATGCATGTTTTTCATATACAGGGTAACTGCAGCACGTTTCCCTCTAAAAATCGCTGGACTTGCGTTTTCACGATGTTTGACTTGTCACAAGCTGGAGAAGACACGCCAAGCATTTTCTGATTGGCAGGCTTTCCGATCTTGTTTGAAATAGGCAAGGCTGGCTCCATATTTGGTGAGATTTGGTGGGAACTTTATTAGTGTTCAATGCTGCGGTATGTATTATCCGGAGGTCCACATGTTCAATACGAGGTTGTACCATGTTCAATTTATGTCATGGAATGAAGTAGTCGTATACTTTACATTAGAGGGAGGGGGTATAAAAAGATGGGGAAATATCGTTCCTATTGGAATGAATGAATGTCGCAATGATGGCTGGCCACGATATGGGTACTGATAATGCAAACCTTACCGCACTCGAAGCTAGAACAATAGCTACTACTCCTTCGAAAGATGGCCTTCCTTCCACGCTGCAACACAGCAGATCACCAAGTTATCTCTTGATCAACAAGGCCCACAAACAGCAAAGGCAGCGAACAACAAGAACACCGAGAGACACACGAGATCATTATGAAAGAACTTGCAGATTCACATCGAACTACATTTGCATCTTTGATGCAACGTTCAACAGTGATGTCAATTTTCGATGCCGTCCGAACTGGCAACGGTATCCTGGTAGGAGAATTGATAGACAAGAATGATGGGGTTGACGTCCATGAAAGTGACGATGAGGGAGAAACAGCGCTGCACATTGCCTGCCGCAAAGGCAACTATGCACTGATCAAAATGTTGTTGTTGGCATATGGGGCTGATGTAAACACTTTCAGCGGCCCCAATAACAACCAAAGAAGAATGACATGCTTGCATTGCGCTTCGAAGAATCAATATCCCGAAATTGTCCTTCTGTTGCTCAAACATGGCGCAGATATTGAAGCCAGAGATGAGGACGGTTGGAGACCAATGCACTACGCCTGCCGATTGAATCATTTGGATATTGTGAGAGTGTTAATAGAGCAAGGCGCTCAATTGGAAGCACCAGGGGGCGGCAGTAGGTCAACGCCCTTGCACTTGGCTTGTCAATATGGAAAAAGTAGACTTGTCCGTCTTTTGCTAAGAAAGGGCGCCAACGCCAAGACAAGGAATGCTGAAAATCTTGGCCCTTTGCAACTTGCAGCTGCAAGCAATCATCCAGAGACCGTATGGGCATTGATTCGCAACTGTCCTTGGCTAGTTGCTGTGCTTCGATGATGAATACTGAACGCATAACTCAACGATTCCAGTGGCCACTCTAAAAGAACGATGACGAGAAAGATCATGGATAATGATTATGACATTCAAAAGACTACGGGAAGTATCGTATTATGTAGGCTAGGACACCAAACAGTTTCGAGATAGTTAAGTTAGAATCCAATCCTTTGCTGTGGTATGATGTTTGGAGACTACCTTGGATTGGAAAACGTAAGGATTAGCCGTGGTTGCTTCTATCTTTTAAAACTAAATCATGTTGGCAAAAGTTCAAGGTTGGATAATATCTCACAGTGAGTGTGTAGTAGTGAAGTGAATTTTGTTTTTCACTGCATGGTCTCTTCTTGCGAGAGAAACAAATCAATCTGCAGTCTTTTAGTAGCTCTTATTAATGGTTGGGGACGAACTGAACTCCTCGGACACCTGCTCGCGCAGTTAAGCCACATGACTAGTGAAGTCATATCAATCTCATCTGCGAAACAGATCGCTTCCTTGCCTATTGGCGAATGAGTGAAACTCTTTGAGGGATGATTCGGAATCTTTTGCATCAGCCGCCTCAGAAGCATGTTTAACTAAATGCCTTCTGTGGTACTACGCACCATGCACGGTACCAGATATGTTACTGAACCAGGTGCCGGTATGGATGTTCGACTATTTAAAAATTCGGCTCAAGATCCAAAACCTGACTCCGAAGATCCCAGGAAGTTAGACGTCGCGCATGATAGTCATGATAAATGTTGGGTAGACTGGCACATGCTGGTAGGTATTGGCGAATGAGCGAGTCATTGTCAGGAATCTTTGAGTGATGATTCGGAATCTTTTTCATCAGCTTCAGGAACATTGTTTAACTAAGTGCCTTCTGTGGTACGATGCACGGTACCAGATTAGCAGGCACCCCTCACCCGGCACCATTATCTCGACGTTCGATGATCAAAATGAAAATTCGGCTCAAGATCCAAAACGTGACTCCAAAAATCCCGGGAAGTTTTATGTCGCGCGTGTAGTCATGATAAATGAAACGTAGTTCGATCAGAAGTTGATTTCGACATACCCTGACACCACATCACCTAGTCTATAAATGTTTTGATATTTGGATGACTTGGTCGAGTTCCTGGAAAAATTTTCTCTGTGATTGAAACACGCTGGCAATTGTTGACGGCGAGCAATTTCACGTAGGATCAGGTACAAGCAAAAGAGTCGAACACCACACAAATTTCGTCGATACTTTTCGTTAATTGGGACCGATTTCATGAATCACTTGACATCTTTCTTTTTCATCAACATGCGCAAACGATAATTTTTCAATTAAGGACCTGATCAGAAGGTTTCGGCCTGATCAGAATATCTAGAGTGATGGCACGGTACCCATCAAAAACCCAAAGATGCAAACAAAATTCTGCCCATGCATCTCCAATTCCTCTCATAATATTGAATCACCAAGATCATTTCACTTACATCCCAAAAATGGCTCTCGGACAATTCCTTTCCTCTTTGCTCCAGCAGAATGGCGTAGAAAATATCACCATCATCCGCGATGATGCCTCACTGTTATCATCACCGGTGGCGCAACGGTCCAGATCCAACAGCAACAGCACATTGACAACTGTCCAAGAAGAATCGTATGACCGATTTGACAACAATTCCGAACGAGATGAGTCTCCGCCAAGATATCCAGCTCGGCGAAGGAGTCTTACTCGGTGAAGAAGAAATCATAATCCAGAAGGCTGCTGTAGAATGCCGCTTTCAATTGCAATTTTTCTGATGGAGCCCCCCCTCCCGAGAAGAAGCCGTCGTGGATTTAAAAGATACCCTCCACTGCATATACACGGCTCGTTGGAATCCAAGTGATAATATTGTCAATTTTGTAAATACAGACATAGAAAAGAATTACCTACCAAAACTACTACTTTTTCATCATGTTTCTTCCCACACAAAAGATAGTTCTTGGCACTAGTACAAGCATACAACGTAACGCTATTGCGATGGCAAAAGGCGACGTTTCATTGGGAACTCAGTGTTGATGGTGCGATAGGACCAGTACCAGGACATACAGTACTTACCAGGTACCAGTACTGGTACGCTTACCCTCTGGTATTTGAAAGGGATTGAGTTGGTTGGGTGTGTCACCGTTGTTCTGACTTTTAATGACATATGCTCGTATCCCCCAAAATAAAGGGGAAAAGAGTAATGAGGGAGGTACCGGTATACCAGTTCTAATGTTTGGAGGCACTGGCGATACAAACGGACAAGAGCCCACAATCAAATTCAATAGATAGAGAAACACTTTCTTATGTGATACTATTTTGTTGGACCATTTCCTCATTTATGATGTTGTCCATCCATGTAGAACTGTGTAGAAATGTACCAGAAAACACTAAGAAAGCCCTTTTGTGGAACGTCAATCATCCGGTTCCAGCCACTGTAAATGCACTGGGGTGCCATCCAGGTCATCCAATTCAACCACAATTTCCGACATTCCTTTGGGAAGAAGAGATGGTTTGAAATCTTGCTTCCTCCGGAATTGCCATACGCCTTGTTGCAAGTTCCACTTGAAGTCGATCAGATACCCGAAGGATTTATCCGGTCGGATGGCGCCACCAGTAAGGCGGACCCCATTGGACCACCATTTCAGTGCTTTGGCCACCTTGGGGACAATAGACTCGCCAGACTGATCAGGAGATGGTGCCGCTTGGCATACATCAGCCAGGAGGGGAGCCCAAGATATCAACATCAGAAAGTCAAAGCCAAAGCCCTTACTGATCATCATCCCCAGGAGAATGGAGTTAATTGCGACCCAAATGGGAGGTCCAGCACCGTTGCCTTGTCCACATCCTTGGAACGGGATCAGGGTCGGAGGAGTGAAGACACGGTCCGAATCGCCAAACCCTGTACGCACCCGGTGCTTTGACTTCATCAGGGTGTCAAATCGAACGCAGAGTCTGTCCTTCAAGAGTTGCAAAGGCACACTCTGTCTGGACCACATGGGTTGCCTTCTGCAACAGCTGCAACTGAGTTGCAGCTCATTCTTTTTGGAAAAGACTGCGCTGCATTTGACAGAGTGAAATTGAAGTCTAGGAATAGATAGTTATTAAGATTACCCTAGTCCCGCCTTACCCACCCTTGGAGGAAACCAGCGGTTGCGCTGGGGGATTGGGGGCCAGCAGCTAGGAACAACTGTCAGCCCAAAAACATCATTGAAACTCTTTTAGGCCCAATTGGAGTCTGCCAAATCCAAAGCGATTGAGAAGGATGAGCAATCGCATTCACAAGCCTCTTGAAGACACATTTTGTCAAAAAGGATGAAAAAATACGCCTCAATTTCTTCCACACCGCTGTTGACTTGCACTCCTCCAAGCTCGCTGTGACACGAGCGTCGGAAGAACTATCTGTATGTGGAGGGTTTTGCTGAAGGAGAAGACTGGTGCTTGTGCAGATACGAGGTGTGTGGGGGCTGTGACACGAGCGTCGGAACTACCCATACGTGGAAGGCAGGTTTTACTGAAGGGGAAAACTGGTGCTTGTGCGGATACGAGCTGTGTGGGGACCAATAATGAGAAGACTGGTGTTTGTGCGGACATGAACTGTGTGGGAACTAACACCATCGCAAAGCTATGGGACGTACCGCAAGTCATATTTCGGTTTTAGGTCACAATAATCGTTTCCTTTTGACATTTCAACAACATCACGATTAGCAGGGCGGAGAACAACGGAACCAAACAAGGAGTAAATTAGAATTTTTGCCAATTCTTTTTCCTCGAGATGTAGTATTGTTTTGAAACGAGTACCGGGTGGGAAGCATCGGACCATGAAAAGAAATTTGACTCTCGTACAAAACCGAATTTCAAAAGGAGGCACAATGCTAAGCTCGCGGAATCATATTGCAGCGAGTCCCAAGTGATACAAATGTAGTGACATCAAAAACAGGAAATAGCTGTAAAAGAAAAAATGCCCTTCAACCAAGAGTTGCTTCAACCAAAGGAATAGCTCCTCGAGCGTTCTTTTGCCTTAATGGTGAAGTTGCGAGTTCTCCCATGAAGCTTTTGTGCACATAATTTCGAATATGCATTCAGAAAGAAAATATCACGTGAATTGGAAAGAACGACAAATTGTATACAAAAGCCTCCGACATCGCATAACGAACGAGTCGAATGTTCTTTGGGAATATCTGTACCATCTATTTGATAAAATAATAATGTCGGGGCGTTCTGTGCAGTTCACTCAAAGTACGGTATGCCTTACCCACTTCTGATTTTTCTGCTCACAAACAAACCTCGAAACTCGAAACGACTCATTGCTCAGATCTCCAACAATATGGTTCTAGAAGAATTCATGTCACAGTTGCTCCATCAAAATGGTGTAAAAAGTTTCACCATCGTTGTTGATAATGCTTTGATTGTCTCGTCGAAGCTCTTGCAACGCTCAAAATCTGACAGCCATGTAACAAAAACCAAGCATCGGTTTGAGGCACAGAATTGTGATACCAGGAATGCTTTGGTTGTCTCGTCAAAGCTACTACAACGTTCAAAATCTGACAGCTGTGTAAACCAAACAAAAAGCAAGAATGCTCGGTTCGAGGCCCAAAATTGCGACACTAGGAATGCCTTGATGATTGTCTCGTCCTGCTCCCAGCTCATGCAACGATCTAAATCCGACAGATTTCTAATCCATGCAAGAACTAATGATCGGTTTAAGACACCACATTGCGCCACTAAGAATCTTGCTCCGCCTGCACTCCCAAGTCGAGTTGTGTGCCAGCTCCGCTGAGGGAGTTGCGCTAAGGAGACTGCTTCTCTACCGCAATGGATTTATTTTGTGTCACGTCCCCAATGCTAACAGTCATTAAGAACTAATGATCGATTCGAGACGCCACATTGTGCCACTAAGAATCTTGCTCCGCCTGCACTCCCAACTCGGGTGGTGTGCCAGCTTCGATGAGGGAGTTGCGCGTTAGCTGCTTGGGAGGAGCAACCGACGCATTACTCGATCAAGGGGCCTTCAAAGAGGGAAAGGGACCAAAAACCAAGTTCACCCTATGTTTTTACACACATTTTTGTTGGCTAGACTAAATACTGAATAATTTTTTCATATGCATCTATACATGAAGCTTCGATCTCCACATGATAAGCGGTATTTGCACCACGTAAGCATCGGAATGAGACGAATGATTAGAGACGTTGCGCGAGAGATACCGTACGACCTTTGACTGTCTAAATTTGAGATGTTCATCGAAATGCTCTTGACCCAAGCTGTTCTTCCTGTATGTCTTCCTTGGCATCAAAAAAATAGAGTACGAGATCATTATGCATTCAGGGAATGGGTCGCTTCTTTTGTTTCTTGACGGAGTATTCGGTTCCTCTTTCCCGACCATTTTTCTGTTGCGGTGCGCGACAAAGGAAGAATAGGAAGACAATGGATTTGAAGAGCTACAAATGGATTCGGGTAGCAGTACTCCGTTGCACTTCGCCGGGAAATAGTTCAATTACTGCTAGACAGTGGCGTCGAGTACTCTTGAACTTTGCTTATTAAAGAGGAAATCCAGAAATAACCTAGCGACTTCTGGATTACGATGCCAGAATGGGCACTGCGTGCTGTTTCAAACACGGAGAAAGTGTTGTCATATGACTTCTTGGTGTTGACGACTGGAAGTTGGCGCCAATGTGGAAATTCGAAACGAAAAAGTAGGTTCGACACCTTTGCAAGCTACACCTGCTTGGTGGTGGCCTATCTGTAGCAGAATTACAGTGTCAGTGCAGAGGGATGGACGGGGACTTCTAGATATATTATATGCGGTATAATATTTGACTGAGGTTTTTGAGATTCCAGATTTTAAGTAAAAATGAATTGACGCGACGACCCACCGAAAAGAATTGTTCATTCTTGTCAGTAATAGATTGATTGTTGTTGCTACTTTGATTGAGTGCAGAATAGTTGATTCTATAGTTATGGAACTGAAGTAGATAGTCATCAGTGCATGTAGACTTGATTGGTCATATGGACAGTGCAGAGTTAATGACTCGCACCTGAATGACTATTTTGAAGATAGTTGTTCCTATTTTCGATTTCTATCAGGGGACAAGGAAGTGGCCCCTTTTCCCCTTGCTTGAAATCACTGATACCAACTTGGCAAAAAAACTCGTCACTCGGAGAATTCAAGGTACTTGTGTTAGAATGAAATCACCAAGAAAACAGGTTTCGGAAATCAGAATACGAAAACGCTATCGAGTGAGAGTTGGTGGCTCCGTTCTTAGTACTATACCAGTCCAACCCTAAGCCTTCGACCTTTGGTTTGGATTTCTGTACACAATCGTTTCCATTTGAAACATCAACAAAATCACGATTAGTAGGACGGAGACCCACGGTACCAGCAAGAAGCAAATTAGTATTGTTGCCAATTGCTTTTCCCCGAGATGTAGTAGTGTTGTGAAACGAGTATGGTACCGCACGACCTCTTGGGACCGAGTGGGAACATGAAACAGTCCAAACGGAAAACGAGATACAAAACCATTGCAGCGAGTGATACAGATTCCAGTAGAGTACCCTTCCATCAAAAGAGTAATACCGGCCGGTACCTGTTCGGGCGTTCTTTTCCCTGAATTTGGTTGTCGGAGATTTTGCATGTTCTCCCATCATGAAGCACAATTTCGATTTTTCATTTCCATGTGAAGGAAATAACACATGAATCGTAAAGAACAACAGATTGTGAACAAAAGCGCACAACGAACGAGGCGAATGTTCTTTGAGCATTTCTGCATTACTCTGTCATATTTTAATACTAATTAAAAAAATATACAAATGTCAACGAGTTCAGCGCAGTCCACTCAAAAGTATCAACTCACTAACATTTGATTTTTCCTCTCACAAATCTCGAATCTCGAAACGACTCATTGCTCTGATCTCCAACAACATGGTACTAGAAGAATTCATGTCACAGTTGCTCCATCAAAATGGTGTGAAAAGTTTCACCATCGTCGTGGACAATGCTTTGATTGTGTCATCAAAGCCCTTGCAACGCTCAAAATCTGAGAGCCATGTATCCCGGCATGAAAAAACCAAACGTCGGTTCAAGGCACAGAATTGTGATACCAGGAATGCTTTGGTTGTCTCGTCAAAGCTACTACAACGTTCAAAATCTGACAGCTGTGTAAACCAAACAAAAAGCAAGAATGCTCGGTTCGAGGCCCAAAATTGCGACACTAGGAATGCCTTGATGATTGTCTCGTCCTGCTCCCAGCTCATGCAACGATCTAAATCCGACAGATTTCTAATCCATGCAAGAACTAATGATCGGTTTAAGACACCACATTGCGCCACTAAGAATCTTGCTCCGCCTGCACTCCCAAGTCGAGTTGTGTGCCAGCTCCGCTGAGGGAGTTGCGCTAAGGAGACTGCTTCTCTACCGCAATGGATTTATTTTGTGTCACGTCCCCAATGCTAACAGTCATTAAATCTGTCCTGTGGGTATGGTTGCTTGGGAGTAACCGACCTATGACTTGATCAAGGGGACTTCCATGGGGGAAATGGGCAAACCTGTCTAGACCAAATAACATTTTTAAATATGAATATAATAAAGCTTCGATATTCTACACATACGGAGGAAGAGTAGTCTAATACAAGTATTTGAAGATTTCAGAACCGGTTTCTGGTTTCAATTTGTAACACTTAAGCATCGGAATGAGACGAATGATTGGAGACGTTGCTCGAATCAACGAGAGAGATACGACCTTTGACTCTCTGAATTTGAGATGTTCGAAATATTCTTGACCCAAGCTGTTCTTCCGGTAAGTCTTCCTTGGCATCAAAAAAATAGAGAACGAGATCATCAGGCATTTCAGGAAATGGGTCGCTCCTTTTGTTTCTTGACGGAATGCTCGGTTCTTCTTTCCCAACCACCATCAGCTCCCATGGAGTCTGGGGAATGGGAAGAATAATTTTTCTGTTGCAGTACGCGACAAGTGCAGCTGCAAGACCGAGCGCAATTGGAAGGAGTAGGAAGACAATGAATTTGATGTCCACTTCTGCCTTGACAGTAGAAGCGACTGTTGGAGCTAGGTGCAAAACACCCAATGAGAACAGAGCGGCAGGAATCACGTTTTCCTCAAATGATCTCAATTCGTTCAATGTGGGTCTCACTTGGCCATAGACTCCTGCAACCACACTTACTAGCTCACCATCTACCGCGAAATTCCTTCCCCATATGAAAGTCACCTCGCTTATTTCACAGCTTACAGAAGATGTGAGGGGAGCATAGATTTTGTTGTACAAGGCGTCAGTGTCTTCTGGGAAGCTGTCGCATTCGTTTCGAACAATAGCCAAACACTGTGTACCTGTCGATTGGAGTCCGCTTGGCCGATTTGGACACTCTCCTACAATTTCAGCAAATAAACTGTAGTATTTCCTCCCGCTCCCGATGGTAACATCACTAGCCAGACTATTCCCAGAAGCCAGTACAACTCTTCCAAATTCAATAGTTTCGTTTCCGATCTGAATACCGTCGATCACATTGTCCAGCGTGCGACCCTTTTTCCAATCATCTCGATCGCGTGCTAGCTTTCGTTGCTCGTGATCCAACACAAAAGAGTAGAACAGTTCTTCACCATTCTTCAGCTGGACTTCATCCCCTACAAAACCAGCAATCCATGGTGGTGTAGACATCTTTTCTACTATCTCGACTTGCTCCAAGCTGCCGCTAAAAACTCCCGAGGGACGAATACCCAAAAAGGTACAATTCGGGATTACAGCAGTATTGTACACTGTTTCATCCAGAGCTCCTCCCGTCATCGCCTCTTCGATGATTGCTGGATGGCTTGATTCGCAGATAAGGGGTATTTCGGTTGCCATTGATACAATGGCGCTGTCGTCGGGCATGTACGTTGTGTCGTACTGGAAGCCGCCAAACACCAGAGTTCCCCGTTTTGGCCGAATCGCCACTTGGACAAATGGAGAGGCAGCCCGAGCGATTGCTCCAACCGACCTAAAGAACGACTCCCACAACATAGTTTGCTCTCGGCCCTCAATAATGCGGCCCTTTTTAATGGCGTTAGAAATGGACAATGTTCGAAACTGTTCGGGGTCACCCGCGCTGATGAAAGAACGCATCAAATTGCGATCTTGGGCAGTTGTAGAGATCCTCAGTATAGTATCCAATCGGCCCGGGACCTCTTCATCGATAAAGTCAAAACCAAACATGGCGATCGTGTGGCTAAAGTCAGCTACGAACAGAAGCAATGCTACAGCAATGGCTGGAGCAGTCCAAGCCATTGACGGAAGCGAACCAAAGGCCTGAACTACATCTCCTGGAACAACTCCTAAGTGATTCAATGGAATCGTCTTCTTGTACCGACCAAGTTGCCAAGTGACGATCAGCGGATACACCGCGGCAAAAGCAAACCCAAAAAAGGTCCTCGTGGCGAATCCAAAAAGATCAGCAAGGACATTTAGGGTAGTTGGGTCGATATTTTGTATGGTCCAAGTCCAGCGCTCGTCTACCTCATCTTCGTCACTTTGACCAACACTAGAAGATGGCATTCCCTTGACATTCTCGTTTGTGACGGTTAAAGACACATTGAAAGGATCGACATATTCCTGACAATCGCCATTTTCGTCCAGAATTGGGCAGGCGAGATCCCATGTCTGGAAGCTAGCAGAGCCGCAATCGTATGCGAAGCTATGGGGCGACGAGCTGTTTTGTAGGACAGTACAGGAGGCGCAGTAAGCAAATGGATCTGGATTTCCAATTAGGCAAGCTGGATTCTCACAGCGGGACAGGGATAGCCCAGTAATATCTGTCGTGCAGTATACGGTGAAGTCGTCACTTCTGCCGAGCATATCGTCATAGGGAAAGACAAAGTCCTCGAACAACCATCTTCGATTCGTGTTCTGACAGCTATAACCAAGACCGGAGATGATGCATTCCCAATGGACATAGTCACCACAATCTCCATCCACATTTCTCGATGCGCAAGATGAAACTGCATCTTCCTTGTAGTCTTGTTCGCTCGAAATGGACGTAACGTTCAGCAAGTTCCGACAATCATATACCACGTCGGTCCCAATCAAGGCGCAGGACGTACAATATTCGGTACCTAACTCTGTTGTCGAGTACACCATGACACAGTCCTTGTCGCAAAAGGTATCACTGCTGGGAAGGTCGCCATTTTCCACAAAGGCATCTGATTCACAAAAGAAGACAGGGTAGAGGAGATCCGATGTCGAGGAATTTCGTATGTCCAGTCGATTGACGAATGCATCCACAATGCCATAGCCAAATTTCCCAAATGTCGGTTGGCACAAAAATGGACGTGATAATCCACTGTTGCACGTAAATAGACTGAGTTGCTGCTCCTGCCTGGCTGTTGGAGACCCCTGGGGCACTGCAAAGGGCATCGGGAGCGAGTACATTAAATTGATGTTCGAAAGGTCGCTCATGGTTGTTGTCTCATGGAATGTATGACGGTGTTGTGTGAGCAAGAATGAATGATGACCGCTGGCACGTGTGGTTGTAGTAGTTTTCATGTGGATCAATATAATAATAATACCGGTATAATGCTTTCAACTTCTTCCCTCCATGCATTGTCGACGTCATCATGGCGTCAAAGGAACCTTACTGAATCCGGGTTATTCTTCATGCTGGTACAATGATACCAGCGGCAAGCAAGTTCAAAGTCTTATGATACACGTCACCTCTTAAGTTTACTCCTTCTATCTATCATGTAGTTGTTATGATTTAAACTCAATTTCTCCGGTTTGGGGTGGTCTGTCATCTAACTGCTCGATAACCTCATTGGCTACGCTTTCAATCAAGTTGATGTTGGCCTCTGGTACGTCTCCGGCGGTTTGTTCGAATATCTCAGGATTCACCTTTTCAACTTGGCCCTTGGAAAACAAATCAAGCTTTTTGTACAGTTCTTTCAAGGCAGCTGTTTGTTTGTCCTTGGGTAACAACTGATCGGCGTCCGTTCCACCAAAGAGAATTTGTTGAGCGGTCAAATCTTTTTTCCCGTAGAATCCATGATTGACATGATCTCTGGGTCCAACTATCGCTCCTGAGATGCCTGCACTCGCAAAGGCTCCCTTGCTGAAGGCAATCGTCGCGGTACCGCCTTTTCTATAGTTGGCAACGTTCCCATCAGCACCTATTCCACTGGCAGAAACATTGAGATTGGCATCAGCACCAACACCATAGGTGCCCAATGTCGCTTGAGTACCGGCATTCACCTTTAATCCAGTTTTGCTCGTAAAGGATCGTACGCTCTTTTCGTCAAAGGCAAAGATGATCATATCTGTCACTTGCGCTCCGACCGCCAGTCCATATCCCGTGGCAGCCAACCCACAAGAGCAGGGGGCGCTCCATTTGCCAGTAGCTTCATCCTCGACCATGCATATACCAGTTCCTGCTGCCCCCTTAATAATGACGGCACTCTCTACTACGGAAATCATCATGACTCCTTTTGCTTTTTGAAACAGAGTAGCGAGGGATCCGTTGCGGTCCACCGTGGCAGCGTGATCGAGGACATTGTTCGCGTTTTCGATCATACCTTCCATGGTCAGTCGTTGTGGCATCAGGCTTGGGAATGGCATCTTGTTGTAATTGTGATTTTTGTTATTTCTGATTGTTAACGTGAGGTTGGTCTATCTTTGTTTTATGACGCTCACAAACAAACCAAAACATAATGAGAATAGAGACCTCTTCGCCGCAACATATATTTTAAATATACTGCGTGTAGTATTTTCGGATGGGAAAGACAGATGTTGAAGACAGAGGGTGGGCTTTAGAAGGGGGACAAAAGAGGGGAAACGTTTCCCTAAAACATAATTTTTAAAAAAAGAAGGAATGAATCATGCATAACGTAATGTCAATGTTAAATATCCTCCTTCTATCTATCTTCAATTGTGATTTAACTGGAAACCTCAATTGCTGCGGGTTGGGGTGGTCTGTCATCCAATTGTTCGACAACCTCATTGGCTACGTTTTCAATCATGTTGATGCTGGCAACTGGTACGTCTCCAGCAGTTTCTTCAAAGTTTTCAGGATTGACCTTGTGGACGTGGCCCTTGGAAAACAAGGCAAGCTTTTCGTAAAGGCCTTCCAAGGCAGCTGTTTGCTTGTCCTTTGGTAGCAACTCGTGGACGTCTGTTCCGCCAAAGAGAATTTGTTGAGCGGTCAAATCTTTCTTTCCGTAGAATCCATGATTGACATGATCTCTGGGTCCTACCACTGCTCCCGAGACGGCTGCACACGCAAAGGCCCCCTTGGTAAAGCAGATGGTTGCGGTACCGCCCGTCCTGTAGTTGGCAACGCTTCCATCAGCACCAATTCCACTGGCGGAAACATTGAGATTGGCACCTGCACCACAACCATAAGTTCCCAATGTCGCTTGAGTACCGGCATTCACCTTCAATCCAGTCTTGCTTGTAAAGGAATGTACGCTCTTTTCGTCAAAGGCAAAAATGATCATATTTTTCACCTGTGCTCCGAACCCGATCCCATATCCGGTAGCAGCCAAACCACAAGAGCAAGGGGCGCTCCACTTTCCAGTGGCTTCGTCCTTGACCATGCAAATACCAGTACCTGCTGCCCCAGATAGAATGACGGCACTCTCTACTACGGAAATCATCATGATTCCTTTGGCTCGTTGAAACAGCGTAGCCATTGATCCATTGCGGTCCACCGTGGCAGCGTGGTCCAGGACAATGTTCGAGTTTTCGATCATACCTTCCATGGTCAGTCTTTGTGGCATTAGGCTTGGGAATGGCATTTTGTTGTAAATGTTGTTGTTGTTGTAAATGTTGTTGTTGTTGTTTCTGAATGTAAACTTTAGGTTTACCTTTGATTTTATGATGTCTTGCTGCTCATCTACTGTCTTTGTTTGCGTGGATCAATGAGCCAAACGCCTCTTTTCCGATCGGATGTATCTTTTGATACGATACAAAAAATAAGCGGTCGAAGTTTCCGGGGGATCCTTTTCAAAATTTAAAAACTGCGTGCACGTCTCGCTCACACGTCTCCTCATCGATGGTGGCTAGAGGAGTACTCGTCTAGTGTTTTAAGACCACAGAGAGAGGGATATAAAAACAATAAACAGGTATAGCGGATAGCGGATAGCGCTATAGCGGTACCGGTATATAACTTTCTCACAAGAAAATACGAAACCCGCAAGATTTTGAAATCACGTCTGGATATTATGATCTGGAAGAATCATATTGGTGAAGTCTTTTCATAAACTGAGATGTTCATCTAGAACAAAATGGCAAACCCGCCTCCTGCTGCCTTCATAGTGGTGGCCATCCCAGAAGGGACTGCACCTGGAAAGTAGTTCCCGGTGATTGTTGGAGGACTGCAGCTGATGGTAACTTGCCCTCAAAATTCCCAAGCTGGCATGTCAATGAGGATTGTTCCACCAATGATCCCATCGTTGGTGCTTATTCCTGACTTGCTGCACAGCAGTGCATGCTGCCGAAATGGCCAAGCGGAAACTGTACGAAAGCTTTTGGAGAACGGTGCAGCAGATGTCCTCCTCGAAACAACGGATGATGCGGGATGCACACCATTGATCAAAGCATGCGAAACAGATCAATTGGAAATTATCCGTTTGCTTCTGCAAAAAGGAGCTAATGTAAATGCTAGAGGCGACGATCAATGGATGTCTCTACACTACTCCTCTCGCCATCGTCACCTGGAAATTTACACGACTACTGCTGGAAAACGGTGCCGATGTGAATGCAACGAAGGATGATTCTAACCCAGAACTTGAGGTTGTTAAACTCTTGTTGGAAAAGGGTGCCAATGTGAGGGCTAGTACTTCAACGGGTTCAACGCCATTGCATTTTTCTTGTTGCTATGCGCTGCAGGTGCCGGTTGTTCAGTTACTATTGGATCGAGGGGCTGATGTGCAAGCCATAAATGGGGATAGAACGACGCCGTTGCACCTAGCTTGTTTGAATGAAAATGTGGAAATTGCTAGGATGTTACTATTGGACCGAGGTGCCAATGTGGAGACAAAGACTAGTAAGGGTATCACCCCGCTGGAGATGGCATACTACGAAGTCAAGTGTCCAAAGCTCACGCGGTTGCTTGTACAACACATGATGGCATTGGCCGGTTGTGCAGTGATCGTTGAGACTGATGTAATTTATGATGTGGTGGCCTTATGGTTTTGAAAGTCCTTTTAGCCTGTACTTCACCAGCTCATATTTCATACCTGCCCCATTAAATAACGCCAAACCAAGAAGATGCGGTCACCCTCCATGTAGCAAAATGCTCTTCAGCATCATTCATTATTGTGAAATGCAAACAGCCAGCAGTTATTCGATCGTTTCGGCGGCCTCATTCAGGCTGATTCAAGTCCATGCCGTACCTCCATATTTGATTTCAATACAGCTTCTTTAACATTTACAGCATCCACCAATTCATGTTGTAAATCATCGACCGTGGATTGAACCGCTATCCTCCCTTCTCTTTCTGCTGTCAATTCGTTTTCCATATCGACCATATCGGCAGAAGCAACTTCATAAGTCGCCTGCAGCTCAATCAGCTGTTGCAAAATTCGGTCCTTCTTTTCTTTGGCCATTTCCGAATCAGCCTGCAACGTAGATGTCTCCTCGAGTGCTGCCGATCTAGCTTGTACAGCATCAGCAAGGCTATGCCCAAGTTGATTTACTGTATCTTTCAATTCTACAACCGTGCCCTCGCTTACAAAGAGTTTTTTCTTCAACTCTATCTTTTCTTTCCTCGCATCATCGAGTTCCAACTGTGCTTGTTGTAGCAGTGCCTCAGCTTCCGTGGGGTTGCTCGATTCACGAATGACAGTTTGGTGTTCGTCTTCTTGCTTTGTTTCTTGGATGAAATCCTTCTCTTCTTTGGCCAACTCCAAATCTGCCCTCGATGGATGCGTCTCATCAAGTACTGACAGGTTTATTTCTACAGTATTAGCAGGATCATTCTCAGGTTGATCTACCATATCTTTCAATTCTACGATCGATTGGCATGTATTAGTGTCATGAAAAAGTTTCGTGCGATATGCGATGGTGTTCTCATGCGATGGTGTTCTCAAACTCAAAACCGATAATTCTTTTAAAAATGCATGCCCCCAAATGAAAAAGGGAGAAAGCTTCCACCAAATGAAGTCCAGAACAATACATAGAGCAGGTAGCGTATCATAATAACCAAAAAGCCGAACATATATATTGCAACAGCAAACCAAATCAGAGAGTACCACAGTAGAATACTGGATGTGCACGTTTCATTGTTGATTTTCCCCATCGCCGCTTACGTGTAGCATAACACTGGCTTACATCCAGCACTAGGCACACGAGTAGTGTCAAGCAACTTTCATCGACATAAACTGTCGATAGTGAAATTGAGCATCGAGATCTCGTCTCTTTTTGATTGACGATACGATATATCTCATTGTTTCTTGTTGCTCAGGCAAACAAAGACGAGATGAAAAGATGGCGATCACTGCTCGAACCTGCCAAAAATGGTAATTTGGCGCTCGCCAGAAGAATCTTGGCGGAGTCGAGTGGCACTCTGAATGTACGCGATGACCTGGACATGACACCCTTACACTATGCATGTAAGAACGGGTATGTGGAGATGGTCCGGCTCTTCCTCGATCACGACGCCGAAATGGAAGCCATGGACTGTAAAAGAATGCGACCATTGCACTTGGCCTGCAAACATGACAAATTGGAGGTTGTTCGTCTCCTACTAGACAGAGGTGCTGATATGGAAGCCCAGACCGAGACAAAGATGAAGCCATTGGACATTGCATGCAACAACTCTGAGGATTTTTCGTGTCGACATCTAAACTTGGCAGTGGCTGCGCTCTTGTTAGACAGAGGTGCTGATACCAAGGCGACGTGTCTCAGTGGATGGGCCCCATTGCACTACGCGAGTAGCAAAGGCGACACGGAAATTGCTACACTGTTGCTGAAAAAAGGCGCAAGCGTGAATGCAAAGACTCATAGAGGGGACACGCCTTTGCATATTGCGTGTAAGCGAGGTAAATTGGAAGTGGCTCGATTGCTGCTGGATTGGGACGCGGACATGGAAGCGGAGGATAAAGGATCTTCTACACCACTCCATGGTGCGTGTCGATTTTTTCGGCCAGACGTGGCTCACCTTCTGTTGAGTCGTGGTGCCAATAAGGAAGCAAAGGACGAAGCAGGGTATTCACCGTTACATGTTGCTTGTTCATGCGGACACGTGGGAACGGCTCGGGTCTTGTTGAATAGGGGCGCGAATGTCGAAGCAGTACAATGTGCCGGCCGAACACCATTGCATCTTTCTTGTCAAAACGGTAGATTGGACGTTGCCCGTTTGCTTCTAGATCGAAATGCCAACATTGACCTGATGGATGAAATGAAAAAGACATCTCTGGAGCTTGCATGCGAGAACGAACATGTGGAAATTGTTTGGCTGCTGGTTCGTCGATTTCCGTGGATACTGTTAAAAATTGTTCAAGATTAATGATTTTGTTGGACAATAGTAAAATACATTGTTTCTATTGCTGCTACTTTGCTCTTGCATGGGCCATAAGACGCAGAGTATAGCTTTAGTGCTACACGACATACTTCAAGCTACATAGTACGGATATCATCTCCTTCTGTCTATACCTCAATTGAGCATGTTTTCAGATTAGATCTTTTCACCCATGGAAATCGACTAATTCGACCAATCAATGACATACGAATTTGCCATCTGTCATACATACCGTATTTCATGATCCTATCATCACATAAGCATCAACAAACATAATCGCAAACATATATAATCAGTGATTGTGACTAAATATCCTACTGTATCTCTGCCTCCCTCTAACTTCATGACCTTCAACTTTAGAACCAATGGCTAACAACACTCTCTACAGTTAGGCCCCCATTTCACGAACATCACTGCCAAGCAACAAGATATTTTTCGCACGATCCCACTTCGCTTTTGTCATTCCTTTTAGGGGCACGCTTGCAATATGTCACTTTCACCGTCACTCTTCCCTGCTGTGAGAGTTAGCAACCTTGCGCTGGTGAAATTGCTGCTGGATGACGGAGCAAATGTCAATGAAGTAGAATCCACCAATGAGACGCTCTTACACGTGGCCTGTTCTATTGGGAATCTGGAGCTGGTTCGGTTGCTTTTGGACAAAGGTGCCAAGACCTCCCTGGTTGCAGATGATGGGTGGGCGCCCTTACACTGCGCATGCCTACACAACCATTTCAGGATTGTTGAAATGCTTTTGGAAGCTGGTGCTGATGTGAACGTGATGGAAAAAGAGCAATGGACGCCATTGCACCTTGCTTGCACCAACAATTTTCTGGACATTGCTGAATTGTTACTGGATGCAGGTGCCGAGCTTGAAACGACACAAAGTTACCATCGGACGCCACTGCATCTCGCCTGTTTGAATGATAATTTGGACGTTGCTGAGCTCCTTCTAGACCGAGGTGCTGACATGGAAGCGGCAGATAGAGACGAATGGCGTCCTCTGCATCATGCTTGCAAGGATAATTACTTGGAACTTGCGGAGTTGTTGCTAGATCGAGGTGCCGATATAGAAGCCGGTGACGAAGACGGTTGGTCCTCTTTGCATCTTTCTTGTCGCTATGGCCAGCTGGAGATAGCACGGCTGTTGCTACATCGGGGTGCCCTGCCCGCCACAACTACACAACATGGTCGCACCCCGCTGCATTTTGCTTGTCAACATTCTTACGCGGAAGTCGCACAACTGCTTTTGAATAAGAAAGTCAATATAGAAGCGCAAGACGAAGATGGCTGCACCGCTTTGCACCTTGCATGTCGATACGATCGTCTCAAAGAAACTTCGCGACTTTTGTTGCAGCACGGCGCAGATAAAGAGACGAATGATAATAATCAGTGCACACCATTACACCTGGCCTGCCGGTATGGTTGCTTTGGAGCAGTCAAAGTGCTGCTTGATCAAGGTGCCTCCATGCAATCAAAAGCAAAGCAGGACAAAACACCACTGCATTTGGCCTGTGCACACAACCGTTCAGCAATCGTCGGGCTTTTGTTGGACCGAGGAATAGATCTAGAATCCCAAGATATTGATCAGCGCACGCCTTTCCATGTAGCGTGTGAGAACAAACATTTGGAAGTCGTTTGGTTGCTGATAAGCCGATGCCCATGGCTGATCTTTCAGCGGTCTTAAACACAAATGAGATAGACGAGGAAGTACACCGCATGGTTTCGGTTGGTTTTAAAATACGCACAAAGCATAAAACGATTAAGGACTAAAACGCGTGCACTATCTTATCCATTGCACAATATGTAACTTTCATGGTGGATGATGCCTCTCAGACAACCAGCATTCCCCCAATAAACTCCCCCAATCCAGACGGGAATTCCATCATGATGTGGCGCGGGTTTGGATTTATTGTTTGACTATGCTATTGAACAATAAAACATGACGGAACTGTGACACACACCCGAACATCGCAGCTTCGGTTTGGTTGCTGCAGACATGCCTGAATATTCGCATACTGGGTGTCGTCGCTGCATATGAAGTATTAATTAATCCTTGCTCTGTGATGCATAAAAGAGAATCAAACTGAAAAACAACAAGCATCATGTCACTATGTCATGCTGCCAGAGATGGCAACTTGCTCCTTGCCCAGACGCTGATATGGAATGGAGCAGATGTAAAAAAAAGCATAAGTGAGACGAGTATTTGCTCACAAGGCTGTTGGCCTACCTTTCGGAAGGTGGATAACCGAAAAGCAATCTGGACCGAAGATGCTGATAATATTGAAAATGATTCAGAAGACGATGATACCACTACTATATCTCAACACATTCAACGAACACCGTTGCACTATGCGTGTCAAAATGGTCACTGGAAAATTGCGAAACTACTGCTCAATCAAGGTGCCAGTATCGATGCAATGGATGAAAAGGATTGCACTCCATTGCACCGTGCCTGCGACAATGGACATCTGCAAGTTGCCCAATTTCTCCTTGACCGAGGGGCTGATATTGCATCACAAGATGACGAAAAGTGGAGGCCGCTGCACTATGCATGCCGAAATGGTGATTTTGACTTGGTCACCATGCTTTTGGAACGAGGTGCAGATATAAATGCCTATGATCATGAAGGGTGGACAGCGCTGCATCTGGCTTCCAAGCATGGTAATTTGCGTATTGCCAGGCTTCTTGTCGATCGTGGGGCAGACATAAACGAACAAACAGAAGATGATTGGACGCCATTACTTTTGACTTGCGCCCATGACAATGTGGAGTTTGTAGAGTGCTTGCTAGACCGAGGTGCCGATATGGATATGGAAACGAGCCTTGACTCCAAGCCACTCCACATCGCCTGTCGCAACGGGCAAGTCAAGGTTGCCCAACTACTACTGCAGCGAGGCGCAGATTGCAAGGCCCATGATGAAAATTTACGGACACCACTACACGTGGCTTGCAACAGATCGCATCTCGATGTTGCCAGATTGCTACTTGACGAAGGTGCAGATATCGAAGCGAAAGATGACAAGAATTTGACTCCATTGCATTGTACATGCACGGTGGATCATTCGAAACTTGTGCAATTACTACTGGATCGCGGTACTTCCACAACTGATCATTTGCAGATTGTACGACTACTATTGGACCGCGGTGCTGATATTGAAGCCACCGACGTTGATCAGTGGACAACACTTCATTTCGCGGCTTCTCATGACCATCTAGAAGTCGCAAGACTGCTGCTAGATCGTGGTGCAAATCTAGAAGCTAAAGATGACGATGAATGGACTCCATTGCATCTTGCTTGTGACAAGGGGAATATGGATGTCGCCCGAATACTACTGGATAGGGGCTCCGATATAGCAGCAGAGGAAGAAGACAAGTGGACCGCTTTGTACTGTGCCTGCAACGCAGGTCAAACGAATGTTGCTGCAATGCTCTTGGATCGCGGTGCAACCATCAATGCAAAGACAGATATTCAACGCACACCTCTGCATGTTGCGTGTATTCTGGGGTATCTGGAGACGGCTGATCTTCTTTTGTCTCGAGGTGGTGATACCGAAGCACAAGACGAAGATGGATGGACACCATTGTATTTCGCTTGCCAGAATGGTCATGTCAAGGTCGCAAAAATGCTTTTGGATCGAGGTACTTGTGTGAAAGGTACAAAGCTTGAAGTCACGCTTTTGCATGTTGCGTGTACAGAGGGGCATCTGGAGACGTCCGAGCTCCTCGTGTCTCGAGGTGCTGATGCCGAAGCGCGAGACGAAGATGGATGGACACCGCTGCACCTCGCATGCCGAGCATCTAATTTAGAAATTGTGCGGCTTTTGATTGATCGTGGTGCTGATATTGAAGCTAAAGGCGACGAAGACTTCAAGCCATTGCACTGCGCGTGTGAAAATCAATATTTAGAACTTGTTCAACTATTGCTCGATCGAGGTGCTGATGTGGAGGCAACGACATGCAATCAGTTCTCACCATTGTATTTCGCTTGCAAGAATGGAGATGTCAAGGTCGCAAAAATGCTTCTAGATCGGGGTGCCGACGTGGAAGGTACGAGACGGCTCTGTGCTTGCCAATGCCCCCCACTGCGTTTAGCGTGTCAGAATGAGCATACCGAGGTGGTCCGACTCTTAATCGAGCGAGGTGCTGATGTGAACGTCCACGATGATGGCAATACTACGCCTCTGCACCTTGCTTGCAAAAGTGGAAGCATGGAGATTGCGCGCTTGCTATTGAATGGAGGAGCTGATGTAAACGCGATACAAGCAGATGAGATGAGACCGTTGCATTTTGCTTGCCAAAGAGGAGTTGAGCTATCTCGGCTGTTGATGGATCAAGGTGCCGACATTGGGGTAACGGATGAAGACGGCTGGCACCCCATTCACTTCGCGTGCAATCAAGCAGATCTTTCTACTGTGGAGCTGTTATTGGAACGGGGTGCGGATCCTGATGCACGACGAAAATATCAATGGACGCCGTTGCACATGGCAAGCAGAATCAATGTTGCACTCACAAAAGTGCTATTGGACAGAGGTGCCAACATTAACGCAGTAGATGACGAAGGAAGCTCACCGCTGCACCACGCATGCGACACAGGGCGATTGGAGGTTACGCGACTGCTTCTTGATCGAGGAGCTGACATCCAGGCAACTAATCGGGACGAAGCGACTGCTCTACATATTGCGTGTAAGGAAAACCATCTTCCAATAGTTGAACTGTTGTTGGGCAAAGGTGCGGATACAGAAGCAGTTGATAAAGGTCACCAAACCCCATTGCATGTCGCGTGCTACGATGGGAGATTAAATTTTGTTCGTATCTTACTTGACCGAGGTTCCAAGTCGGAAGCTGAGGACAATGGCAAATGGACGCCGTTGCATTGCGCTTGTGCCCGTGGTCACTCTAAAGTTGCTGAGTTGTTACTGGACCGAGGTGCCGATCTAGAGGCGAAGAACGAGGATGGGTGTACCGCACTACATCTTGTTTGTCAAAACGAGGACCATGCTGAAACTGCTTTTGTACTTTTGGAACGAGGTCCGAATATAGAGGCAAAGACAACCAAGTACGAATGGACTCCATTGCATTTTGCTTGTTGCAATGGTGTGTCTGTAATAGCGTTGTTTGTGATAGAATGTGGTGCCGATATAGAGGCGAGAGACAATCTCGAAAGGACACCATTGCACCTGGCTTGCAAATCCGGGCAATTAGATATTGCCGAACGTCTTCTTGATCGCGGTGCTGACATCGAAGCGAGTGATGTAAATGAAATCACAGCAATGCATCTTGCCTGTGAGAGCAATTGCGTGGAGCTCGTTTGGATGCTGGTGAATCGTTATCCATTCTTGTTTGTAGCGCGATAATTGGAAATGAAGTATCGAATATGCGAAGTTTTGGCACTTTCTCATTTCATCTGATTCTGGTACCAACACGAGCACAGTAGCTATGGGAGGTCTATGTTGGCTAGCATGTTGCATATTATACAGTTTTCTACTTCAGCATGAAGTGTCGCTGGACCAGCGATGACGCCATTGAAGGCATGTTCGCCATTCACCAAGAATGAATCCCTGGGGCGTACAGAATGCTGTCCTGCACTTGTTTGTATTCAACAGTCTGTGGCCCCAAATCTCAACGTAGCTTTGAGCGGGTGATCTTCATCGTTTCGGCATTATGATTCAAGTCTCCTTTGCGCAGTGTTCGCTTGTCCATCATATCACAATGATGTCTAGCATCTTGTTGCTTCTTAACGACCCTCATCTTGCTTAGCGGTTTTCCATGTAATCGTCAGTCACCTTCACAACCTATCACAGGAATTTGGCCACCCATCGAAAAGCAGATTGGTAACCTTCTCCCTTCAGAACTGATATACGAAACATGGCAATATTCTCCTCTCCCTGCATCTTCTGAAGCTCCTGGTAATGGAGTCCTTCCTCAATTTCTTTCGATGACAAAGCCTCGTCCAGATCGCACTTATTGCACATGATCGCAACGGGAACATCCGCCACAATTTTTTCTCCAATCAAGGCATCCAATTCAAAGGCTGCCTCCTCCAGTCGTCCTTTGTCAGCTGAATCTACGAGGAATAAGACAGCACTACATTCACAGACATAATCTTCCCACAAGTGACGCACTGCTTCATGGCCACCCATGTCCCAGGCTTGGAAGGTGATTCCGTTGCATTCAAATTTTTCAGTCATGTGTGGCCTATCGGTGGGTGGAAAGGATCTGACATCACCCGTTCGAAGCCGATGAAGTAGGGTCGTTTTTCCTGTAATAAAACGATCGCAATGAGTTAGTCACTACTATAAAAGATAGTCAATCGTATTGCATTCACGCCAATGCCATGTATCAAAATGACTGACTGCGTGACTCAGAATAACAACACGAACAAACCAACCATACCTGCATTGTCTAGACCCAACATAAGCAAGGACCCTTCCTTTCCCTCAAAACCAAGAGCCTTCCATAGACTCTGAAGAAGTGAAGACCACGATGATATTATTCCTTCCAAAAATGACATCTCTCCGAGCGTGATGATGATGAAATAATTTTAAGTTTGTTGTGTTTCTTCGTGGGTCACCCAAAAAATGATCCAAGTGATGACGATGATGTTGTCGAATAAGTCAAAGGGTGAAAGCACGACAGACCACACCGACCGCCGGACGGACGATGACTTACAGTAGTTTTTTCCTTCAGAAAAATACGGCGCGGCCAGACGAGAAATATGCTGTCGAATGAGTCAACACGGCGCGGCCCCAGAATACGTATACGCATGACAGACATGATGGTTCTTTCTGGCGAAGTGGAAATGAACAGCTGCCAGACATGATTCAAAACAGAGCTACAGACGGTGGATCAACGAGACTCATCATTGTAGAAAATATGAGTGATGCCATTACTGCAGATGCAAATGCGGCTGCCAATGAGATCATTGTCGATGATGACTTGCAACAGCCCGAGATGGCACCACAGGATTTAGCCCAACCAGAAATTGATGCTGCTGCTGCCGCAGCAGCTGCCAGTTTGGTTGCAGAACATGCAGCTGGAGAAGAGAAGGATCAGGATACTTCTGCATTGATTGCTGAAGCAGTGGCCGCAGCTACAGCCGCCGCCAACGGAGAAGGTAAGGACCCTGTGATTCAATGTGTTTGCAATGCGAACACTAGTGCTTGGGACAAGTTTTACGACTCGATTCTTCTAACACCTTCTTTTACTTGTACTTGAATACAAATATAGTTACAGATGCCGATGTCACAGCTGCTGCATTGGCCGTCAAGACTGACGATGAATCCCAAAACAAGAAGAACGATCAGAGACGCAAGCGCTACCGTGAAAAGAGCGTCGAAGATGACAATGGGGAGAAGCCAGCCAAGAAGTCCCAGTCTCATGAAGACCAGCTCTCGGCTCGCCGTTTGAAGGATCGTCAAAGATACGCAAACATGACCCCGGAGCAACGTCAAGTTTACAACTCCAAGCGTCGCGAGCAGTATCATCGGCAGAGTGAGCTTTCTAGACAACGTCGAAGAGAACGTGAACGCACTCGTTACCACTCTCTAGACAATGACTCGGCAAAGGAACGAAATGTCGGTCGTGCCAAGTTGGAACGAGAACGTTACCAACGTTTGACCTCTGACGAACTAGAGGCCAAGAACCGCAAGAGACGCGAGCGGGCTGCCTTGGCGCGTCAAAAGAAAGCAGAAGCAAGATCAGATGCTTCAGCACTGGGGGTCGCTGCAGCTGTGGAAGCTCCCATTCCTGCCGAGGATGAACTTAAACATGACGATGAATCCAAGGTAGATTCCGGTGATGCCGCTGAAGACGCAGTTGTCGCGGCTGCAACAGAAGTTGCCAAAGAAGTTGTTGCAGGTGTCGAAGAAGTCGTCTCGATTTAAAAATGCCAAGTCCGTCTTACGGTACGAGGTACGATATGATGAGAGCATGGACAAAAGTTTCACTATGGGAGGGTTTGGTGGATGTAGAACTTAGTCTGTTTCTGTAATGTTCTCGCTCCTCGCTTGAATGGAGTAATACATTTTGCTTGTGATTATATATACTTTGATATCTCTTGTGTCTTTTGTTGTAAATAGCTACTATAGTAATAATAGTACGATGACGACTCTTGGTGGACCACCGAACCAGATCTATCGTAATAGTACTACTGCAGAAAATAGAAAGAACAATGCGACGATGAGAAAGATCCCAAACAAGATAGTATGCGTTATCGAGACACCAGCTCGATACCTGACGACAATGTAATTGAAGGAGTGAATGGATGAGGTGAACAGTCTACTCGGAGTTAAGTAGCGGTGATATCGGATATCTGAGACTACGACAACCTGGATCTGTCGTTAGCTGCTGAAATGTATCCTGGCAAGCAAGACTGATACTGGTAGACAGCACTGGAATTTGCCCAGTCCTAGAAGACTTTCTTGTCGATGATCCTTGAACTGGTTCAAATGCGTGTACTGGCTCGAACCATCACCGGAGGATTGATCAGATCGTAGTGACATGGTGTCGATCTGAGACTGGAATCACAAGCGTCGCTCGGTGGGCTGAACTGGACAGCAATGCGAAACCCCTCGTGATTCAATATAAATGCGCTGAAGAATAATACACTTCACTGTACTGGGGAGAATCGACTCGCATCTATGAATACACTCTTCGACATGATCCATGTCGTGTAAACATAATATCTATGCCAGCACGGTATTCTCCATGTCTTTATTGCTCATGACGCCTCCTCTTTCCACATAGGCTACGGTGGGACGAGCAAAATGGGGAAAATCAGAAGCATGATGTCTCTCGCAAACAACTTTCAATTTCAAACGACGTCGTACCTCGATAGTCTTTCATTCGTTGCACCAATAATGGATCGTTGCTCTGTTTGCCTTCCACTTGGTCCTGCATAACAATTCCCTTGTAAGGAAGTTGTGGTTTTGGTGGCCACTTGGCTCTCAAGGCAATGTGCAGTTGCATAGCCGTAAGTAGTTGGGAGGAAACAACAGGCAATGCCGCTTGCATGGCACTAATGTCTTCCAATTCCTTCTGCTTATCTTTGGAACCACCTAGTCGACCCTTGTGACCAACGCGTCGGTAATTCTTGTTGGGCAAGTGTAGGACCGTCAGCGCTCCAAAACTTTCCATCGGTAGGAGCTGCTGTACATTGCAGTGTCGATTTCCGTACAATTGTTGCGATGACATCCATACGCGCTGGGTTCCCTCGGCCGGTTGGTAGGCTGTAATTGATGGGGAGCAAATGCAAGAAAATTGAGTACATTCATGTCGCTGGTGCGAGTTATTACTGTCATTGACTCACGCTTTCCTTTCGCAGAAGGTCGATTCTTGATCACGTTGAATTCACATCCAGACCTGTCCTTCCATGCTCGAAGTAAGTCTTGCGTGGCTAAGTACATTCCTTGATGATGATTGCTCATGCTATTCAAAAGAGAACGAGTCGGTGATGTTGAGAGAATCGAAGTGGTGTGGACCAACTGGGCACAAGTACTCACTGAATATATCCCGGCAAGATATCTTCCTGTGGGATAATGTCAACAGACTTGCCAATGGGCGGTTGCCAACTATGTTCCCAATACACTCGTGTGACATTCTGAGTTGCATGTCTGGTGCCATCATCAATGATTATGTTGGATGGATAATTGTACTCGTATCGCACAATACCCACATTGAAATCGGATGCCTTTTCGGGCCCCAGTTTTTCAATCACCCGTCTCGTTTCAAATAGATAGGTTGCTACCGTTCGTGGTGATACTATAGTCATGGGAATAGCGAGATGTCTTGAGCTTTACGAGAACAAGAGAATATGAAATTGAGACAGAACGCGTTCGAATCGTACCTCTAATGTCATCTTCCGTGTAAATGAACAATGAATAATCCTCCAAATTTTCATAGAATAATTCTCGATGAAAGTCCACGAGGTGCAGTCGAGTATCCGGTGATTTCAAGTGAATATTGATGGTAAATCCAGCCCTGGGACTCGTATTTGCACAATGGAATCGAGTGTTGAGCATGTCAATGTATGCGACTGGCCAAGCAATTGTTGAATAAATCACCACATCGACCCAACTTCCAGCAGCACACAAATCAAAGTAGCCATCCAGTACTTCTTCCAGATGAGGTGCTTGAGAGAAATCATAGGCAACTATTGCAACCAATATCCGTGCTCCATCTAGAATGGAGGCTTCTTGCGCCGTGGTCGTTGCGGTTGGCAAGGAGAACGGTGCAACTGATGGGTGTTGATTATTCCTGGACACCTCATGTGAGTTGTCACTGTGTTCTTGGAAGATTAGAACGTTCAGAATGACATAAGCTGTAAGGACAGAGCTAATCAGGACTAGAAAGATATCTTTTAAGTTAAAGCATCTTGGTCCCGGCCTTATTGATGAGCTGTTCACCCGCATCGTCAGGCAGGATGTGTCATTTTGATTTGAATTTGGAAAGTTGAGGACTGTTGATTAGATTGACCAATCTGACCTTTATCGACTAGTCTGACTACATCAAAACTCATTCAAAACCAAATTCAACAATCCTGTCATATTATACTGGGTGTATTCATCATTGCTCAACAATGCGACCGAGACGATCAAGACAATACCCAAATAATGACCAGTATAGCAGCAAACGAGCCGTATCTCGAATAGTTATAGTGGTATCCTTCCTTTGTGGCTGCGTGATATCGGCATCGGTTTCTCTCTTTCTGATATTGCACTATGAAAAACACAGTCCACGGTCCACGTTTTCATCACCATCATCATCAGCCAATGATTATGCTTCAACCAACCAACAACAGCAGCAACAGCCATCAAGAGAACTTCAGAAATTATCACAAATGTCTTCTGGATCTTCTCTGCAGGGACTGCGCATATTAATCGCAATCGCAGCGTTTGACTTTTCACAACTCCCACATTTGGAAGAAGTGCTGGATTCCTATCAGGATCTTTGTGTCACAGGTGCCACTCAAGTGGATGTCCTGATTCACGCGACGGTCGCGTATCCAGTGGCTCTGATTGATTTGCTGAATAGTCGATTACTCCCATCCTGTCAAGGAATCTTTTCCCTGAAAATCATTCTCAAGGCACCATCCTTACGACTGCATTTGGTGGATTGTCATCGAGAAATATTCTATCAAAAGATTGACGACTATGATATCTTTATTTACACGGAAGATGATATTCGGGTGACACCCATCACAGTGGCAGCCTATTGGGAAGAAACAACTCGACTCCGCAAAATGCTGGGAGACGAACGATCGTCTGATTTTAATGTGGGGATTGTCCGCTACGAATACAACTTTCCGTCAAATGTTGTCATTGATGACAAAACAAGACATGCGACTCAGAATGTCACCCGTGTCTACTGGGAACATAGTAAGAATGCCTTTGATCCTTTTCCAGAAGCTGTTGATGCAGTGCCTCAGGAGGAGCTAAAGGAGACGCATGTACACATGGACAATCATCACCAAGGCATGTTTCTGGCGACAAGTTTTCTATTAAAGGCCTGGAAGGATCGAAAGGGGTGTGAGTTTGACAAGGTGCGCGATCGACCAGGATTCAAGAATCGGCCTTCTCAGCCTTCGGAAGGTACCCAACGTGTCTGGATGAGCAGTCAGATGTTGTACGGCAAACGGCATTGCCGTGTACAGCAAGTCGTTCCAATGGATTCCTTTGGAACGCTTACTGTTCTACATTTACCCAACAAGAACTATCGAAGAGTAGGTCATTTTCGCAACCGGACGTTTTCGGATGGAACCGAGGTATTCGACCAAGGGACTCCAGGAAAGTTGTTGACGGCTATGAAGTTGCATCTGGATATGAGAAAGAAGTATCCAAAGAAACCAAGCCAGAACTATAAGGGTATTATAATGGAGGACGATGTACATCCTGCCCAACAACGCAGCCCGCTGCTAGACAACCGAATGTCATGGTATCGAAACTATGTTGGACGAGGAGGCGTTTTAATAGATACTGATTGGAACGACCTCGACTTGACAGAACGATAATATATATTGTACAGAAAGTATAGGACTTAAAGCGAAATAAGACGAGCCAGAAACAGCCAAGTGCTCTGGATTTGTAATGCTATCATACAGTACAGTACTACGATATGTCTCTCTTTCCACTTGACTTCCAACACCCAATTCCCAACACCAATCTGCAAAATGTTTATCAGCAGGATGAGATAAAAGACGATTTTAGTCATGAAACAAGTCTCCATACTATTGGGATTCTAGTTCGATTCCGATTTCATCTGGCTTTGTTGCCTTGGATCTATACTCATAGACGCACATCCCCAAGCCCTCTGACGTAAAGCATGCCTTGACATTGTTTTGTATAAAAAAGAATATCGGCCTTCCATTTTCACCAAGTTTTGGTTTCAAACCATCGGTTATCACTTTCTCGTACAGTCTCTTTCGGGCATCTGCTATATCAGTATCTTGTGGATTACCACCGTAATTTATTGTAGCAATTTTTCGTCGTTGATGAAACTCATATTTGCACTGTGGATCACACATCAAATCGGTCTCCTTATCGGTGCCTGCGAGAGGTAGCTCTGTATTTTTCAGAAACTCGGCTGCAAGAGGAATCGTCCATTTAAATTGCAGTTGGTCGTCCCCAGGAATAATCTGCACTTCCACGGGGGAAGTTGGAACGTATCGCTGCCTATTGGGTCCCATGGTCTTGATAATACAGGAAAAGGCATGGTTTGGCACCGTTTCGGCATTGTAATCCTCGCGAGTCCCAGTTTCCACCATACTAGGAGAAGTGACAAGTCGAGGAGGAATCTCGTACACCTGGTATCCCCATTTCCTTTGAAACCGAAGTTTCGGTGTGCATTCAGCAGAAGGCGTCATTCCAATATGGTAAAAATCCCAAAACCGAGGTTTGATCTGGGAGGAGACAAGGCCTACTAAATCTGCGTCATCCATCAATTTGTCCGTCTGCTGAAAGATCATATTATTCCCATCCAATTTGCAAACTGAAGTCCCCACCAAATGAACTCTGGGAGACCACAAAGCTGGCCACACAACTGACAGCTCCCATTGAAACTCTAGTGTATTATCGTTCAACTGCTTTCCAGAAACAATGGCCAAATCAACATTCTTGTAGAAATCCAAAGCGTCCTCCAACTCGGCAAAAGGTGACGTCCTCCCCTTTCGCATTGGACTTTCCCATATCATATCAGTCGCAAAGCCGTATTCAACATTCGGTGCATTCGCCTTTTCGTAAAGGATGTTGTTTATTTGACTTTGCAAGCTGTGCGCAAGTTTTGCAGATAGAAGAGAATCAAACATTAAGCTTGGTGTCGAAGGATCAACAAAGAAACGATTGAAGGACGCATCGGTGTCGATAGCTGCGGAATCTTCTTCTGCTTGCACATAAAATTCGTCTTTCTCTTTATTACCACCAAAAAACTCTGCACCGACGATTCCAGCCGGAGTCTCTCCCGTCACTTCCAGGGTCTCACTTTGTTTCTTTGCCATCAACACATTCCCTCCAGCAATACTGTGCCGAAGATGACTTTCGGGGGCCAGAAGAAAGCCGATAGAGTCATCAAAGTGATACAAGACCAGTAAAAAAGTCAGCCTGATCATGCTTCGTCGCTTTGTGGTTGCTTTTATGAAGAGGTGAGTTTTGACAGGTGGAAGATGGAAGACTCGGCTACTTGTCATCGAACGAAGAATGAATGAATCATTGGATTCATGACGACGGTCGGACGATCGCTAGATATCGGAGACTGGTTGAGGTCCTTTGGGTCGAATGCTTCGCGAACATCAATGCATGCACCAAATGGATGACGTCATAGATCGGTCCTCAAAGTTTGAGTCACGATCTTTTTGGCACAAATGGTACATAAAATTTACGTGCGAATGAATCTTGGATCGCGACAGAATTCACGAAAATTCGTGTGTATTCTTATTTCCTCAGTTCAACATCATCGTCATTTCCTTTCAGGAGCGTCTGTTTCTTTTGCTTCACCTTCATAGTCTTCCATCAATAGCGAAATTAAGAACACAACTCACCATGGCAGAGCTAATGTTCGGGATGGGCATGACCAAAAAGAAAAAGGCTGACAATGCTTACGTCAAGGAGACAAAGGAAGCTCTGAAGAATGTCAACATCACGGAAACTGTCGAAACCAATGAACTCAAGAACCTACACAAGAGAACGCAGGCTGAGAAGGAAGCGGAACGAGAAACTAAGGCTACACTTAAGAATGTTAACGTTACAGAATCTGTTGAAGGACAAGTCCGCAAAGAACAAAACAAGATGGAAAAGGACTGGAAGGAAGCTGGAAGGCAACAAAAGAAAGACAACAACAATTTCGACATGGCCCGCGCACTCTTCAACTAGCAACCTTTTTTATCCTGAGAAAACACAGTCCGCTGCTAGAGAAGCGAATGGCATGGTTTCGAACCTATGCTGAACGGAGAGGTATTTCGATAGACCGTGATTCTTCTAACGACATCGACTTCGCAGCAAAACGAAAATATAAATTGTTTGTACAGTATGATAGGACTACTACTAATGATACAGTAAAGCGAAACAAGACTTTTCCTCTACTGTCAGTCAGCCACAAGGGCTCAGGATCTGAATTACGCTATGCAACATACTTCTCTGGCAATCGAAAAAGGGGACCGCATAGGTACCATCGTACTGTGGTTGGTAGGCCAAAAAATGGAATGACGTTCCGCCAAAAAAATTGAGTCACGATGATCCCTTTTCTGGTACCGTACTACAGTACACTTGCCGTACACGTGTACATCACTTACATATATGTAGGAAAATGAATCAATCTTGGATGAGACAGTTCACAGAAATTCGTATGTGTTCTTTCCTCGAGTCATTATCGTCATTTCCTGCAATCCTCATCTTCATCCATCAATAGCGAATTAAAAAGACACAAGTCACCATGGCAGAGCTAATGTTCGGAATGGGCATGACCAAGAAGAAGAAGGCCGACAACGCCTACGTCAAAGAGACCAAGGATGCCCTCAAGAATGTTAACATTACAGAATCAGTCGAAGCTCAAGTCCGGAAGGAACAACACAAGATGGAAAAGGACTGGAAGGAAGCTGGAAAGAAACAAATTGAGGAAAACAAAAATTTCGACATGGCTCGGGCACTTTTCAACTAGAAAGCAGTTTGTAAAGGGTGATATCTCTCATATTCTAAATTGCTATTATTCGAAGCAAAAACATTCATGCAAATTCTTTGTTGTCATCCATTGATTGAATGAGTTCGTACCGTTTGGAATTACGCTTTTTCGCTGAGAAAGTGGTCGCGCGCGGGATGAAAAATTGCTCCGAAAGTCGCGTGATACCGCGATATTCCGAACACAACAATATCATCTGCTTCCGGATTGCGAAATGGGCGAGGAACGAATTGATCATGGTCTTTGCGATTGGCGGAAGCAACAAAGTACAGAGGATGTCGTTTTCACTTTGTGTCAACGTGCTACCAACACGGTCGATAGCTCTTTCGATCGGACGAGCCACATGATGATGATGATGATGACAGGTGACATAGAAATGACGACCGTGTAGTGTTTCGCTCGCCATCACTATGACCTCCATCCTTGCATCAATGAACAACAAAAGTTGGCTTCATAGTACGGCGACTGTTGCAAATATCTGATCCATCATGACCTACTACTATTCACACGCCAGCTTGAACTACTCCATTCTGAACATCATCATTCGGTGGTGTATTTTCTACTGCGTCTGGAACCTATGGACATTGCCCCGACTGGAATCCCATGAACACATTGATGTATCCATGAGGGTACCAGGAAATAGTACAATCTTGCAGGAGTCACTTCCGGTTCATATGATCAACGGTCGCAGAACAGTGTTAATCTCGGGTCTGTTACGACAGACCTTTAGCACAGCGAAAGCAGATGGAATGGAAAGCATTGCTCATAGTGCAACCAAACCAACCGCGCTAGCAATCCCCGACTCAAGAATGCAGTCTAGGAAAGAACCACGAGAAGGGCCCAAGAGTCAACATAATAAAAAACCACGTAAGCGAAAAAGTGTAGCAACAAAGCATCGCATCCCTGGAAGATACCAGACATCTAATATGGAAATCAAAACACAAGGACACGCAGCAATAAATTCCAAGGCCGCCACGTACCAAGCAAAACCAAGACAATCTCATTCCAAGACTAAGCCTGTTGCGCGGAGATTACGGAATGCCTCTCTTCAGAGTAGTCTTGGAGTCTCTGCTCCAATCCGCCAACAACAACAACAACAACCTCAGCAAAGAAGTATCTTCGTGTTATTAGCATTCAGTTGCGCTCTTGTTGGAGGTGGGATGTTTGGTCTAAGAGCCCTAAAGCGCCTGGAAAATTGGGAAATTCAGTCGCAAGAGGAGAGCTTGGCCTATGATTTTGCATTTACGACCAAGCGTGACTCAAACTATGGATCTTTCGAACCCCAGATTTGGGAGGGTGATCTGAACAAGTTTGATGTTTGACAACATGATAAGTGAATTTGTAAAGAAGGCATTATAACTTTGAAATTTTAGACTACTAGACAGTTTTTTAGATCGATGTCAAACGTAAAGTGTACAATCGATACGAAGACCTCGTAACAGGTGAGACTGCGGATTTTTGAAACGTTTCGAATCGCGACTATACCTGTTGGCATGAATAAGCCACCTGCTATTGTCTCTCTTCTGTTGTGTAGGCTAATAGTAGTCCAGTATCAATCATCAACGCGCGGAGAGCCACTGGGATTTGAGTGGGCTTAAGAGTTTGTATATGATTCTTCTTGACAAATAAGAAATGGCAGGCAAGGGCTGAGCGACCCATAGGTGATGGCAATGCCTGCTGTTTCCCAATAAGAAACTTGAAAACAGCCGTCTTGTTTTCAAGTTAGACTCCCATACATAGTATCTACCTTCGAGTTGGAAGTTTAGGTGGCGTCAGACTCCCGGTGGCACGATCGTTTTGTGTCCCGAACCGATCACTCGTCATCTTTTCATGGGTTGAGCGGAACTGTTCGGATGTCGCCCGTAGGAAGAACTGGGATGCTTCCAGTATGGTGGCATCGTCGCGAATGATGGTGATAGTTTCTGCACCCTTTTGAAGTAGAAGGTGTGACATGAAGTGTTCGAGGGTCATTTTATATATAGTAGCGAGAAGATTTGTGAGCGGAATTATTGCAAGGAGATTTTGGAATGCATCTCCAACACGCGGAGTATCATTTGATGCGACAAATTTGTACAAGTACTGGTGTACCTACCGGTATGGGGGAAATGGGTCGGAAGAACATTCTCGACATGAGTTTGTTTTCTCCACCTTACGAAGCAGCAGGCGTGACACGAATTGTTCGAAAAACGTTTGATGGATGTGATATCAGAGTAGCGAATATTGTGTTTGTGAGACCTCTGAGCAGAGTTGGAATTCGAACAAGAACAAAAGTTAAAATGGTTGAACGCCAACAACCGGAATCGAAAGAAGGATACCAGCATCATGTGCGGAGACCAACAAACAGGAATGAAGAACACTCGCTTTGCTAGTTTCTCCGATGGCGAAGGGTTTTGATCCGCAATATATATGTGTATTCCAGATTTTCAAGAAAAAGAGCAGGTTCCACCTAGAGAAGTGGCGCTACGTACGTACTGGCTGGTACCTACACATGAGGTTGAACACCATTCGCAGATTTGTCTTACCGAAACCTCCGGCAGAAAGTGTACCATGCCAGATACCTTGTACTCTTGTTTCGCGTTTTCGGTGTAAGAGAAAAGACAAAAAAGACGACCACAGCAATTGATTAGTCCTGAGATGTTGAAGATATCGGAGGCCATTTTATGACGAGCAAATCGAGTACCGGTACGTACCTCCAGCGTCTGAATGAAGAATCGTTTGTGATCGGAAAAAATATGTATGTGACCCAAAACCGCCAACAACGAACGCCTCGCTCCTGCATCGAACAAGAACAATCACAAAACTAACAAAATTCCCTGTGGTTCGGTTTTGTCCCGGCCCATCTACGCACAACCATTTAGATTCCAGCCAAACGACACAAAAAGATCTGCACACACAAGTCCGGAAAGGAAGCCTTTGAAAGATGAACAGGTCGAGTTGCACTCCAGCCACAGAAGCATTGAATAGGCTCTTGAAACATCAGGATTCCGAATCATTGTTCAAAGAAGAAAGCCAGCGAGTCCGCAAGAAAGCCAAAAGTTTAGGGAAACGATCCAGCTCGCAGCATATGTTTGATGTGACTTCAATCCTTGAGGCATCAGAGCAGATCAAAGGCTTGCATTCGTTCCCAATCATCGAGTGGCCAACCATGGAGGAGAACAACAAAGATATTGCCGATATCCGTGCTTCACAGATGCCGTTGATGGATTCGCTGATAAAGTCCACAATTGGTCGCCGTCAACGTTAGGGCATCAAGCCCGATCTATTCACACCTCGTGCGTTGTGCAACAGCAACGCATCTCATCAAAGACCTGGCGGTCATTGTCCACCTTTGGCAGCCTTTGTCAAGAAGGAATCGGGACGAGCCAAGGCTACAAGGAAGAAGGTGATCTTCTTGTCTGCAAAGAATGTTGTGACAATTCGCAAGTCATGGCGTAGGAACGTCAACGCCTCTGACCTAGTTTCCTCAACGTGGCATTGCATTGCAGGCTTCCATTGCCACGGATCTTTGTCCCTCCCGTGGTCAAGAAAAGAGCCAGCGAGGACCACGCACCATTATATTGGCGTTGCTTGCTTCTGTGTTCCATGCGAACAAGCAGATAGTGAAGAATCTGCGTCCTTGGCTTTCTACATCCCGTGAATGGTTTTTCATACGAGTATCTCCATATCCATATGTAGGACTATGCATAAGTGCTAGGCTCATAGATGAAACCTCGTATACCTTCTTTTTTCCTATACCTTCATTCTCATACTCCTAGAAACGACAAACAGCAGTGTCCTTAAGAGTGCTGGCTCAAGTTATGGAACGCCACCCTATCTTTGGATTTCACGACTAGGCAGCCATGCAGTCGCTAGAACCAATATTGTGGGTTCATTGGGCAATATCGGGCGTACTAGCCCAAGAGTTCCCCAAGCCTTTTCTACAGCGGCAGCAAACAACTCGAACGCTAATGTGGTTCCCAATTTATCTTGTATGTATTGCAGATTGGAGAACTAAATTAAGTAGAAGAATTGATGGGAAAAAGGCCTCGTAGTAAATGGGACTGACGATTGCAACATTTCAATCTGTGACTTCTGCAGTCGAACAGGTCTTCGAGTAGCCTTCTGTTTTACACCACCTCCAGGATGTAACCGTAGCACTTCTTCAGTGCTGGCAAGTCTATTTAAAATTCGATATTGGAGCGCCAACATGCAGAAAATGAAAGCAAGTACGAGTACCGTATCATTCCATCAGACCGGCGAACGGTTCAAAGAACATTCGCTGTTTTGGTTTCTCCGATGACGAAGGGGTTTTTGTCCTGTTTGTGCCATAATTTTTCGAGTATGCAGGTTCCACCTTTGGGTGTGGTGGCGCTACGACCATAACGCTCAGCCTCTGTACAGCATCCGCTTCCTTTCGCAGTTTTGTCTGTGCGAGTACCCTGGCACGTGTACCCACAGTTGACAGAACCAATAAAACAACGAACAACGACGAATGCTTCGCGTGAGACAAAAGACAAAAACATGACGTCCCCAAGCAACAAGCATAGGATTCTTGTGTCACCATTATTTTACGTCATACAAAAAAATACAGTACAAACATACCGTATAGTGCCAGGTTTCCCCGAACTTGTGGCAGAGAGTAAATTTACCCCCGATGGGGAAAAATCTGACACGGCCGCCAACAACGAACGCTTCCTTTGTGCGTTGTTATTCCGTTCTGACGGAAAAGTTGTACCTGGTAACAGTCCTCTTCAACAACCGTCTACGCACAACCATTTAGATTCCAGCCAAACGACACAAAAAGATCTGCACACACAAGTCCGGAAAGGAAGCCTTTGAAAGATGAACAGGTCGAGTTGCACTCCAGCCACAGAAGCATTGAATAGGCTCTTGAAACATCAGGATTCCGAATCATTGTTCAGAGAAGAAAGCCAGCGAGTTCGCAAGAAAGCCAGAAGTTTAGGGAAACGATCCAGTTCGCAGCACATGTTTGATTTGACTTCAATTCTTGAGGCATCAGAGCAGATCAAAGGCTTGCATTCGTTCCCAATCATCGAGTGGCCAACCATGGAGAACAACAAAGATATTGCCGATGTTCGTGCTTCACAGATGCCGTTGATAGATTCGCTGATAAAGTCCACAATTGTTCGTCGTCAACGTTAGAGCATTAAGTCCGATCTGCTCACATCTCGCGGGTTGTGCAACAGCAACGCATCTCATCAAAGACCTGGCGGTCGTTGTCCACCTTTGGCAGCCTTTGTCAAGAAGGAATCGGGACGAGCCAAGGCTACCAAGGAAGAAGGTGATCTTCTTGTCTGAAAAGAATGTTGTGATAATTCTCAAGTCATGGCGTAGGAACGTCAACGCCTCAGACCTAGTTTCCTCAACATGGCATTGCATTGCAGGCTTCTATTGCCACGGATCTTTTTCCTTGTCCCGTGCTAAAAAAAAGAGCCAACGAGGACCACGCACCATCATGTCTGCGTTGCTTGGCTTCTTTCTTCCATGTGAACAAGCAGGTAGTGAAGAACCTGTTTCCCTGGCTTTCTACATTCTGGGAATGGTTATTCATACGAGTATCTCCATATCTATACATAAGTACTACTAGGGGGCTCATAAATGAAATCTCGTGGTACATCTTTTTTTCTTCACTATACCTCCTCAATTATTGAAACTTTGAGAAACGATAAACAGCGGAATCCTAAGAGTGGCTCAAGCCATGGATCGTTCGTTTGATGCATGGCAAAAGAAGAAGCGAATTAGTAGCTAAGAAGGATAGTAACTTTGGATTTCCCGAGTACTAGACAGCCACGCAGTCGCTAGAACCAATGCTGTGCGTTCATTGGGCAATATCGGGCGTACTAGCCCAAGAGATCCCCTTGCATTTTCTACAGCGGCAGCAAACAACTTGAACGCTATTGTGGTTCCCAATTTATCTTGCATGTATGGCTGATTGCAAAACTAAATTATGTGGAAGAATTGATGGGGAAAAGGCCTCGTAGTAAATGGGACTGCCGAGTGCAACCTTTCAATCTGTGACTTTAGCAGTCGAACAGGTCTTCGAGTAGCCTTCTGTTTTACCTCACCTCCAGTATGTTAGCACTGCTGGCAAGCCTTTTTGGAGCGCCAAGAACACGCAGAAAATGAAAGGAGCATCGTATCACTCCATCAGACCGGCGAACGGTTCAAAGAACATTTTCAATTCGCTGTTTTGGTTTCTCCGATGACGAAGGGGTTTTTTTGCCTCAAGAAATTTTTCGAGTACAGGTATCAGATGCAGGTTCCGTTGGATGTGGTGGCGCTATACGACCAAAACACTCCGGTAACAGCCTCTATACAGCATCCGCTTCCTTTCGCAGTTTTGTCTTTACGAGTACCCTGGCACAGTTGACAGAACCACCAACAACAAACAACGAATGCTTCGCGTGAGACAAAAGACAAAAACATGACGACAAGCAACTCACATACATAGGACTTCGCAATTGCAAATTGGAACCAGTTCCCAGCCACCTTCTTGTGATACGTACCGGTACCATTATTTTATGTCATACCAAAAAATATAGCACAAACATACCGAACAGTGCCAGATTTCCCCGAACTTGTAGAGTGCATTTATCAATAAAATACCCCCTAGGGAAAAAAATCTGACACGGCCGCCAACAACGAACGCTTCCTTTGTGCGTTGTTATTCCATTCTGATGGAAAAGTTGTACCTGGTACCTGGTACCAGTCCTCTTCAACAACCGTCTACGCACAACCATTTTCAATTTAGGTCCCAGCCAAAAGACGCAAACAGATCTCCACACACAAATCCCGGAAAGGAAGAAGCCTTTGAAAGATGAACAGGTCGAGTCGCACTCCAGCCACAGAAGCATTGAATAGGCTCTTGAAACATCAGGATTCCGAATCATTGTTCAGAGAAGAAAGCCAGCGAGTTCGCAAGAAAGCCAGAAGTTTAGGGAAACGATCCAGTTCGCAGCACATGTTTGATTTGACTTCAATTCTTGAGGCATCAGAGCAGATCAAAGGCTTGCATTCGTTCCCAATCATCGAGTGGCCAACCATGGAGAACAACAAAGATATTGCCGATGTTCGTGCTTCACAGATGCCGTTGATAAAGTCCACAATTGTTCGTCGTCAACATTAAAGCATTATGCATGCCGCCCAATTTGTTAACACCTCGTGGGTTCAACAGCAGCAGGTCTCATCAAACAACTGCAAACAACTGCCGCTATCCACCACCGATATCCTGTGTCCTCAAGCGATAGTAGAAAAACCTCAAAAAGGTTATCAAGGAAGTGAGAGGATCTTGGCTTTAAACGCGGTGTCAATTCCTGTCCACGGCTTTTCCTCAAAATGGCATTACAATGCAAACTGCCATGCTGGTCACTCAGCCACTGTTCTTTGTGTCTCTGAAGATGCTGAACCAACCAAGGACCTCATCCTCGTGGCGTTTTTGCTGTTAGGCTCGAATCTTCCTGATGAAAGAAGAACAGGGAAGAAGAAGGAGCTAGAAATGATGCCCGGATCCGGGCGCCCGCGGATTATTTTATAATGTCTACTACTAGAAGTGTACTCATATCTCTACTGGGCCAGTATAAATATCTCATGGATGCTATTCATTTCTGGATTTCTCAGTTTCTGCTTCATATGTTTGCCCACTCCAAATTTGGAGTCGTCTGTTTTCCACCCGTCAAAATATAGGACTAACACTGCCTGCACCTGTACGTAAAGCAAAATCCCTTGGACCACTCATCCCTATTCTGGCCTGACACCACCCAAATGGAAACCAAACTGTACAGTAGCACTGTTGTATAAACTCTACGGCCTTAATCAGCAGCACGTTAGTCATGAGAAGCACTTGAAGAGACAAGAGAAATATTTCTACCGACATCCTCACAAATATTTTGCTCAATGAGATTCGATTTTGAGATGAAGGTGAGAATGAATGATCACTCGACTGCGAGCAGCGTGACATGAGGAAAGTTTCGAGGAAAGTTTCCTAATGTTGCTTCCTCGTAACCTTTCGTCAGTGACAAATGGATGATTAGATGTCACGTTCGTGGTGGTTGTCTCTGTCTTTGGCTTGTTCACCCAGACAATTCTGGATATAAATACTGGGAATTCATTGGATCTATTGAATTCAAGAACACATCAAACAAGAGTGTAACCTAGCATCCAGAAGGTGAGCCTGCTACCAAACCCAGTTTTTGATTATGTACATGTGACTACACGGGTTGATTTCTGCCGAAGGCCTAGTTCCATCTTGGCCATTGGATTTGGATGCCCTAGAGCAATGAGTGACACTTTGATGTCTAGTGAGAATATAGGACTTTCTCATGTGCACGCTTTATACAGCAGCGAGTGATACTTATCTATTCCTATGCTTTTGCTGTGCCTGTATGCTACAACTATAACCAATCAACTCACACGATTTTTTCCCGATTGATTGCTTTTTATCCAGGATGCAAATCAGATCTGGGATGTTACAGCATGAATAATACAGCACAACGGAGTGGCCTTTCTCTCCGACAAGAGAGACGTAAAATATGAGCGAGTAGGACCATCTTCGATTTGGACTGCACCACACGTCGTCCACTAGAATGGCCGGCGATTTTTCGTTGGAGGAAGGCACGGAATTGCTGACGACTGAGTTGATCGTTGACCTGGTGTCGTCGAATGGAAGAGATGCCGCCATACCAAATGAATATCCATTTGGAGGTACGGTGCAGGAATATCATGGTTTGCCGACAAAGGGTAATATTTCCTGAATTTTTCCTACATCATTGATTGCGGTGAAATGCCTCGATCGTCTTACGATACAGCTACTAGCATTACGAGATTGCGAAACAACTTTATTTTCAGTCAGAGGCGCCGGTGATGATGTGGCCGAACAATATATGTATAGGTACATCTATATTGTAAATTTGAATCTATCATAAAGTCTATCGTGAATTTGAATCTATTAGGAAGTCTATGGTGAATCTGAATTGCGTTCCTTCGAGCATTGAGTGTCGGCTCCTGTGTCGCTTGAAGGAGTTTGGGTCCGCATTGTCAGCTCGGCTTTCGGAAAAGTTTATCCTGTGAACTCTCTGTGAGGGGGTAGTAGTCTCACAACTAACATGAAGATCATGTACGGCTGATCCTTGTAACCACATAACACTAGTAAGCTCCAGCGAAAGATAAACTTGAGATGACTTGTTTCAAACGTGTTTGTCATGCTTTCAGCTTCACATGCTTGGTCTTCTCATTGGAGCCTTGGGAGCCATTGCTGGCATTACCCGATCCCCGAAACGAGCCGTCGAGTCTCGTTTGACTTTGGTTGCTTTGGAGACAGCGGAGAGTGTTGGCGACGAATACTGTGATCGTGGAGTTGAGTTCATCCCGCGGTGGTCATCGCGGATTACAACGAAGCGATCAGCGTCGGCTTGCTGAAGAAGGTTGGACATGAACTGTTCAAGTGGCATGGTGAAAAGGGTTGGTGATGCTTCCAAATTGTATTTTATGACAGCATGGAAAACGCAGCTTCGATCAAGGATGCTTCGATTCTGGGCTTCTTGAAACGAAGATGTGGGAGTGGGAGTGGACATTTTTTAATAAACTCGCTTACTTAGCGACCATCTATGTGCAACTCTGTTGGGGAAAATCAATTAATGAGATGGACGAATAGCCCCTCCCAAGGTGCTTTTCATTTTATCAGACGAATCAAATACTACAACTATTTGGTACCGAATCGAAATTCTACTAATACAAAACGAAAACCTACGGGACATCATATTCTCCAAAGAAACGTTCCCAAAAGGTCGGTCCACCCAAGGCAAACATCCAATGCAAACATCCAATCGTAACCATCCGACTCGATCGCGACGTTAATGATGAAAAGCCCTTGCTCCAATTCGTATTGCCCGTAATTCTGAAGGACATTGGGCCAATTCGAAGACAATCGAACAACAGAAAACTTCACACATGCTTTTGAAAAGGAGCAGACCGTGTATGGTACCAGACACTGGGCTACTGTACGTTTTACAGTAGGGTAGGGGTGAAAGATTCGCAGGCATCGTGGCGGGTGGTAGGTACGGTAAAACAAAATACCGGTACTGATATCAGGTACAAGTACGAGTACCACAAAGTCAACGAAGTAGTGCAGTTTTCGATATTGACAGGAGTGTTGGTTATCTGCTGCGACTTTGTAATTGGCTTTTAGCAATTGAGATAGGTTTTAAAATCATATATATTCAGATATACCGGTAGAAGAAACTTGTGAAAGAAGCTCAGAATACACCTATTTGCGATCTTGGAAAGATGCTGTTGTCTACCAACTTCTGCTGTCATTGATGTCATTTCCGCGTGGAAGAATGTGATTTTGGCTTTTCGCGCGAAAAATCGCGCAGCGGTATCAAACCAAAAACACACAAAAACACAACCCGACATCGCCATGCAGAATGAACGAACCATCCAGTTCTGGGATGAGTATCACAAAGAGAACGAATCGATAGAATGGATATCACAACCATCCGAGGAAGTCTTGATTATTCTTCAAGATTACTGTTTCGATGCATCAGCTCAACTCAAGGAATTGCGGAATCTCTCCATGCTTGAGATTGGTTGTGGAACATCTTCGTTGGCAAGAGATTTTTGGCAGCATCTCGTCAAAACTGAAGAGAACAAAACATTCCGTATGGTTGGGACGGATGTAAGTTCCGAGTGTATCAAGAGCAACATTGAGCGCGATCGAGAGCTACTCAGCTCTGATGAAGCTAGTACAACGAGGACTTGCCTGCACTATCGAACGTTGGATGTCATCAATCCTTCCGAAGGCGATACCTTTTGCTGCGAAATAATTCTAGACAAGGGGTGTCTCGACACATTTCTATTTCGATCTCGCAACCGGGGTGCCAACAAATCATCCTACAACCCTATCATTCAATCGCTGCTCGACAATGTTTGGAAGTGGCTTTCCGACGACGGCGTGTACATGTTTATTTCTCCAAGATCCAAGCTCAAGGCCGTCCGCGACTATTCTGGATTCCAATCCATTCAACGGCTCGCACTGCCAACAGTGTCGAATGGAAACTTGGTTGGAAAAACAAAGAGCAGCGGGTATGTCTATGTCTGCCGAAAAAACCCTGCTTATGTGATTGGAACGACGCCAGCCTTCGCGGGGCGGGACAAAGACACTTTGCCATCGGATGCTACGACTTGCCCCAACTGCAATGTTGATTTTCTAGACTTTCGAAAAGGTGAGCTCATTGGAGGACGAGGTGCAGCCTTTTGGACTCGTCAATGGAAAGGGCACTGCCAACATTGCAAGGGACAAATTCGTGCAAGAACTGAAATATCAGACATTTCACCGTTTGAAGAGGATAAAGACAAGCATAGGTCAAGCTAAATGGCGAAAGTAATGATTATCGGGGAATCACTTTAGTTTTTCATCATCCTGGCTTGCTGTCTTCTTTCTGTTTCTAGTTATTCTATTTGCTGTGAATTGTGTTCTACTCAGATGATTTTGAATAGTATAGATAGAGTACCAACATCTTCTACTTTTAATAACTAGTCTTGCTACTGACATTGCTGAATTATGATCTAATTCTGTATCATAGATACTGAATACGTACCAATATATAGAGTAATATAATACCTCTTCATTTCATCGGACGAGTCTGTCCTTCATCAGCACCACCCACTTATTCCAAAATTCGATCGGTGAGTTTTATTATTTACCATCATATGTCATCATATTTTCTCCTCTCTCCCGTACATCAATCTAGACTTGAACCAACAGGGTGCCAATCAAGAAATCAAATATTGTGACGAACTATGAAGCGACAGGCTGTAAGAATAGCCAAGAGAGTTCACCCGTCGCGACGGACAGGTCGACAAGCATCATGCATCGATTTCAAACCCTTTTCATCGACCTCGACTGCTTCATCATCTTATCCCAATGGAGCAGATTCCGATGCATTATCATGGAATGAGGTGACGAAACAGTTTCTGAACGATACTTCGTCGACATCTTCCAGCGATTTATTTCGTCAAGCCCAAGCTGTAGTCGATCTACTGGTACCTGAAATGGATGAGGACGAATATGACGAGGCACAGCGAAATCAGCGTGTCTCCCGAAAAGCAGCATTGCATAGAATACAAGCTGAAAGCGAGCAGGATATTTCTCTTGCATTTGAGTTTCTAGACAGACTGCTTGAAATCGAAGAAGAGGAGATGCAAAATGGTGGACGCGAATCAATATCGAGTTATGACGATTCCAAGAGCAAATGCCTGAATGCTGTCTTGCAAATGTGGCGAGAGTATCAAATAAAACCACGAATGGAGACGCTGTCGCCTGATGATGTACTGCAAAAACTAGACCGCTATCGAGCTACATCATCGCTATTGGTTCCTGATGCACACAGCTACAATATACTTTTGGGTGGCGCTGCCAACCGTGGTGATGTTGAGTTTTGCGAGAGTCTCTATCATTGGATGTGGGAGGAGAGCAAAACGGACTCGCTGCTCCGTCCGGATATTGCCACACTGCGAACCATATTCAAAGTATATATTCAAACAAGTCTTCAAACAGGACAGACGATAGAAAGTATGGGAGCACCAGAGGCGTGCGAAGCTCTTGTGGACGACTGGAAGAAACGGAGTCAGTCGTCTTCGATCAGAGGAGTATACGACGCTCTGATCCATGTTTGGGCTCATTTTGATCCAATTCAATCCGAAATTTACTTGAAATCACTTGCCCGTCAACGAGTGGAAAAGCAAGGACCTGGACCCGATACTGTTTCTTGGAACCGAGTCATTTCCGCGTATTCGATTCTTCACGACCAGCCATCGAAAGCTGCAGAGTTACTAGAGGAGTTTTGGCACTACACACAACTACTGGAAGAGATTGGATCCATGGAAGGGGTCTCAGACGCCAGGCCGGATCTTGTTTCCTACAATAGCGTCTTGGAAGGCTGGGCCCGCATACGCAACACCGACGAAACAGACAAAGTCTTTCGAAGATTACAAATGTCTACCTCGACTTCTCCCAACATTGTTTCATACACCTCAATGATCAAGGCCAACGGCTCAAACTGGGAACGGGTGCAAGAGTTGGCAGAAGAGTGCATTCAAGCGTTTCGAGAACAAGCTTCAAAACAAGGTGATGGCGACGATAGCAAAGGGAATCTCGAGTTGGACCAACCTTTCTTTCACGCTTGGTTGCAATCTGCATTGGAATGTGGAGAGGGAAAACAGACGGTACAAAATGTATTGGCCATCATTGATGTAATGAAATCGCTGGGGCTGCAGCCCGATACAAAATGTTTCCTGATTCTTTTGGAAGGCTTCTTGAAACACGACGACGATATTGAAGGGGCAACACGGTGGTTCATTGAAAACGCGAAGACGACTATGGATGAGGATTCCATTGTCTCTTGGGTCACCCAGATCCTCGTGTTGGTAGATGACATTTCCATTGTACCTCCGTTGCTACAGTTTCGAGGGAGAAAATCTGTTTCACTGCTTCAGACCATATGTCAAGACGAACTCTTGACTGAGACGAAAAACATGGAGCGCCTGTTGTCCAAGTTGAGTGCGCAACAAGGCATGGCGATGCTTGGCTGGATGAAAGGCAAGCCTTCGTGCAAAGCATACGCCATCGTTTTGCGGAATGTTGCAAGCAACGGCAAGCTTAGTGACGCTGAATCAATCTTCTCCCAATGGAAGCAGAACTATTCCCTCGACTCCGTAGCACTTGAGGATGGGGCTCTTGTAGCAGAGATGTTGACGAGCCTAATCATTGCGTCGTCAAAAGGAGGAAATCTGCTGCGATGTAAAGATTGGATTGAAGTGTGGCGTGATCAGGATGGGAAACTTCCGAAGCCCGACCAGCGAGTGCAGACAGCAGTATTGTCTACATATGCTAAAGTCATGGATGCTACTGGCGCGCAACAGTATTTGCGGCAACTTCAACAGGATGGCTTGGAACCAGATGTGGTCATGTACAACATTGTGCTTCGCGCCTTGGCAAAATCATCATCTGCAGGCCACGCTCACGAATTCTTCGAGCAGGCAATGGCAGACAAGGATATCATCTCCTACAATACTATCATTCATGCACACTCAAAAGAAGGAAATCTTGAAGAGGCAAAACGTCTCATTGAAAAAATGGTTGCTCAATATTCAAAGGATCGAGAAGAACACTGGAGTGTTAGACCTGATTTGGCAACCTTTCGCCCACTTCTACTTGGAACAGCTCGATTCAAAGGGCGAGATTCTGGCGGGAACGTAGAAGAACTATTGCTCTGGATGGAGCGTTTGCACGAAGAGGGTGTACTCGTGGAGCCTCCAGATGCTCGCTGTTATGAAATCGCTTTGAATGCTTGGTCCAGATCTGGTACAACTGAGGCAGCCGAACGAGCCGAAGATCTCATGCGAAGTATGATGCCATTGTCAAGTCCATCTGCTTACGCCATGGTAATGAAAGCATACAAAAGGAACCCTGGTCGCAAACAAGCGCTATTTGACGAAATGTATGGTGCCTATCGTCAGGGCAACAACAATCTGAAACCCACCAGCGAGCATTTTCGTCTAGTTCTTGAAGAACTAGCCAACACTTCCCCAGAACAAGCAGAATCCTTTTTGCGTCGAATGGGCCACCTATATGAGGAGGAAGGTTTGTCCTCCGCCAAACCTACCCGACAAGCCTACAATACGGTTCTGAAATCATGGGCTCGAATGTCGACCAATTCCAAGTCAACCTCTTGGAAATGTGCGGAAGGACTCCTGAGAGATCTCCAGTCCCTTTATCTGCAGGATGGGGACCCCAAGTTGCAGCCATCCATGGAATCCTACAAACCGGTTCTGATTCTCCTTTCAAAGGAAAAGCAAGTCGCCCGACTAGAATCACTCTTTGACGAGCTATTTGGAGCCTACTGCGCAACGGCTTCCGGTCCGTCTGCAACCACTGCCAGTCTTGAACCTGATTCCACCTGTGTGCATTCTCTTTTGTTGGCGTACCGATCCACCAAGAATGCCCAAAAAACCCGAGACTTTTTGAAGCAATTGGAGGAGTGGAAGGACTCCAACATTTTGAATTTGGATCTTTCAATCTCCACCTACAACATTGCATTATCGTGCCTGGCGTCGTCGACATCCTCCAAGAAGCAGACAGAATTGCGAAACGTAGCGCAAGAATGCGAAACATTTTTGCTCCAGCACATGCCCAGTCGAGGAATCAATCCCGATTTAATTTCCTTTCAAGCCGTGCTGAATGCGTGGGCCCGATCACGATCCTCCGAAGCGCCGTCGAAGATTGAATCCTTGATCCAAGACAATATGATCCCATCCTCGATTGCTCCGGATCACTTGACCTTTTCCATTTGGTTACGGGCCATTGTCAAGAGCGGTTCCGGTAGAGATCGGCGCAACGAGGCCGAGGCTGTGATTCGACAAATGAAGGAAAATGGATTCACACCATCCGAACGCGACATGAAGCTACTTTCGGTCGTACTAGCGAAAGATTAAAAAGCTAAATCGCCTGGACCATGGACGAGCGCTACAGTAGCTGTTCGAACATACTAGAGTAGTACTCGGGAAAAGATGGATGGAACAAGAGAAGTATCACTGAAAGTTCTTAGTAATCCACTACGGTGTGATGATGGTTGACTAAGTTGATGACATTCCAAATACAACGTCTTGGATTTGTTTCAACAATAATTGGCTGTGGCAACGTAGACATGCTTGACTAGTTTGCTGTCGCTTCATATTATTCAGATGGAGGAGGCTCGGGCACGAGTGGAGCCTTCGTTCGATTTCTGATAAATAGTTCGTCTTGCACTTGGTGGTCCAGGTCTTTTTGGCCACATCCAACATGTAGAAAGTGGCATTCCGTAGCTTCTTTTGCCAGAGCATATTGGGTACAAAATGTCCTAGCTCTTGGACTGATCAGATAAGCCATCCGAGGGAGAGATACTGTACCTCCCGACATCATGTGCCTTTCCACTCTTGATTGTTCTTCTTCATAATGATGATTCGTGCGGTCAGTTCTCATCCATCATCATCATGGCACTGAAATCATCCATCATCATGGCACTGTTTCCCTGCATTCGATTCAACAAATCATCAATGTATTCCACTTGATCGAGCATCATGGCCCGTTGGGCTTGCAATCTATAAACCAAGGCATCGTATTGCTCCATATCACAGGTATCACGAATGGCCTTATCAGAGTGCATGCACAATTCGGCAGCGTTTTCAATCGCCATTAGATCGATTTCGTTCAATTTTGGAACTGACGAGAAGCAAGAGGGCGACTGATCCTCGATTGTTGAAAATTGAACACCAAAGTGATGTTGAGGATGACGAATGGCCATGAAGGCATGAGAAGAGACCAACAGGCAGACAGCAAAGAGAAGAGAAGCAAGGAAAGAGTTCATGGTGAAGCAGCAGAAGATACCCTTTGAGACAGAAGATACTCTTTGAGACAGGTGCAGAGAGGTCAGCAGTTGAGATTCAGGTTATAATAAGCTTTGTGTGAGCCATACGTTTGTGCGAGCATGTATTTTCTTCTCTCAATCAGCCTTCGCCTCTCAATCAGCGTGACAGGAGGTTGACGCATATGCTTTTTCAATCCATCAGTCATCTTCAACATCGGATGCGGACGGACGATACTGGTATATGGATATTATAACGGACACATAAATATTTTCGATCACTTCCACTGTCCGCCCCCAAAAAGACAAGAAAATATGAACACAATAAATCAATCAAAAGAAGACATGATTCCAAGAAAGTCATGGCCATGGCTCTTCTTCTTGCTCTCTCAGAATTATATTCTCGTAATCACAGTTTCAATAGTCTTTGCATCACCAGTTATCGGTGATGGCGAGTTGTATTACGACTGTCAGAAAAATCCATTGGAATGCACCTATGGCAAACGCAAATATGAAGCTTCCTCATCTCCTTCCTGTAGTGACCGCCATCCAAATTGTCGTATATATGCTTTGAGAGGGAACTGTATACGGCATTTTCAGTGGATGGAAACCCAGTGTCCACAATCCTGTGGAATTTGTCCGACGGTCGAAGATGCACTGAAAGTCGACCAAAGTACCACACCTCAATGCATCGACCATCACCCTCAGTGCCCCAAATGGGCTAGCGAACAGGAATGTTTCATCAATCCACCTTTTATCAATGGATTATGTCCCATGAGTTGTATTCGATGCGTTAATACCACTGTGCTTGATCGTTCCAAAGACAACACGATAGAATCATCAAGTAAAGGAGACAATGGCGACTTGTCAAATGCCCAAATACAAGCTCGGATACGATATTCTCAAACCGATTTTGGAGATTGGCAAACCATACCTCGGGACGATCTCAACTTGGTTCCAGTCATTATGGAAATTCTATTTGACATGGGAGAATATGCTAAAGAACTTTTGGAGGAAGAAGAGGAACGGATACGACAAGTCCAAGAAGTAGAATCATCAGCAGAAATCGACAAACGAAGAGAACTTATCGGTCACAATGGTCATCCTCTGCTGGGCCCCAGTACCGTTTGCAACAATATGCGTCACGATTGTGCCACACTAGTAGCTCAACACGGTTGTCATGGTCCCTACTTGGAATTGATGATGCAAGAGTGTTCCTTTGCATGTCAATTCTGTCATGAGACGGATACCTATCATCAGTGCCGCTCGTCGTCGTCGTCGTCGTCGTCTACCACGAGCAGCGCTGGTGATAAAAAAGTATCGTTGGAGAGTACCATTTCCTCCAACAGTTGGAACTATCACTTTTGGGAGCACCTATCCACCAAACATGGGGCGGTCAATTTGGCACCAGCCCCAATGAGGACAACAAAATTCCAATCTGAATGGGTATTGTCCTTAGATTATGCGTCAGTTTGGAAGGATGATAAAGCGGCTCGCCGACAACGAAAAGAGCTGTTGAAAGTCGCAAAATCTGCCTTTGAAGACAATGAAGAAGCATCTTGTACGGAACGAACCTTCCAGCACACAGGACGAAGGAGAAGAAAACAAGGTAGTATTGAAAATGAAAATGAAGGCAGAATTGCGACTTGCAATGGGCCCATGAATCCTACAAGTAATATTGATGGCAATATTGATGCTGCAAAAACCAGCACCAGCCCCTCTTCGCTGTCTTCCTCTTGTCAAGAATTGGAACAAGGAATCGCACGCTTATTGGGAATTGGACCAGAGTACTTGGAACCTTTGGAATTTTTACTTTTTACAAGCAATAACAAAGCGCGGCAAGTCCCAATGTCTGATTTTGACAATCACGATCAGTGGAGACCGAGTGGACATGTGCTATTGACCGTACTACTAGTCTTGCAGCCTGCCAAAAAGGGAGGAGCGATTGGATTTCCCGATTTGGATTGGTTAATGGTGACAGACCCTGCCATTTTGATTTGGCCCACTGCTGCCCAAACGCCGACCCAATCTTCACCACCACCACCACCAACAACAAAAGCAGAGGACCCTCATCATTATCAAGAGATGGCCAATATGGAATCCGAACTTCTTCCAGTAATTCAAGGCGATTTATATGCCATCAAGATTCGCGTTCGCCAATATCCTTACTTTTACAATCCAGACTGTGATTAAACACATGGCGATGGAATGAATGATCGATTGATTGATTCATTCGTTCATTCGTTCACTGACTACTGACTGCTGACTGCTGACTGCTGACTGCTGACTGCTGACTGCTGACTGCTGACTACTGACTACTGACTACTGACTACTGACTACTGACTAGTACTAGGATTTTTACCATTTTCAGCATGCTTCGACAATGCTAGGCAGATGCTGGGTACCTCTGGTAGCATTTGCTTGCTAGCAGTGTGGTGAAGTAACATAATTCAAGACTGAATGAATGAATGAATGAATCAATCAATCCGACAATAAGCTTTCATCTTCCACAACAAACGCCTTGCACTCGCAGTCTGAACCTAAATCGTGAGCAAACACAGTGATCATCATTGCGATTGGCAAACTAGTCCTAGGTCCTGCTGGATTGGCAACCCATCTTTTGAAACTTTTGAACATGTTGTAACAAAAGAAAATGCCAAAAGGATTATAGTCAAATTGATCTAATCGAGTTTTTATTCGTAGAGGAGATTATTTTTGTCTTTTTTTGTAGAGATTGTAAAAAAAATAGTCTACAGTTTGTTTGTTGTGTGGTGCTGCAATGTGCATTTCCGTTTGTTTACTGTTTACTCTGTTCATCAGGGAAAAGAATGGCACGGATCGAAGGCAAGAGTTCTTCGTATACCAATGTAAGCCGAGATTTCATGGTGTTATCACAAACAATCTTTCCTTTCAAGGCAGTCAACAAGACACCACCACAGCTGGAATCTGGCAAGTCCTGAGATCGGTCAGTATTGACAAAGACATTGCACTTGAGAGTGACAGAGGATTCTCGCTTCATGATTTCCACATATTCCTCCACAGCAGCATCAATGACTCCTTTGACGGTGTCAACGTCCTCTCCACGGCAATAAACAGCGACAGTGCTTTCCTCAATCTTGATGAGACCTTGGACAATCAACTTTTGCAAGAGTTGTGGGTAGTTCTGTCCCTTGGTCACAACCGCAGCCTTGGAGCTAGCTTCTTGCACAAGAGAGTTCAAAAGTTCGTCACGGATCTTCATCTTCTTGACACGGCATTCTCCAACTTCCGCAGAACGGGTAATGCGTTCCTTGATTTCTTGGTCCTTTTCCTTCTTGGTGAATTCGTCTTGGATATTCAATTTGGCTTCGTGGACCAAAGTTTGCTTTTCCAAGTTGAAATCGTGTTCGGTCTAAATGGTGATATTGTTGGTGTTGATGTTTAGAAGAGAGAGAGAGAGAGAGAAAGAGAGAAAGATAATACAAGCAGATGGTGAGACTATGTGTGTATCTTTGAGATGGTCTTGATCAGATTCGTAGATTTTGTACACGAATTTTAACGGCCTGACAATCGAAATGAGTATGGATATGGAGGGAAAGAGCCTTCGTTTATCAAATACACGCAAGTGATGATTGTTGCGATGAATCATATGAGTTATGATTCATCCGTACAAACCACGCTTTCGTGCAGCCCAAATTACGTTGGTTGTATCCCAAGTTCTCCCTTTTTTTTCTCCTCCCTGCCAACTGCCGATACTCCCACGATTTGCCGATCCCAGAATCTTACCTTGACACGAATTTCGTTGGCCTTTTCATGAGCCTCTTGGAGGATGAAATTCACCATTTGTCGGATTTGATCTGTGGCAGCCATGATGGAAGTATTGTTATTATTGCTATTGTTGATATTGACTGACTGTAAGAAAACAAGATACAAAAGTGGAGCAGCAGAAAGACGAAAAGCGCAATGATTTCCGGAGGTTTCCTCATGGGCGGAGGACGCACGGACAAATCGATCGCCTAAAGGCACGAAATCCAGCCTGGTTCTGTCGCAGCGACACATCGCAATAAATTTATATTCATGTTGTATACAATCATGCAATGACACGCCAGCATACTTCTAGCCGTTGTTGCCGTAGGTAAAGACCTTATTAGGACACACGTGTCAACCGAGCCGGCTGCAGTGGAACAACGGATCGATGAGGCAAGCCGCTCTCTTTTGAACCAAAAGCCAAACGCAACACACACGAAAAACCAAAAGGCTTCATCATTTGTGAAAGAGATCTGTGGATGCTAGGACGCTATAATTCATCAACTTTCTCGGCATTTTTGAAGCAGTGAAACCATCAAGCGACAACACACTCTCGATCTACTGGAGCACTGAATTGTATTTCATTATCAATTCATTCATTCATTCATTCTTTTTGGCATTTGCAATTCAATCGCCATCATTTTTTGAAACAACACTCATTCGCACACACACATACTCAATAATATCGCAATGACGTTACCGACGGGGCCATTGGGACTGAATCCAATTCAATTCTCTATTGGAACTTTCTCTCTTCTCCTCCTCTTTGTGCTGTATCTTCTTTTTCCTCGAGCACTACGAAAGTCCTATTTTGCATCCTACCCCAGAAGGCATGCTTGGTCTGCACGAAGTCGAAGAAGCCGTCGTGGTGGTGGAGGTTATTCAGTGGTACGCTATATTCATGCAATGCATGCATGCATTTATCTAATTTATTTGGAAAGGCATTTGCTTGCAATCTTGCTCTTTATCCTTTTATTCCTTGGCTCCAATGCTCACAATACCGTTGTCCCTTTTGTTTTCTCTTGCTCCTACCGAATCGTCAACAACAACAGGCTGGTGATGGATCAATTGCAGGATCCACTGCAACAGGAGGAACATTTGGAACTCGTGGACAACAATCTCGTCACGGTGGATTTGTCAGTGTGGCTGGAGGATCTACAGTGGGATCCTATAGTATTGCCACCAGACGTGGGTTTGATGAAGAAGCAGCCTTCCGAAATGGTCAACCAGTGGTCGACTTTCAACAGAATGAAGAAATTGTTATTTCAGCAGCCATGCAGCAATTACGCGATCCAGGTGTTTTGATCGTTGCTCATGGTTCCAGAGGCAAACCCAAGACTGTCCGACTGCAGCTCACGGAATCCTCTGTCACATGGAGAACCGAAACCAGAAAGAAGGGCCAAAAGGATGGCAAACCCAAAATGGGTAAGCTTCATCAAGTTCCTCTATCACATATCATGTATGTGGACGTTGGAAAACAGACTACAGCTCTACGAAGAGTGGAAAACGCTGCTGTGAGTGACACACTATGCTTCTCTCTATTGACCAAGGAAGGTTCTTTGGATCTAGAGGCCAATAGTCCTCGCGAGCGCGATGCCCTCGTTTCTTGCTTTAGTCTTGTCTTGGACGAAGTCCATGCACAAAATTGGAGAGATATTTATCGTGGACCTTCTAGCGATATGCCCAGTTCCTTTGATGAATTGGATCAACAACAGCAGCAACAACAAAGTATTGGCGGCGGACGCATGCCAAGACAACCATAGCGTGGCTGTATTGCTGTCTGTTGTACTGGGGGGCAGTTTGGCATGATCGTACACACACACACGCAACACGCAACACACACAAAAAAAGAGATTGTTACAGTAGGAATCTTGAGTTATATATATATTATGCCTTGTTGTTTTACTAAAATAATAGAAGGTCGAGATTGTCAACCAATAGGACTTGAATGAAGGAAGATTTAAGAATGAAGATTTACTGTAGCATACACCACCTCTGCGTTTGACAAGGATTATCATCACGTCATGTTTACATTAGTTATGAATGATATTATACACTGACTAGCTAGTAAATTCAATGGATATCGTTGTTATGCATTGTACATCATTGGCAATAATCGATTGATTCAATCCATCCAGTTGTAACAAATCTTTTCGTATGCCTGCGATGCAAATCCTTCTGGTATTGTTTGGAACTGGTACAAGAGGTGGTCCGCAAGCGATATTGTCGTTTTGTTCTTTTTACCGTGATGGTCGGAATGGAATATGATGCTGAACAAAGCAAGTATTGAAATAGAGAGCGAGAGAGAGATTCTCATCACCATTCATCCTTGTCGGACAATACCGAGTGAGCGAGTGAGTCGAACATTGTCTTTGTTCGCTGCGCAGTCAAGGCTCGCATGATTGTCATTCTTCCCAGCATTGTTCCCATAGTCAGTCATTCAGTCAGTCATGGTTGTTTTCTGTTGCTGCTCAATGGCATGGCCAATGATGGTTTTGTCCCGCAATTGTCTTGGGAAGCACCACCACCAGTTCTCATTGTTTCATAATGATGCTGACTGGCGACGGCATATCTCATTCTTTCATGGATGTGTGTTGTTCCTTTCAGTCCCCAATCTTCCATTGCCAATCATCCGGCCAAACCTCGAATTTGTCAAACCTTAATTCTAGATCCGAGTGAAGTAGACATTGCATCCAACCCTGATGTTCACATTCTTCCGACATGAGAATGAGTGCCACGTACAAGCTAAAGAGTTGAAAGCCAATGGCCACAATCAACCAGCTAATTCCAACACATCGTGGCATGCAACACACGGATTGCCCGGATTCTTCATAGATGGAATAGGAATCACTGCTAGGTATGGAATGAAGGATGAGATGATTGAAAATATCCAATTCCGCAAAGGTTCCCAAAAAGACTCCATATCCCAATGTCAGATAGGTCAGACAGGGTGTAAAGTAGAACCATTCCACTGCCACCACCGCAATGGTCAATATAATATAAAACACCGTGACAAACACCAACACCCGATTCGGTTTGTAACATAAGCTGAGCAAAAGCGCCCACATTAACCCAATGGCTGCCGCTGTCGCTGTCTTTCGACCCCCCGAAAGCACCACAAACCAACCACCAAAGAATGCTTCTCCCAAATACCCCGCACTGGCAATGAAACATCGCCAACCTCCCACATACCGCGTAATCCCCGCCTCTGTTTCATAAACTTCCAAATTCAGAACTTGACCGCAGGTGAGCCAGCAGGCGATCGCATGAGACAATTCGTGAATCGCCGTGGCCAACAAGCGCATCGGTTTGGCAAATATGGTCTCTCCAATCAACAAAACGGCAACGTAATAGATGAGATACAAAAATAAAAAGGCATTTTGTTCCTCATTGCAACACGATGACAGCCATTCGTATCCTCCTCCTCCTTCCTCATCCTCTGAAGCCATTCTATTTATTGCCGTGCCCCCCAAATAGATACGGCAATGATGGAGCAAGGAACAACAAAAAAACAACAGCAACTGATGATCCGCTAATTGTGTTGCCAAACTGCGGAGATTCCGCCCTGTTGTCCGGAAAAAAAAATGGTACGACCATATATAAAATTTGAAAAATCGGACGACTCCAAACTGACGCGGTCCGTACTTCTGTCAGTTTCGGCATTCAACTCACACACCAAACCATCACTGTCAGATTTTTGAATACACCTCTACCGGTATATATATGTATATATATTACTGCAGAATAACATGGCAATCCGAGACAGAGTATTTGCCTATCGTGAACGATTCAAACGGATGGATCGAAGGTGGCATGTATTGATTGGTTCTCAACTCTTGTTTGGAGTATTCCTCCTGCGAGCCCACAACACCAGACAAGCAGACAAGCTGGCAGCGGCGGCAGCAACAGCAGCAGCAGCAGCAGAAGCGCAAAACCAGAAGAAGGATTGAAGGCAGAATGAATTCATGTATCAATGACGAAAACAAGTGGGAGATTAACAAGCATGGATGTGTTGTGGCATTGGACGATTCTTCGCGGAATGAGAATCGAGATTCGTTCATTCATCCAACCATAGTAGTTCTGTACGCCATTCAACGCCACTAAGGGAGGACTAGTTGTGCACAGTTGTTATTAATACAACTGAACAGATCATCAGTCAATACTGCCTTCCTATTGTGTGCTATCGAGTACCCTACAGCCGTGTGTATGATGCGTAAAAACATCTGTAGAAAAGGAAACAAAAATAAATTCTAGATTACAAGAGCCCAGCACGTTGAACGAGATTGCATGGATTTCTATTGAAAACATCAGTTTCTCATTTTGATTTATTCCACCTTGAATAGACAGCGATGGACTGGAGTACCCTGAATCGTACAAGCGACCTCTGTCTCTGTGGCACACTTGGGCGGAAGACAAGGTGTACGAGACCATTCCGGACCAACGGCTCGCTCCGTGTCGCCGTCATTCAACTTGAGCCATTCCACGGTACGTTCGGGAATGCGGAGGTGTCCTTCTTGTTCATCATCATCCTTGCTAGCCACTAGTAGTACTGGGTCCAAGGATGGAACCAAGGTCAATCCAAATTCCTTGGCACGGTCTCGCAAGACCAACGCCACGTCTTCGCAGTTGGTTTGCAAGAGAAAGTAGCAACCATCATCACCATTCTTCTTGTTGTTGTTCTTTTTGGACTGCATGACTTTTGCAATCTTGGCCATGAGTGCTTTGGAAACCATAAATTTGTCATCGTCCGGTCCCAATGCAAGCTGCGAGTTTCCACCACCACCACCACCACTACCTTTTTTGGGAAGCCGCCAGGGTGAGGGAAATTGAATCATAATCAGGGACACTGGGCCTGGATAATGAGTCATCACATCGTCCAACAGCTCCTCGGCCGATAGCTGGGCATATCGCAACTTGGTGGACAGATCCCATCGGTGGGCAATGGTATTGGCAAACCGGACGGTGGCTTCGCTCAAGTCGCCGCCCAAATAATTGCAATTGGACCAGTCGAGTGGTATCATCTGTTGTGCTGATGATGATGATGATGATGATGATGATGATGATGATGATGATGATGATGGTGAGGCAGTGGACGACGGTGCTTGTTGCAATGATGCCAGACCAAGGAGTGATACACCCAATCCACATCCAATATCCACCACCAACGGCTTGGAAGTATCCTCAAACTTGTTGTTCCATGACAACATGTGATTGCGAGCAGGTGATGATTCCTTGGAAGCAGGTTTTTGCAAACGGGAGGAGTATCTCCACAGCCAAAGCAATGGACGGGGCGAGAGCAGGTCCAAACTACCAAAAGGCGAGGACAACAGTTGCTCTACAACCTCGGGATATTCTTCCTTGGCTTGAAGGCTCTTGGCGGCCAATTGATATACTTCTTCTACTTCTGGTCCCTTGATGCCAGAGGCTGCCAACTTTTCGACCACGTGCAAGACATCTCGACTTTTTCGCGACGGGCGTTGACCGATTCGTTCCATTTCCAATTTGGCCACCTTGACCAAGGAAGCATACAAAAAGTCATTGTCAATTCCAGCAAGGCACAGGTTGAAGGCCATGTCGGCCGAGGTTCTTCCACGAATATCCGTGCCCAATGAAAATCGAATTCGTCGTTCCATGGCAGCCACCAAGTCATCCAACGCGTTCGTATCGAGCGGTTGCTGAGAGTCAGCAGCCTTGGATACCATGTTTAGAGCTTGGGTGGATAATTGACAGGCATTTGGTCCACCGGAACCTTCCGTTACAATGATTGAATCATCGGACGAGGAGTCGTCTTTTGATGATGTTGATTCTTCCAATGGTATTAGATTCCATTGCAACGGAGCAGCAGCAGCAGTGGATGCATGATGCAGTAAACCCGGTTTTTGGACGACTAGCTGCCACCCAGGCTTGACCAGATAACTGCATTCCTGGACAGCATTTTCCACAAAGGATGCCGAGTCGGCTGTTAAAGAAATCTCCTTCATGGCGCGTTGGAGAATGTAAAAGGATTGTGGGGCTGGAGAGTTCAGTCCTTGCAATATTGCGTCCATGTTTGGATCCCTATTTGGATTCACCATTTGACTTGTCGTCCTCCAGCACTGTTCAAACTCATCTGGCACAGTAGCAATTTCAGGGCTATTGGTGGCGGAGGAGAAAGGATGTCGTTGCACAAAACGATAATATTGTTGTCGCTTTCTCGTCGTCCAACCACTTGGTTGCACAAGCTGCTGTGGCGGCACGGTTGAAGATGCAATTTGTCGGCGTAGTAAAAGCTTCCTTCCCAACACAGTGGGGAAATTATACCCTTGCACTGGACGAACAAAGCTTAGAAGGAGACTCATTTTGACAGCACAAGCCAATGTTGATGTGTTGATGTGTTGGCTACCCATCACTTATATCACTTGTATATATTGTCCACTTTCTGTTGTCACCGGCCGCCTTCTACTAGTAATGTATCTGAAGTTGTTTGAAGTTGTTTGGAAGAGTGTTACATCCCATGTAGGTCCTTATGCATCAAGAAGAACACATCTGTTGACAACAAGAAGGCGGCAAACAATACTAGTAATTGGTTCCTGGTATTCTTGAGGTTGAGATTGAGTGGAATGCCAAATTTTGAAATTGAAAATGAATCCATCAAACTTATTTTAAATCAATCAATCAATCCTCTTCTCCTCTGAAAGATCCGCCGTAAAAAAGTTCAAAAATATCTTGTTATTAACCCTTATGTATATCCAGGAATGTCTGGGGGTCCGTACATTTCCACGGCGCCTACGGCGCAGCTTGTGCGCATTCTGTCTACATCTATCCGTCATGTTGAGCCATCAATAACGGCACATCCTGGTAGGGACCAGTACTTACGCATGTAAAGAGCAGATAGACAAGGAGGGGCATTCCAAATAAATAAAAAGGGGATTGCAAAAATGCACTCGTCCTTTTGAAACAAAGACTTTCACGGAAACAAACGACAATGGCACAAGAGTGCAGATTCGGCTACCATATCGATAATGAAATTGGCTGAAAATGTAGATTTTAAAATAGATAAAAATATGTGCTAATAGGGCATGTAACCATTTTTGCCGTTCAATTGGATCTCCTTCCGCGATTTGCATTATTGGGATGAAACCCTTGACTTGAAGACGATGCTTTCCATAGTCGTTGATGTTTCCACAATCGTTGATATAGGCCTTGTCCCACTCACGACAGACATTGCCCAGAACATTCCTTCCATCGATCTCCTTCTGCACCGTGCTGTATACGCTGCTCTGGCTTGAAAACATTACGTCGAGTTCTTGCTCCTCCACTTTGATCCAAACTTCTTCTCACCCATTCTTCAGCTGTCCCTCCAGGGATTGGAAAACGATCACAATCCTAATGACCAAATCAGTCATAATCGATACATCGTACATTCCCTTGTGTGCTTGTGACTAGATGGTTGATTGCCGATTCGTCCTGGCCGTTGATAGACTTGGAAGGCAAAGGATGCTGGTTGTCTTGTGCAATTTGTATGAAATCACGAAACCCCAGACAAAAATGTGTCACCGCGAGATCAAGAAATAGTTTCACCGTGAAAAAGTCTAGGGCCTATAAATAAAAGAGATCTTTGTGCGACGTGTACAAACAATTCGCGTCATATATATATATTTACCTAATTGTTGGAAATGCCAATAATCTTGAGCATGTTGCACTCCAATTTTTCTTCACCTCATCCTCGACGATGACCTTGTCTTTGTCGTGTGCTTTGAAAAAGGTGAAGTGAGTATCCATTTTTCCTTCACACTTATGTTTGGCTATTACGTTCTTCCAAGCGTTGACGAGATTCATCAAGTTCTCACCGTTTCTTTGCCAAATTTGAGACCAAGACAGCCTTGTCGCTTGTTGATCGGGCACGATCTTGTTTTCTGAAAATGTTGGTTATTGCTTCGTAAGTATTCATCGCATGAGAACAGATACTGCCTATGGCTATCTCAAGAATAGATGCTTTGTCCAAGACGTTAGAGGGGCCAACATGTCTTTCTGTTATGCCGTTCTAGTATTCCTCATGGTTGAAGCGTCACTTTCGCAAAACCATTTTCTTTGGACGGAAAACCACATGGCACATGAAGTCTATCATAGACTTCATCATTTGGAGCTAAATAAATTTCACGAGAGCAACGAAGATACCTATGAACAGTATTACAACACTATTGCTCAACACTCTTCGATTTTTTATCGTAGGACTATGCTTTTTTGTGTTCTCCTTTTTGTATCTACCTTAGAACACTGACGGCCTGATTTTGCCAAGCGATAACCTCATTAGACTCATGATTGTTACGATCAAGAGTTAGTGTTCCTTTGTGAGGCGGAGGTCTGCTGCAACGACTACAATTTTTACATGCATAGATACGACATTGAACATGTTGGAAAACAATAAGATGCGAAATTTGAAAAATGCTTGTGGGGTTTTCCCCAAATTTGAATCTTGAGATAGCAACCATGATGATCCATCCGTTTTAGCCATTAAGTAAATGACGTGTTGAGCAATCAATAATGGCCATTATTGATTGACTCAACCTATCTTGAGTCAATCAATAATGCGCATTATCGCACGCTCAATTATTGTCCTCAGCTATCGTGGACAGTCACGATCTATCCCGCCTAAAAATAATACGTCGGCACAAGAACTTCAATCGAAAATACGGAGTTCGCACGAGAATTTGACACCACATCACACACCAGACACTGACCACATCACGGCTAAAAATTGTTTTACTTATTGCACTGGATGACGTGGGCGTCATCTGGCATCCACATTTTTCCACTTTTTCTCATCAAAATTGGAAGCAGATTCAAGATCAGAACAAAATATCAAATAAACATCAGTCCCACTCATATCGGGTACATCAAAAGAAAACACACGACTCCATCAACACTTTTACAATGACAGGAGGTTCTCATAAGGGAATATATTGCGATGAATGTGGGGCGTATCCCATTCAAGGCACAAGACACAAGAGCTTGGCGATCTACGACTTTGACATTTGTTCTACTTGTCGTTTCGCCAACTATCCGTGCGAAAGCAAGGACTTTATTGCCTTCGATGAGCCCATTACAAGCTCTGAGGCTGCCTGCGTGGGGCCACAGGTTGTGAATCGGATCGATGCTCAGTCCGCTAGGGAGGCGGAAGAGCAACTGCGGAAGGGTCGGGATGCTCATGTCGCATTTTTTGGGTTCTTTGGAAACCAAGCGGCAGAAGGAGACCGACAAGCCGTCGTTGATTTTATCAACCGGAATGCACACCTGACGAATATTCATATTCGATTGTACTCTTTTCAAAATCATCAAGATGTCTTTGCCACTATCACTCGGGGATTGCTGCACAACAAGTCTGTCAAGCACCTTTGTTTTCATCTAGTTCCCTTGCACAATCAGGGCAGCTTTTTGGACCCCACTCCCCTCAAGGAGCTCATTGAAACCAATAATACGTTACAGGCAATGTTTATCACTCGGGCAAAATATTGGCCAGGAGCCACCATTGAGCAAGACACTGCACAATTGGAAAATGAGTTTGCCAGCAGTCTTTTTGAAAGCCTCAAGGCAAACCGCAATCTCAATTCCTTCCGACTGGAAACCATGTGCCATTTGGAAGACTCCACCAAACACCTGGCTTGGGACGTAGTCAGTCAGAACTCAAACTTGACCAGATTCTATGCCAAATTTAAATCCCAAGATGACCAACTGGACATGCTGTTGGCATTCAATCAATACCAATGGATGAAGCGATGGACGGATACCTTTGCTACGACACCGAATCGCGTCGAGGTGGTACGAGAAATTCTAGACTCGGAGCAAGCCCAGAATGCTACATCATTGTTCCATTTGCTACGGGAATTCCCAGAGGCATTGAGGACCATGGCGTAAGGGTGGCAGACTAGCTAGTATCTCCTCGCGCCAGCCGTGTTCTTCACTCTGTACATCAGCACACATCCTGGGCGACAAGTCATTTCTGTAATCACTGAGACGATAGTAGCACATTTGTTATTTATTTTATTGCATGGATCTGAAGTCCCTGTAGGTCATGTACTCGGTTGACTTGGAACATAAAGCAAAATCTCACTCATCACAAATACTTTTAGACCAGCAACAATGGGCGAAAATATTTGTGAGGTTCGATGTCATTTCACCAACTTCCTCATCAGTAGTAAATTTCTCTCATCATTGGCATGTACACGCACGGCGCCCGACAGAAGTCTACCTGTTGATTAATGGCTTCACACAAATCTTCCACTTGACTAACCTTGCATTCTTCGGTTGTCACGCAAAAATCAGCCGACATACGATCCATAATCGGCGTTTGAAGTATGGAATGGATGCTGACCCCGCAGTCTTCGGACAGTTCTCCCACTCGCTTGATGATACCCAAACCATCTTGAAAGGGAATTCGAATGTAAAAAATGGCAATGTAGTCCAAATCCAACTCTAAATGCGGCGGTGCTTCAATGGGAAAGGCCGGTCCTTGTTGTCCGTCTGCTATTCTACAAATATCAGCAACGACAGAGTTGGCAGTGGGGAACCGACCAGCTCCGGGACCAAGGTAAGAACAAGTCCCCATATTCGCGGAAGTAATGGCCACTGCGTTGCCATGGGATGAAATCCGAGCCAAAACATGATCTTTTGGCACCATGAGGGGGCTGACGTAGACCGAAAGCGGTCCATCCCATTCGCGAGCCTCGTGCAATCGTTGGGCGGTCCCAACCAGTTTGATGGTACAGCCCAGTACTTTGGCGTATTCAAAGTCGATTCTTTCTAATAGAGTAATGCCTCGGCAGGGGACATCTTGGACTGGAACTGTCAAACCAAAGGCCAACTTGGCAAGGAGACATATTTTGACGCGGACGTCAAAACCTTCAATGTCTTCGTTAGGATCCTCTTCCGCATAACCCAAGTCTTGCGTTTCTAGCAGAGCTTCTTCCATGCTAGCTCCATTTTTCATCTTTTCCAAAATGTAGTTGGTAGTACCGTTGCAGATTCCTTGAATTTGATGAATCACATCTCCGGCATAACACGTCTGCAGCGTATGAATGATTGGGATCCCGGCACAGACAGCGGCCTCGAATCCAAAACATGAAGCTACTGGGAGAGGCATATTGTACATGTATAGTTGCTGTTCCTGCTGATGTTGCAAGAGCTGTTTGTCCTGTGCTTCTTGTATTTGATTCACCAATCCTTGGATACTTTCCAAATGATTAGCGAGCAAGGCCTTGTTGGCCGTGACCACCATCTTTCCCTTCATCAAGCCTTCTTCTACTACTTTCTTGGCCAGCCCAGTCCCTCCCATGACTTCAACCACCATATCAATGTTGGGATCATTCAGAATGCTATCGACATTGGTCGTCATTGTGGTAATTTCTTCGTCCAAATGAAAGCTTCGTGGTTTCGAAAGATCCTTTACACACACTTTGGTGATCCACAGGGGTCTCTTTCGGCAGACTTGTGACTGTTTCGAATGCTTGGAAGAGGATCGTGGTGAATAGGGTCGTTCTTCCTTCAGTCGTCCCATGATGAGTTCGTAGACACCACCGCCGATGGTGCCACCACCAACCATACCAATTCTCAGCGGCGGCATGGGCTTCAACACTTGTGATTTTTTTCGTCGAGAGCTTGACGAAGCTACAGGTGAAAGCGGTGTCGACATTTTGTTGTTACTGTGCGCCATTGTGGTTGTGGGGGTGGTGGTGGTGCTTTAATTAAGTTATCCTGTAGCTTTCCTGCTGCTGATGGGTACGTATCTGATAGATTTGTTTGTGACCTGACAAATAATTCTCATGTCGCAGAACTTTTTGGATTTTCGGATAAATTTGATGGGTGGGCGGCGTCTTGACGTGTTTGTGACTAAATAAGCTCTTCACTATGATCGAGGGAGTCAGTCAGGCCCAAAGCTACAGTAAGCACGATTTTTTCAAAATGTTTGTTGTGCCTCAGCATCATCATAATCTCCCGCGTTGAACCGATGAGCAAACCAATCATCTCGAAGAATAAGAAAAGAGGCTGTAATAGAGCCGTGCAGTGTAATCTATAAAGGGACCAAAAAATGGAAGAAAACAAACAAGAATCGCTTGAGGAACTCAAGAAAAAGGGCTTTGCCTACTACAATGAAGGAAACCATGAAAAAGCGAAGGAGATTTTGGTCAGAGCGTTGGAAATACAAACGAAGGAGTCAATTGAAGATGACCTTTCGGTGGCTGGCGCACTTAATGTGATTGGGAGTGTGCTGCTGAAGGAAGGGAAGCTCAATGAAGCCTTGGAGAAATTCGAAAGGGTTCTTGCGATCCAGTTGAAGAAATTGGGAAGACATGTTGACACAGCCGAAACCTACGAAATTATTGGACAAATCTATCACGAACAAAAAAACGACCAAAATTGCGGAAAGATGCTACGAAAAGCTCTGGATATCAAGCTCGAAGTTTTGCCACGAGAAAACATTTCTGATTTGACGGATCTGTACCAGCGCCTATCCATATCATTGCAGTTACAAGGAAAGTTTTCAGAAGCAACCAACACGAACAAACGCGCACTTGCAACCCTACTAGAAGTACACGGGGAAGAGCATCCTGCTGTTATAGAGTCGTACAATGGTATTGCCATACTGTTGGCAAACCAAATGAGATTTGACGATGCGATTCAGATACTTGATAAAAGCATCGAAATTTGTTCGCGGCTCCAAGAAGCGGGAGACTTCGACAAAGATCTGTTGGCAAGATCGCTCTTCAACAAAGGACGATGCCTGAAAATACAAGGGAGATTGGATGGTGCCACGCAGATGTTCACCAAAGCGCTAGCGATAAGAAAGGAAGCGCTAGGTGCAATGCACCCATCGACAGGAGAGTTTTATGAAAGTCTTGGAGAAACATATGTTCGACAAGACATGCTGGAAGAGGGCATCCATGCTTTCACCAAGACTCTGGAGATTCGCCAAAGTGTGTTTTCTGATGATCATCCCGGCCTGGAGGAGCTTAAGCGTACCATTGCACCGTTAAAGCGAAGGAAAAAGGCGAAAACACTTCACGAACAGGGACTGGCAATGAAGACGCAAGGCGATTGGGAAAAGGCGAGACAATTCTTCCAGGAGGCGCTGAATATTTACGAGGATTTGAGCGCTACTGTTTTTGATGCCAGTATGGCAGCAATATATGCGAATATTTCGACTCTCTACATGGAACTGGCAATAGTGTGCGAGAATATTTCTTCTATGAAAGTTGACAACGGTTTGCTGGAAGATGGCATCGCTGCGAGTGCAGAAGCCCTCAAGATTCGTCGCAGAATATATGGGGACGATCATAGGGACACGAAAAGGCGTATGAAAGCACACAGGTCGTTGCTGAAACGTCTCTTGCAAAATCGAGGCACCAAATAGTGGTGCGAGAGGGCTATCGGTACCTGTACCTTGTACCGGTACCGGTATCAAATGGAAGAAGAAGGGGATACGTAAAAGTAGGAACCCTTTTTTCTGCGTTTCTCACTTTTCCAGCACACATAATTTTTGGACGCTTGGTCATTTACAACAAAGATTCTTCAGACAGATGGAAACTGGATCCTCTCCAATCCAGCAAGACTTGTTAAGATATAATTATATACCCTAGACTATATAATGGAGAACTAAGAGACATTCGTGCATGATGGAAACCTTTTCAATGTCAAGTGAAGTACAAGCGGATGCTACTAGTATTGGTGGTTCTCCCACCAAGAACAAGAACAACAAGATGACCATTGAGAATAATAATACACAATCAACATCGTCACCCTCATCGTCATCCGTGATCTCGATACGGTTTGCCATGCTTGGTTTACTAGTCGGTGCCTCTATTTGGCGAATGCATTTTGACAAGTCTTCCTATGTGACTGCCAAGAGCGAGACGTTGTCCAGGCCGTCCAAGCAGTATCTTCGTGCTATGCTTGCCGACAATAATAATACTGCAACAACTGCTATGAATGGCACTAATGATGATCATCGAAAAGACCAAGAAGAAGAAGAAGAAGAAAACAAGTTGTTGCAAGATGCAACCACCACAACACATGATGCCACCATTGCGCCTACCAACGAACCAACCGAGGCACCAAATGCAACGTCTCCCTTTTGGTCTTGGATTGAACCATTTTGGAACCAACGTAGTACTCTTACAACTGCCAGCAATTCTACTACTACTACTTCCTTTGTCTTTCCCGACGTTGACTTTCGAATAAAATACTACATGGGATCTTGGTACGATTCGAGCACTAGACTCGAAAGTGTGAATTGCAGTGCCTTTGACAAGAAATTCATTGACGGCAAATTTGGTTCCCATATGCACGACAAGGATGTCCTGTATAGTTACAAGGGATTGGATCAACAAATTCGGAACACCAAACATTGGAATATTGGTAACTATTTAATGTATTATCACACCGTCATGAAAAACTCCTCCAAGCCCCAAAATGCCGTGGTGGCCATGTGCGTTGGCGACTCGTCGTCGGTCAAGACGGGCATTCCAGTGGCGGCCAAGACGAGAAAGGCTGGGTTGGTGGAAGGGGCAATGTCACAAAACAAATACTATGGTATCATTTGGCCCCTCAACATGGTCCGGCATTTTGGACCCGTCCACGACTATTTGGAATTGGAACAAGTGGGAAATGTGACTGCCTGGGAAGACAAAAAGGAAGCTTTGATTTGGAGGGGCGGATACACGGGGGTGCCATCACTCTTGAAAGGCGAAAGCTTTCGAAACTCGGCACATGAATATGGCCCCCGCGTCCAAGCAGTCTTGGCCAATTGTTTCCAGAATCATTCGGAGATTGACGTTGCCTTTGCCAATATTCCTCCCCAGCGCAATGGCATTCCAAAGGCAATGAACAAGACACTTATGGAATCTTGTATGCGGGGCACCCATCGGACCATGCAAGAACAGTTGGAATTCAAATATATACTAAATGTAGAAGGCAATGACGTTTCCTCCGGTCTCAAATGGCAATTGGCCTCCAATTCGGTCGTCTTCATGGCCAAACCCATGACCGTATCCTGGGCCATGGAGGAACTGTTGATTCCTTTTTATCATTACATTCCCGTGGACGAGAATTTTGAGAATTTGCCCGAAATGATCCAGTGGGCCAAGACTCATGATGAGGAAGCCAAGAAAATCTCGGAACAAGCCACCCAATACATGTACGACTTGTGGATTAGTGAAAAGTCTCAACATGATTATGCCGAACTCCATACTCTATTGGCCACTCGGTATCAAGATCAATTTGGCGAGGCATTGTGGAAATGCCTCCTCCCTTCCAAGAAATCGGAACGAGTAAGGTCTGGTCATAATCATAACAACAACAATCCACGATCGTCCTTGGTACTTATCAACCGAACTAAGAATCAAATGAAGAATCGAAAGAATAGAAAGGGGAGAAAGAAGCGGACCACAAAGGCAAATTGAGTACTCCTGGTGCTGCCACTGCTACTGTACTACCTCCTTCTGGGAAGATCAAAGTGACAAACACTTGTACATCATTGCAATAGAAGATAACTTACTCGTCGCAATATTATAATAGGGAGAAGTAGATTATCGCAAGTTCTATGGCAGTAAACGAACACTAGGAGATGTTCAATACAGTAGTATCATCCTTATTGGGATACTCCTCCTTCCGAATTGAAGGTCCAACTCACTCCCTTCCTCCAAGCATCCAATGAACGTGAGTTGGTGAGTCGTACTTGTCCAATGCAGTTGGAGGCAGGTCGCTGCTGGCGATCCGAACGGCGAATGTGTATGGGCATTCTACGCAATCTACACAAGATTCAAAACTTATGTACATATATAATTTTGAAGATGTATATTGTTTGAAAGAACGCTAGCCAGCCGACATCGTGACCGACTCAACGGAAATTAGTGGAGGGGCCAGACGAAATATTGGCAATCCTGTAGAATTCGTACCAGGTCTACAAGCGATTGACTGCCACCTCGTGGGTTTGCTTTTTTCGACTTTCCGCCAAGGCCAGTGAACGGAGCACTGCAACAACCCACAAGGAGCACCTTTTTGAAACCAAAAAAAAAGCTAGCTTGAGTGTGACACTACAGCATCAACAATTGCAAACCGCAACACCACGAAAGAGTTTATTCGGAAGCATTGAAGCGTCTTTTAGCTTGCTCTTTGTTAGTTATTGATTGATTGTAGCATTGTCCAAACATACAGTACCAACATACCATACACAACAACAGCCTTAGAATACTCCCAAGATGACATCCTACGGAACCCAAAGCCACTACAGCGACCAACGATTCGCAGCTATTGATGGCAGTGTTGGCGACTTTCCTCCTCTATATTCAGACCTTCCCTTTTCCAGACGGAAAAAGTATGGCCGCAACTCGGACAATGATGCCATTAAGTGGGCCATGCGATGTGTCTTGGCTTCTCCCGTTCTTGTGCTGTGTTTGTGGACTGTGGGAGCCTTTGTGTTTGCCAACAAGCACGTTTCAACCAATAACAGCGCCTCTGCACAAATGATGAAGCAACGGCAAGCACAAATGGTTCCTCAATCGCCTCAAATGATGATGTTGCCGCAACAATTGCCTCTTCAACAACAACAACCATTGCAACAACAACCGGTCATGATGATGTCGCAACAAGCTGGACAACCACTTCAGATGCAACAAGCTGGACAACCGCTTCAGATGCAACAAGAACAACCACAAATGCAACAACAACAACAACAACCTGTCATGATGATGTCTCAACAAGAGGCTCATCCAATGCAACAAACACAAGAACAGCCAGTGATGCAACAAGTGCAAGAAGCTGCACAACCAATGCAATTGCAACAGGAACAACCAGCGATGCAACTGCAACAGGAACAACCACTTATGCAACAAACCATGCAAGAACAACCAGTCATGCAACGTGGAAGAAAGAACAAGAATCAACGGCCAGGAGCTATGCATCAAAGACCCTTGCCACACTATCCTTCTCCACCGCAACAACAACAACAGCAGCAGCAGCAGATTCAGCAACAACAGCCATTGCAGGTCCAACAACAACAGCAGCAACCACCGCAAGTGTTGTACTATGAACCTTCTCAAGCCATGGCCAATGGAAAGCTCGAGGCCCCAATGACTGTCTATGACTTGAATGGCAACCCAATTCCACTTCAAGCTCTACGAGGCGCACAAATCTTTATGGAACCCCCTACTCCGCAACAAGTCATGGCTCCTCAACGAGGCATTTCGACCCAGGACATTCAAAAATGGGGCGAATCCACCTCGCAAGATCAATCCATCATTGTGGCTACCGTTGCCGTGATGGCCTTGCTCGTAGGAGCCATTTCGGCCCGCCGCATGCGATCCCGGAATGTCCTGTCGAGTTGCATTGAAAATGAAGCCCTCGAGGATGATGTGGCCTATGATACGGCATATACTACCAACAAGGACAATTCCTATTACAATACCTTTGCATCGGGGGGATGGAAGGGTGACTTGGAAAAGTTTGACGTATAAAGTATATAAGAAGGTATGGGGAAATACAGTACGGTATGTATTCAGCACTCTTATGTGTTGTTTGTAGAATAGCAGGATAAACAGTTGCGATGATAAAGCGCACTATTTTTTTATCAATTCCATCTTTTTCTACTTGGTATGTTCTGCATCAATTGATGGGCTCTCATCAAAATGTAATGATGATACCTGCAGTACCGAGAGCGCAGACAAGATGCCAAACGCATGAATAGTTATTCTCGGTAGAAGCAACAAGCTGTTGACAAATACAGCATATATGTATGAGACCTATGTACTTCCATACGCCTTTTCGTGTCAACATGATCGTTCCCATCTATTCTTCGGCGAATCTTGAGGGCTTCGGCACTCGCAGCAATGCCATCTTCCAGCAAACCGTTGTCAACTTTCACAGAAGAAATATTTTCATAGACAACTGCCATGTGGGGATGAACACCATTGGTTTCCTCGTTGGCTTCCTTATAAACATCCAGCGACTCTTGGAAGAGTTGTATTGTCGTTTCTGCATCGCCTTCATTCTCAGTCCCTCGTCGTTCAGTTCCTTCGCGTCTCGGAAGAGCCGTATTGCCTTTTCTGAATCGCCCTGTTTCTTCATTGCGATACCCTGATCGTTCAGTTCCTTCGCGATACTCCTGTGCTTTAATTGTGCAATGGTACGCATAAGCTGCGTTGTGTGGGGATGACCATCAGAAAGCACGCTTTTACGAATCTCCAGACTCTTGGTGAGAACATGGATGCCAACTTCCAGCATCTCTTGTCGGACATGGACGTCTCCAAGATTTTCATAAAATTCTGCTGTCAATGGGTGCATTTCACCTAGCGCTTCCTTTCTTACCGTTAGCGCTTTGGTGAAGTGCTTCGTGGCACTATCCAATCTCCCTTGTATTTTTAGGCAGTGTCCTTTGTTGGCGAGCGATCTTGCCAACAGATCTGTCTCGAAGTTTCCCGTTTCTTGTAGTCGAGAACAAATTTCGATGCTTTTATCAAGCATCTGCAGAGCATCGTCAAATCTCATTTGGTTTGCCAGCAGTATGGCAATGCCACTGTATGACTCTATAACAGCAGGATGCTCTTCTCCATGCTTTTGTAGTAGTGATGGAAGTGCGAGTTTGTGCGTCTTGATTGCTTCTGAAGACTTGCCTTGTAATTGCAATGACATGGCTAGGCGCTGGTACAGATCCGACAAATCAGAAATGTCTTCTTGCGGCAAAATTTCGAGCTTGATATCCAATGCTTTTCGTAACATCTTTTCGCATCTTTGGTCGTTTTGTTGTTCACTATAGACGTGGCCAATGCTTTCGTAGGTATCGGCTGTATCCAGATGTCTTCCCAATTTCTTCAACTGGATCGCAAGAACCCTTTCGAATTTCTCCAAAGCTTCATTGAGCTTCCCTTCCCTCAGTAGCGAATTCCCAATGTTAGTGAGTGTCGAGGCCAAAAGCAAGATCATCTTCACCAAATTCCTTCGTTTGTATTTCCAATATTCTCTCCAAAGTCTCCTTCGCCTTTCGATGGTTTCCTTGTTGAACATAGGCAATGCCCCTTTGCATCAGTTCCTCAACCGAGTCTTGTTCGAAGTCGACCATTGTTTTTTGGCCCTTTATAGAATACACTACTTGTTTCTATAGTCTGTTTCCTTCTTGGATGATGATGATGATGATGATGAAGATGATGATGGTAATACGATATATGATGACACTTTATTCTGTGAGCAAAATCCTGAGAAAAGGGTGCGGAAAAAATGATTCAGTTCCCCTTCTCCGTTCCCCCATAGATCGACAAAATGTTGTTTGTAGGTAGTAAGTATAACACGACATTCATACCTGAGGTCAAACGCTTACGACGACAAAACACCTTCTAGCAACATATGTACTTTAAATGTAAAGGCTAAGTTACATCGATTTAATTAATGCTCAATGTGTGTGTTTGTGAGTCTTTGTCTGTGTTCATCTTTAGTGAACGTTGTGTGTGTGTGTTTGTGTGTTTTGTTGTGTGAGTGTACAAGTACGTGTGCATATGTATATGCATATGTATATGCATGTGTGCTGTGGTGCGTGTATCTATGTTTCCTTCCTAAATTGTATCTTGTTCCTCCAAAGTGTTGTTATATTTGCATCACTTCGTAGGCATCCTTATCATTGGACGTAGTGCCTTCCTCGTTTCCTTCTTCCACATCCCCCAAGCGTTCTTGTGCTTCACCTTCTTCCAAACTACCCGCACTTGACACAAATGCCAAATCCAATTGATCCAAACCCCACGCCACGGCATCATGGACCGTGACAAAGATGTGGTTTTCTCCCACGGCCTCGACAACCCCACTGTTGTCCAAGCGTCCCATGACTTCGACGTTGGGATTCGCCAAGCATATTTGAATGCCTCGCTTCTTGTACATCTTGATCATGTCCAAAAGAATATGGAGTCCACTGGTATCAATGTGGGCTACCGGCGTCATTTCGATGATGAAATACTTGACGTCGGTAATAGCACCCACGTCCGTGTTTTCATCTTGAGTACCAGTCTCGACAAACTGTTGCTCTTGCGCCTTTTGCTGGTCCCTCCAGAGCTTTTCCGCTTGTTTTCGATACTTTTCAAACTTTTCACGCATCGTTTGTGTGTTGGCAAAGTAAATGGGAGCGTCAATGCGCACCACCACAATGCCGTTGTAACGTTCGGCATTCGCGTATTGCTTGACGTTGCGGTAGTTTGTAGATCCTGGGAGTCTTCCTAGCACAGTAGTCTTTGGAATGGCTGATTCGTAAATGATAAAGAGGAGAGAAAGGCCAACAGCGATACCGAGGCCACTCTCGACTCCAAGGAACATGGTGCAGAGACAAGCCACCAACCAGACCAAAAAGTCGAATCGGTGGACTCTCCACAAGTACTTGGCTTCTTCGTAGTCGATCAATCCAATGACACCGGACAGCACAATGGAAGCCAAAACAGCAAGAGGCAACTTTTCAAAGACTGGAGTCAAGAACAAGAGGGCAATGGCAACCAAGACGGAAGTGATGAGTCCAGAAATTCCACTCTTGGCTCCAGCTTCGTTATTAACCGCAGACCGACTGAAACTTCCAGTGACTGGATAGGAATGGAACATGGCACCCACAAAGTTTGCCATTCCAAGTCCCATGAGTTCCATGGACGAGTCCACCTCGTAGTTGTGCTTACTGGCCAATTGCTTGGCAATGGCAATCGATTCCATAAATCCCACAATGGTAATGGAGACGACAATGACCCACATTTGATCCAACCGATCAATGGGCGTCAACAAGTCTCCGGTAAAGGACGGCAAACCCTTGGGGATTTCGGCGACAATGGGAATGCCTTGATTTTCCAAGTCCAACGTCACCACCAAAATAATGGAGACCACAGTCACTGTGAGTGGCCCCATGGCACGCATCCACTTGAATTTTGGATAGGTCTTTCCAGCTGTTTTCATTCCCACCAGGACGCCCACACTCATAATACCAAGGATAAAAGTCTTCCAGTTGAAATCCCCAATGCCATCGGCGAGGTTGCCCACCAATTCATGAAGAACTTTGGAGTTTTCAATGTCGTAACCAAGAATATGTTTGAGTTGGGACATGCCAATGATAACAGCCGCACCGGTGGTGAAACCAGACACCACCGCATGACTCAAAAAAATAGTAACGAAACCTAGTCGCAGGACTCCCATGATGAGGTAGGCAATGCCCACCAAAAAGGAAACTTGTTTGGCCATCAAGTTGTACGTTTCTTGATAGGCTGGATCGTCCACGGGAAGGTCCTTGAGCGCGTCCGTTAGACCAGTATTTAGGAGCAACGAAATGAGTGCCACAGGCCCCACGGCTAGTTGACGCGAGCTTCCAAAAAGCGCATAGGTAAAGACTGGCACCAAGGAGGAATACAATCCATATTCCACTGGAAGTCCTGCTAATTTGGCATAAGACATACTCTGAGGAACAATCATGATTCCTACCGTTAGTCCGGCAATCACATCGGCCATGAGGCTGTTTCGAAGGTTGTAATGCCGCATCCATTTGGTGCAGGGCAAGATCACTCCGAGCCAGTCGACTTCTTTGGCGAATGCTTTGGGAGAAGGGAGCATTCGTTTCGTTCTGGTTTCAAAGGACTCTTTCATAGAAGCTCTGGCCCGTTGCACAGGATAGACTTTGTTTTGACGGGAATCCTCGTTGACATGAAGCAATTTTCGTCTATGAACCGTCATGTGCTGGCCATTGGCGGACCTTCCGCTGATATCAATGTTGTTATTGTTTTGAGTGGTATTAATATCACCGATAATGGGAGAAGTGGAGCCAGAACCGTCGCTGCTCGTTTCGGTGGTTCCTGCCCTTCGTAGCTGGGGTGATGGCCCATCCTTATTATTCGTGTTGTTATTCATCCTTGTGAACGTGAAAGGTTTGAATTGGAGTTGGAGTTGGAATTGGAATTGGCGTCCAACAGCAGTCTATCGGCAATTGCTGGCAATCGCTGTCAATGCTTTGATTGATTGCTTGATTCGTTGACGTAACAATCCAGATGCCTTCTTTCTTCTTTACTGTGTACCTACTGTTAGCAGTCACAATTGCTCTCGGACACGGTTTTATTTTATTAGTGGCTGAAGCGACCGTGAAAAATGCCAACTGAAAAAATAGTCAAATCATGGAGCTCGAATTTCGACCACGTGGGTAAAGAGCTTCAATGACGACCTCGCTTTGATTTGCCATGATTGATATTGTATAATTGTGCGCGGGGATGGCGTACAAAAGGCACGTGAACAGTACCACGACAAGGCAAAACGTTTTCTTCCGTTCCCTGCGAAAACGTTAGTTTCAAAAGAATCAATCAATCGTCTGTCCTACTCACCGTATGTTCTGCAGAATGTTCAGTAATACGGTACAGTCCTTGGTACAGTTAGAGTATGGAACGCGAGGAGGCATCTTTGTGGAGGTCCACAATACGCGTCTTTTGGGGAGTGTTGCGATTTAACGAATGTGCAAAAACAATAACTAACAACGTAAATTCTGATCGGAGTCAATGACGAAGGTGTTTCTGTCTGCCAACATCATTGACAGTGGTGGAAGGGTCTCAAAGACAGCTGCTATTAACGTGGAAAAAGACTACTGTACCTTCGCCATCCATCGGTAACAAATGCATGCTATTCGTACTGGCCCGTGGAAGGTTTCCTACCTCTACTAGAGGTAGAGTTGAGTTGTGTAATATTTTGTATAAAATAAATAAAAGAGGAAGCGCAATTCCTTTGGCAGACGCAGACTCAGATTCAGACGCGATCAACGCGAAGAAGCAAGAAGGAGGGTCCCGTGCACCATGGTTTTAGTTTCCTTGGAAATTCGCACCACGGACTTGGCGGCGACGACGATGACAGGTAGGTTGCATGCAACTCTTTCATTTGACGGATTGTAGTAGCCCAAGAGGATGGTCTAGCAAGAGGACCTTAGGGCGGTGTAAAAACGACTACATTTATGCCACAAAGTGTACGTTCTAACAGCACCAAATGGGATTAGAGTTTGTGCTTTTGATTCCTGCCTACTATCCAAAAAGGAGCGCGTTGGTGCTCCAATGATTTCAAAGCTGGACCACCCATCAATGTCTGAGTAATACTGATTGCATTTTGAAATACCGTGGAGTATTTACGAACATCCAACACACGATCGACTCATTCGACCATGACGTCGCCAGCCATCTGTCCTTCATCTGTCTAATGAAAAAAAAGGATTCCATTACTGACAACGACTCCAACTGGAAACCCAACCACGACGAAGACTTCATCTTCAACGCATAGTGTTTGAGACATTGATACCCTTGAACCAGCAAGCGAACTGGAGGAAAGCGCAAACGAACCATGTTTCGATCATGCTTTGAAACGCCAAACGACGAAGGCTCTCCTGATTCGTCGCCGTCCAACAATAACAAGAGACTTGCTTCCGTTTCCTTTTCCAATCTAGATAGTCGTGAGAATGTTCTTTTGGAAGTTGTGGGAGCCATGGGGCTCGCTTCCATTAAAGGTTTTGCCAATTCCTACTGCACTGTGGCCGTCAATGACAAGACGGTTCACAAGACGTCGGTTGTCAAGGTAAGAGGACTTGGCTGCGCACTGCCTGTTCAGGTCCAATGCTACAGTAGTATTCTGATTTTTTTTCACACACACACACACACACACACACATGCCTCACATGAAATGAATGATCCATGAAAGAACGACAGGAGCCCTATATGGACCATTGCGTCAAAGTCTCTATGCTTATTAAAACTAGACAAGAGTGGCGCTGTCACGGTCAAACTTTGGAATTGCAAAAGGATTGGGATTGGCGGTTCTCAAGTGGTGGGCAGCCTGAATTTAGATTACACGACATTGATAAATGGTCATGGAGTCCGTTTGGAGTATAACCTGATTCCGGGGAACAAAATTTTGACTCTTGCACTGCGATTCCGTGTGGCTAGTGATCATGATCTTGCTTTTATGAAGAGCTCAAGTTCTCCAGATTTGCCGCTGCCATGGGTCAAGAGTCCGCGACATGATCACTCGGTCAGTGACCTGGATTTCCGCAAAGAGTCGAGAAAGAAAATGTTTCAACAAACGACCAAATCAAAACGAATGTTATTTTCGAGGGAAAATGAAGAGACCAAGCATCGAGTCCAACCGTTTCCAGACCCAGACGATCCTACCACGGCGTGGATGACGAAACAAGAAATCAAGGATAAGGCCATGCTGCCGTCGAAAAGATGGGCGGAAGTTGGAAAAGGAAGCTATGGTGCTATCTACCTGGAACTTCTTGGCTGCGATGATCTCCCCAATATGGATCTGATTGATGGTGTCACGGTAAGCTTATTGTGTTGATTGATTCATTCGTTGGTTTCATTCGTCCTTGTTGGTGTTTACTGTCAAAACATATCTCACACAATTTTGTTTGTTAGGACACATTTGCGGCGATTGTCTTTGAAGATTCCTTTGTACGGTCATGTGTGATCCATGATAGTCTTTCTCCCAGATGGATGCCTTGGTCGAACAGAGCCTTCAAGTTCAATGTCACGCACCCTTCCTCGGTACTCCGGCTTGGTATTTTTGACTTTGACGACGTTCCTCTGGATGTTCCGCAGATTGATGGACACGACCCCATTTCCCGGATTGAATTATTCCCAAATCAGTTTGAGCACAACACTGTTTACACACTGCAGTATCCCCTATTTCGAGGGGTGTCGGGAGACGAGCGTTGTGGCAAACTTTCGATTCGACTTAGAGTTCAATGGTTCGACCCTTCCGCGGTCAATGCTGCCCTATCGTTTGTGACCCCGCCACGATTTTACATCAATACTGAAACGGAACATTCTTGGAGGTATGTTTTTTCTTCTTCCATTCGTTGTGTCATCAATTATCGCATTATGTGATCAATCTTAAAATGTCGTTCTTTTCCCCAGACTGGTCCGATATGTGATTCGGGGCGAAGTTGATATGCAACAAGTATCAGTTCAGACTTTAAAACAATATGTGCAGGAACTTCTTGACCATTGGATGGAATTTTGTTACGTGCTGGATGTTTTTGCAGAAATCTTGCTCTGGAGAGGCAATCTCAGATTGAATATTCTTGGGAGGGAAGTGCTACTTTGGTGTCCAATTCACTCCATCGTTCTGTTCTTGGCTGTCAAATTGGGAATGGATTATCCACAATTTTTGCCTGCAATCTTTCTTTATTTGATTGCCTATGCGCTGTTGAGCAAAAATGTTGGATTGGCCAAGCATCCGAATCCATTTTGCAGGGTCAAGTCATTTGAACGATTCAGTCATCGATTTCCGTACTATGAGAAAAAAGTCTATATTTCTCCAGGAGATGGTATTGAGGAATGCGAGAAGCTTCGTGTGGTAGATGAATATCGAGCAATGCGAGTGAAGGCATTTCTCTACGAGTTCATCATGATTGGATTGAGTGCCTACAACGTATACAACAAAACCACTCCTATCGATCCATCCACAGTTGCAACCAGTAAGAACTTTCTTAGTTCCCTGTATCTGAATTACTTGCATTATGTGATCATCTTGATGAGAGGTAAGCCATCTGGGTCGTTGCTTCAGCTTTTGAACTCTCCTTTTCACTTCTAACTCTCGCTTTTTTCAGTAATTTGCAAGCAAGTGAGGCTATTGATCAACTTTGTGAATTGGAAGACACATTCCACTTACAAGGTGACAACTTTCTTATTCCTAACAGCCACTACTTGGTGCATTTTCCCCTATAAAGATGCCCTTTTATTTGGAGCAAAGATTTTGGTACTTCTCCCTTTGGGCCCACATCTTGCAATTATCGATTGGCTCTGGATTCAAAACTACTATCGGACAAGCGATCAGCTTTTTGATCATTTCGATCGTGACGAACTACCCACTTCTGAGGAACAAATGAGGGAAGAAATTGCGAGCCGACCAAACATATGCGACTTTCTGTTGACCTCTACATTGATTCGCGACCTGGGAAAGTCTGGCCGAATCGTATCTGAGCACTCATTGAAGCTACGTGATTTCCGAAAGCGACGGTATGGCAACTTTACGGAAAGCGTTCAAAACAGCGCATCTGCCGCAAAATTCATCCCCTTGCCAGAATCATTTGCCCAACCCTATGGAGATGGTGATGGAGAATACAAGGATTTACCCGCAGAAAGCTTGGTTTGGTCTACTATTGCTGGTCAGAAGTTGGAGGGATCAATGGTTTTCCATTGTGAGAAAACGAGTCTGGGTGTCAAGGAGAAAGCGATTTAGTATCCATTTGTTGCTGCCGCATCTGTGGGTTGCAAGGTTCCGCAACACGAGGCAAGAATACCACGACTGAGAACCTTTGCATCTTTATGAACCAAAAAGCTTTACCATGGCTTGGTAAGCTGCAAGACAGTCGATGCAAATGTATCGTATCCACCAATGGTCATTTTATACAAATCCTTTTGCTCAAGAACATTTACCTGTGCACACTAAAGAGCTCACAAAATCACAACTTCCATATATATACATATATATATATATATATATATATATAATATATATATGGGATACCTGTGTAGTATTTCATACATTTGCCACTCATCGCAGCCTTATTCCAAAAGTACGTGTCTGTGCATTGGTCTGGTCTAACGAGTCGACATTTTCGCGACTAAAATAATCATATTATAAAAAAGCCGAATCAGCATCTTTTTTCGGTCAAGAATACAATTCCCACAGTCCAAGGCATCAGCAATGACACCTTCCATGAACAACGATAACAATCTGAAGCCAGGAAAGCTTCGAGCTTCTCAGCAATCAAGTTTCGTCATTGATTGCAAAAATATTCTCCTTTGTCATTGAAGATACCAAAGGCTTCGATTGGTATCCAAAAAATGGAATACTTATGTTCGATTGCGCGTCCTGCAAAATTTTGGGTAGCGCAAGATTTGTGCTTCTCTGCCTACACTTTGATGACCTCAGAGAAGCGATCAAGCTCAGAAACCACCACCAAGCTGGGCAACAACGGAAGCCTTTTTGTTGTGCATAGATCTGAATAAAATAGCTTTTGATTTTGACACCTGAACACCAAATCCCACACCCACAAAGTAGTAAGCAAAGCTGCCCTGGGAAAAGAAGACGGGCCACTTTGCAGACTATCAATATGCGCCAAGGATATCGACACGTGATGGTCCGTTTGAGACTACCAAATGAGCATGGAGCCAAGGTCGTCAAGACCGGCGCCAGAATATATCCAAAATTGATGTAGGCTTTCACGACATTCCGAAACGAACTGGAATTCCTATATCGATTGCCACAAAACTCAGACTGCATTACATTCGCACCGTTTCCTTGATCATGCAAAAATAATTGAGGTACAAGTCTATTCTCAATGTGGAAGGAAACTACGTTTCTTCGGGGCTCAAGTGGCAGCTTCTACTAGCCTCCAATTGCCTTCAATTTGGTCGTCATGGTAAAGAAGCCAAGAACAGTATCCTTTGCCATGGAAAATTAAGTACTGCAGTTCTATCACTATATTCCAGAGATAGAAATTATACCAACCTAGAAAAAAATGCTGTGCAAGCAGTTGCAAGTACTATCGATAGCTCGTCCTATATGTCCTCCTGTCTTTCGTGAGATCTCTGACTTTGGATCGGAATGGAGAGTCATGACGATAGAATGTTTGATACAAATATATTTGTTATGTTTTACCGAAAAGCGGAAATAAACTACGTTCCTTGTGACCCTAAAGAAGGAGGCTTTCTTGTTGACCAGTTGCGATTCTCTTTGTCATTGCAGTGTTCGTTACGAGAGCTGCATGGTCCATTAGGTTTGATAGGCTGTTCTAAAGTGCGCTTATCTGAAAGCACTCAACAGTCGTTTCGTGTAATAGGCTGTTCCGAAGTGCGCTGAACTGAAAGCTCTCCACTTTCGCTTCGGAGTTACCATTTTCGCTTCCACTGGAAAATCACAGCATGACAATATACCTTGGCATGAAATTTCGCACTGTCGGACCCAGTTGGCGCTTGACACATGAGCTAAAGAGTTTCGCCGCATTAGTAGATCTTTCGACTGGTGATATTTTTCTAGAAAGAAAAACCGGGAATGAAACGTGTTGATGATGGCCAAATAATGGTTTTGATAGAAAGAACAGTAAAGGAACACTTCAACAATGTACCGCGACACGTGTACGTTTCCACGTGTCCAGGGAATAAAGCAGTCATTCGCTGACAGGAATTCCCAAATCGAACTGCTCACAAAATTAATTTTGCAATCATTGGCAATGTCTTCCAATCTCGCAGACAACAGAGTCATCATGCAGAGCTATACGTCTCCCATGACCTCAGATGATGATCTTCTAATCTCTCTCTTTCGATTCCATCCACAATCTTCAGAAGAGGAGTCTCCTGCTGCTGAGTCCTCCTCTCTTAATGAAAACGATGTTGGCCGCAACTGCCCAGTGACGTACGAGCAACCATTCGATGATCCAGACATGGAGCCGGTGCCTTTCGAGTCTGACACCGTCCCAAGCGTAGAACCACTACCACTATCTGATCTTCCCTCCTTTAAGCCTTCGTCCCTTCAACACGAAACTAGGGAAGCAGATCTTATCCAAAGTGCGTTATCCATTCTGTTCGAAGCCCCCAACGACATTGTTCCGAGCAAGAGAACCTCCGAAGATCTCCTATCAGTTACAACCACTCGCTCTCATTATTTCAAGCGTCAGAGACTCAGCCCCGAAGAAGTATCTTGTGATCAAACGGTGATGCGATTCCGCCCGTATCAAGATCAACAATGGAATGGAATGTTCCAAAAACTCGTCCAGTACAGGCTCAAACATGGGCACTGCAGTGTACCACATTCCTATCAAGAAGATCGGATGCTTGCCCGATGGGTCAAGAGGCAGCGATACCAGCATACGAAACTCAAAGCCAAAGACCCTTCGTCTACCATGACAGCCCGCCGTATTCAACAGCTCGAGTCCATCGGCTTTGTTTGGCATTCCCATGAATCTGCGTGGCAGACAAAGCTAAACGAGCTCAAGGCGTTCAAGCAAAGGACAGGACATTGCAATGTCCCATCGGACCATTCTAAAAATTCGTCCTCGTTGCCAGCATGGATCAGATGTCAGCGAAGGCAGTACTTATTGTGGAGATCTGGCTACAGTTCCACAATGACAGAAAAGCGATATGAACTATTGAAGGCGCTGGGATTTAATTTTGAGAAATTTGGAGGACTGCAGCGGGCACGAAGCGTCTGAGCACGCTATAAAGCGTATTTATGAGAAAGGGGTAGACATGTAAACAGCTGCATTTGATTATATCAGTACAAATAGTAGCCCTTTTCAATTGTCACAGATGTATTGATCTGGTACAGTTGTGCTGGATTCCAGGATATGGTGGTAGTTACACTACTAAGCGGAAGTAACACTCGTGACCAATTTTTGCATAACAGGGTCCAACTATACCTTTATCCTTGACTATACTACCGAGTACGCGTATCGGTGACATCCTCATGATGAAATTCACTTCACCACTCAGCAATCACATTCAAACCTTACCAGGGGACGACGACAACGCCAGACCCGGGAAAATATCAAAGATGATATCCTAATGGCGGTATCTACTCACAAAAAATCACACCCATAGTCAGAATGAGCAGTTTCGCATTCAGTAAAATTAGGGTCACTCCATCTTTGCAAGTGATTCGTGACGACGACGAGGGCAAAGCCACTATTTCTGTTGATTTTAAAGCCAAAGCATATAACTTAAAAATTGAAAGCAGTATAGGTGTCGGCTAGAGTAGAATTCATAGAGACTGCCGGTACGATACTGCTCCTATCCAATCCATTTAGAAAGGACTCCAGCGATCCCAAGGTTTTTGAGTAGGACCCTCTGGTTTGTTCCAACGCTCTTGACGAGTCAACTGATAGTCTTCATGATACTTTCCGTCTTCACTAGTCAACGGTCCTCCTCCGTATCCACGACCACCATCCTTCCCCATGGTCCATACAACAATATTGTTGCGGATCCCACTTTCAATGGGCAGTGCGGCGTGCAAGGTCCGACCCAAATGCATGACTGCCTTTCCAGGAGCCCAATCGACAGTGTATCGTTTACCACCGTTCAAGGATTCCCAAAAGTAGAGGTTGGACCCCGTCCATAGTTGCTCCGCATCCATATTAATGTTAAAGGTAACCGTGCTGGCATCGGTGTGGTGACGAATGGATTCATCTCCTCCCACTTGATACTGAATGGAAAAGGCAAAGGATTCCGAATCGTCAGTCGCCAAAATCGAGTCGGAAAAAAAGGCACGACTAATGGGCCGAATGTAGGAATCAATCAAAATGTCCTTGTAAAAGGTTTGAAAGTCGGGTGCCGCCCAATATCCCACACTTCTTTGATCCATCATGAATCCCTTGCGGTTCAATACAATCCCATACGGGGGACGAATGGGAATGCCCGATTCAGCTGCCGCATCGAACCATTGACGAAGAATGTGCACCTTTTCTAAATCCAAGAATTGCACACTGTAGACACCCGGGGCGACTTCGTCAAACAATTCCTTCAGGACGAGCTCTTGGGCTGCCACAGTATTGTCGTCAAAATCATTAGATGATGATTCTTGGACAATTTGCCAAATATCATCCACGACTTGTCTCAACTTAGGATGAATCAAGGACTCGTCTAATTTGGGCAAGTCTTGAGTAGCTTGCCACTCCTTCCAAGCGTCTTCCAACAGTTCGTCGTTGTGATTCCAAAAATCGTAGACTTTCTGGTCCCGACGCAAGGTTTCTTCCCGACTTGGCAATTCCAAGGCACGTGCCTTGTCCAAGGCTGTCGTTGCTATTTTGGTTGAAATTTTGCACTGCTGCTGCTGGGCAGATGAAGCAGAAGAAACGTGTGCTCGAGACGGAGATCCAGATGTCATGTTGTTGCTGGCTGATAATGCAATGGCAGATGTTGTTGTCGTCGTTGTTGTCAAAGCTTGAACAATTGGAGCAGCAACACGGATCGACTTTGTCAATTTCATCTCCGTGGCCAATCTCGCTTGGGCAGTTTTATGATCATGGTACTACAACAACAAACATTTGTGCCATTGTCAAATGACTTCGAACGAAGGATTTCGGTTTTCGGTTGCAACCAGACAACGTAGATTTTGAACGGCAAAACGTGGCATGGTACTGTACTTGAGTGTATAGGTTTCTCGTATAATTGGTCGTCTGCCCTGAACAGGGGTGATAGAAAGACTGTATCTGTACAATGTCAATTGGACCGTCTTGGGACCGTGTGTTGTACTGGTACCTGGTACCAGTAGCGAAACTGAAACCGCAAAACCCGACTACTGTATGTTGTGAAACGCGCGCGAGCGCTAATTTTAATGATGATGAGGTAAAACTGAAAACTGTTTTAACACGGGGATATCCTGGAAATCCCGGGGAATAAAAGGGAACTTTTAGGGAACTTTCAGGGAACTTTTAGGGAACTTTGAGAGAACTTTTGAGAGAAACTTTTTACGGAACTTTTGGACTCCCCAAATGCTATCACGGCTTTCAAAACTGTTACTTTTCAAATTGTGAATTATTATTATGCCATTGACATCGGTTTTGGACAATCCAATACTATCAACAAGCGCACTCTTCACTGTCGATAGCCTACATTCAGAACAAGGTCTTTCTCTTCACTCACTGGATGGTCACATCTATCATTGAAGAAACCGACAGCCCCGAAGTTCTTGAGTTCAAGAATCGGGCTAGAGCTCGGCAGTGCTGGAAGGCTCCTTGACTGCTACGTTTCTATTCTAAACTTTCTGTTCAATACTTGTATTATTCAGATTACTGAGCATGGATGTGGAATCTCGCGCATCTACTTTACTAGGCCAAACCTGCACTATGTCGTATAGTCCTGTAGTCTTCATACTAATGTCCATGTTTCAATGCACGTCCCAAGTAGTTCCTTACACAAGGCATAACCACACCCATCCATGTTTGGACTTAGCCATTCGTGCCATCGTCCGTCCTGTTGTTGGAATTGCTCTCTTGGAGACCATTCATTGGAAACTCCTTGTTGATAGAAGCAGTTCGACACGTCCGATCGGACAGACGGACAAATGTCCGTTTGGTCCGTTTATTCGGGGGATTCCTATGAGTCGGTTTTGCAGGGAATCCGAAAACATGGAATTGTGCGCTTGGACTATCAAACGTCTGAGCGCCACGAAAATCCCATACTGGATCCTGCGGGAGTTCGGTACGTGGGTTTTGTACCGGCCTTTCTGGATTGCATAACATCCAGTAAAGTTTTGGGAAATTTGAGTTTTCGTGCAAGGCTTTTGCTTTGCCCATTCCATGTAGATAACAAGTCTTTTAGAATAGTTATTTCCTGTAGAGATGATTATTTCATATTAGACGGATCGGAGATCGCTATGGTTAGTGCCTATGCATGACGACTTGATGGGTCGCATGCTGGCACGGCTGGTTGGCAATCATGGCTTGATGGGCCACAACGTTGTCAATCGGTTTGGACGAAGACAAGCAGTCTGATGTCCGCCAGAACCGATTTCCAACAGATACTTTGTTGCATTGCATTCTTGTCATATTTGGAATCACTCCATCCTTCAATCACAAAGAGGTTTTCATCATGCCCATCACAGACATTTGCTCTCATCTTTCTCAAGCAGTACTCTCTCTCAGAGTTAAACAGTTCCGATCGGGTCCACTTCTTCACATGAAACAACTTTCCGACTTCAGATTTCTTCATATTTTCTTTCTTACTTCTTGGAGTAACAAGATCTTCTTTGCTTATCGCGAGCTCTTTCTCTTTGTCTCTCATTTTATCTTTATCACTCATTTTCTCTACATCATTCATCGCAAGTTTGTTGCTCATCTCAAGCTCTTCTTCATGATTGCTCATTGTGAGCTTTTCTTTATCAACAATCAAACAGTTGTCAATCTTTGTTTCTTGTTCTTCTTCTTCATTTTTATCGTCAATCTTGTCAATCTTGTCAACCCAGTCTGAAGTTTCTGAAGATGCTGCACCAGAAGTCTCTCCCTCAGCAGCTTCAGAGACTTGACAGTCTCCAAGTTGTTTGGCTTTCTCTCCTTTACGCACTTGGGATGTAGTATCTTGACTCTTCATAGGTGGGATTTGGGTGAGGGCCATCCCGCATCCTAACGGGTCCTTGTCCGTACGGGCTGTATAGTCTTCCCCTGGCATGTGATTCATGACGTGTTTGATTACGTCATCATTTGTCAGAGGTTTGATGTAGATTCCGAAAACCATTCCATCACAGGTTGGGATTTTGATATCAAATCGCAACATCACGCCCTCTCTCTCCAATGTCAACATGCTTTCATCACCGTACAGTGTCCAACCTTCCATGAGTCGCTTGGTGATGCTGAGTGTGTTGTACTTGTTGCCAGGCACTCCCTTCATATTTTTCATTCAAACTTCCATCTGAGGAACGCCAAATTTGTCACACAGCAACCCTGGCGCGTCACCTTCTTCCTTTATGCCTGCAGTCCCTCCATCAGCGTTCTTGGCACCCCTTCCGTCTTCAAATTTCACTACACTTTCAAGCTTGTCAAGATATGGCGTTGTGTCTACCGATGCTCCAGTGTCTGCAATCCAGATGTTGGGATCATTGAGCAGTTCAAAAATCTCATGACAACTCAACATGCCTTGACATTCCCCCTTGATCAATTTGTCAGTTTCTGTCCCAGCCCAGTGGTGCCACTTGCTCAACTTTGCAATTGAGAAGAAACCAGGCGAGATTCGGGTGGACCTCATGCGCACGATCCAAATGATGAATTCGGAGCTGCAGGCCAACAACAAGAGAGTG